TGAAGTGTTTTACTTTGTTTTGTTTTTCTTAGTTTGAATAACGTGCCCACTTTTAAAGACAAGAGCTGCTTTGTTAGCGAAGTAAGCGAAACAATAAACAATGCCTCCTCTTCAAGGCTGGTTTCCACATATGCACTTGAGCGCAACCGGGTACATTATGACCACTTTTGTTCCACCACCGCGTGCTGTGCAGCGTTTGAACGAGGTAGCACCAGCGTGCAAATAGCAACTGAACTCTTCTAACGCAAAACCTTCAGTACCAGACTAAAGGTTTCGCAGTATTCGCAAGATCTAATACATGCACTATCTACAAGAACTGGATGCTTATAACATTGCCGGAATTCTTTCGAGCATGCGGTGAAAAAATGATGCATAAAAAATGAGGAAACAAAGGCAAACCAAAAATGGGCCAGGGCTACCACATTGGTGTCACCAGTGCATTCCCTGGTAGCAAGCGCTCTCAAAAAAACACAGCACACCTGTTCGCAGTCAAACGCATTAAAGGAAGCGTGTAACGATACCAAGTAAGAAGGCTCCTCACTTTATGCAGGCTTTCTTAGCACCACTGCGTCCTGAGCATACTTCCACGCAACAGCACGAACCAAGAAGCTTCTCTGTCGTCGTACGATTACGAGGATAAGAGCGGACATTTTCTTTCAATCTCTCCTTCGCAAAACTTGACAACGAAGTCATGGGGTTCGCGTTGTCGACAATGCAATCCCCAAGATTCTGACGCCGAGCTTTGCAAATACCCGTGGCAACAACATGTAAAGGCGGAGGCTTACAAGGTGGACACAAGCGCTGCGTGAACATTTAATTTGGGCTCGAGACGACCGATGCCCCGACGTGCATTCGGGTAGTGGTTCATGCCCAATATTTGCGATAATGGGACGAGCCGAACCTCGACAACGCGTGGAACTTGGCATGTGCCCCATGCTTCCCCAACCCCAGCGCATGGCTACGATAAACAGCGGCTGCGTGTAATCGCCTCCGGATTATGAGACCACTTGTTCTGGCTGCAAGTTAAAATATAAATGCTGCTCTTTTTTTTTTCTTCTGTAACTGTTAGTGCTTGGAGAAAAAAAACTAATGTGTGTTTCATAGGTTACAAATGTTCAGAATAATACTCAGCGGTTTACTAAAAGTAAAAAAATTTTATGCATCGCCTCTTTAAGGTTGCAGAGGCACTGGGCATCGTGCAATGCCCTTCCTACACCAGTGGAATGTGCTTGCACGGAAATACATCCCCCGCAGGATTCTGAAACTGCAGCCTACAGCACACACCTTTTGCGTCGGCAAATGAAAGCATGATTGCAACAGCAAGAGCCGAGGAATTGTGGATGCATTGAAATATGTTACAATACAGCCATGCTCCAACAGGAAATGCCAATTAAAGCTGTGGAATAAAGCCGGCAGGCATTCCTTCCTTCATCTGCTTTTATTTTTTGTTTCATAGTGTTTCATAAACTTTACAGACTTCTTTTAAAAAAGCCGCAAAAGCTACATTAATGCGGTTTGTGCAGGTGAGTTATACGGTGAGGGGGACATAGTGTGAAACCCTTAATGTTTGCGAGTTCTTGATTTTCGCGAATCTAAAAATTCGTGAAATTTAGGGGCACGTGAAAATTTCAGTCCTTACGAGTATCAATGCAGGCGTCTGGAATTCACGAAATTTAGTGGCCGCAATCATTTCCTCTGTGACCAAGTCGCAAAAAAATAGAGACCACGAAAATAAAGGGTTTTACTGTATAGGGGTCTAACCATCACGACAAGTCAGATAGTTAGCTAAAATTTGTTCAAAAGATAAACGCATGGTTCTAATTGTGACCTAGCTGAGCATCATCGCAGACCACTAAATCATTTTAGAAGGACTTCGAGCGCGTGGGGAGTACGTCCACACGGTTTTTCTGCCTCTTATTATCAGCTCTCACATTGGCATGGAGCAAGTCCCAACTTCCAAACTATCATACCCTCTGAACATTCAGTGGCTTCCTTCCTTAGTAGCGCTAAACATCAATTTTCCTGGATTTTCTACTGACAAAACACACTAAAGGGACCCTGCAAAGACTTTTTTACAGCTATTTTTAATTCGCACCGAACCTGAACGCACTGAACGTAGTAACTTAATGAAACCTTTTTTTTCTCGAATTTCACCTTAATGTAAAAGTTATAGGCAAATTAAAATTACAAAAACAAGCAAAAGATAACCTCCTTCATGACGCCCTTGGTCGCCTGAGTAGACGTGAACTAGAGGAGTAGTGAGCTCAGCGAGCGCTCACAGCTGCCGCACTCCATGTCGACGGCTCGAGAGGGCGCCACTAAAGCATGTTCTGCATAGGCTATATGAAATGGGCAGCTAGGGCGGCTCGCATCGCATTTGGTGCGCGATTAAACACTAATTCGGCATGACACTTCATTGGCCACAAACGACAGCAAATACGGGGTAAAGATCAGTTCAGAACGGGAGCCACTTCGCGCTGCCATGCCGCCAAAGGAAAAAACCGCAAACCAAAGCTGCTCGCCGAAGGCCTTCGGAATGCTCGGAACCAGTTGGATGCTTGACTGCAGCGCCGCCGCGTACATCCGGGACCTTTCTACGCTGACTGCTCGTCGGTGCCTGATCCGACAACACTATTCTAGTATGCGCCGCCTTTTCCACCACTTGCTGGCGTTTTTGTGAACGGATCATTTTTTGTTTCCGCACTTTATAAACTGCATTTGTTTCTTTTCCGATCTAAAATACTGAACAAAAACTACTGTTATAAATAATTAGAACGGCTCGCGCCACTTATATCTTGTTAAAGTTGAGGCTTGGGCGAGTTGGTACATACTTCGGATATCTTGTTTTTTGACTAAAAAAAAGCTCTTAACGGCTCTGACCAGTGGTAAGCCCAGGACCAAAGACGTTGCATATCACGCGCTTTCGGCACAGCGGGTCGCACCCGTAGGTAGAGAAGGTTTCCGTGTCGTCTGGTTAAAATCTGACACCCGCACTCATATTTATATACGTTCTCCGAGCCCGCTGGCTTGCCCGAACCCCAAGAGACATGGAAATCTCAAAAAAGGTAGACGCTTAAATATGATTGCAGGGCCCCTCTGAAGGTATGCAAGTTTTGACTTCCCTCTTGTATTCGTCTTTTTAGCACTTTTAACCATGGTTAAAAACATGCGTCTCTGTTGTCTGCGATTCCGCCTCTGTCATCTGCAACTCCGTCTGCTCATCACAGCTCCAATCAGGAAGCTAGGCCAAACACAACAGGGACCTGTTCCAGCGGAATTAGGAATAGCTGAAACGCATTCCGGAGCACCAGACACGAGCCAGCATGTTATACCACTCCAGGCCGCCCACGCGAAAGCAAGCCCCAAATCTATGCCTTGACAAAAGCAGACGAAGAAAAACAAACAAAAAAAAACTTGTTCCAGCTATTCAGTCCAGTCACGTCGTCTGCTGGGAATCTGATAGCAGACATGCTTGAGAATCGGGAACAGCTAAAGACATCCCTCTTCGCTTAAATTTTTTTTCCTTTCCTTTTCTTTTTTTTTTACGTTAGTTGCGCAGTCGCCGTTATCAGCAAAAGCTCGGCAAACATTTGCAACAACGCTGATTAAAATTAAAAAAACAAAATACTTTACAAAGAAAAGGAGATAAACGCCAAACATCGCTTCACCCGAATCGGCGCGTAGGCTTCAAGTCAGTGAACCAATGAACTACCCTAAACGCGGTGCGTCGCCGCGTTCTTGGGACCACTCAACCAATGAAAGGGCTAGAGCGTGCCACTCGATAAACCAATCGGATGCTTAAAATTACCGTATCACCACCTGCATTTTTTTTTTTTTTTTTAAGGGCAAGGAACGGAACGCAAACGGTTTGCAGACGACTAAAAAAGCAAAGGGCCGCAAAAAGACACCAACTTACGGCCATTTGACAAGAAGCTAGCAATCAAACATACGCACAAAATCCAATCAAATGCGACGGTGAAGTTGAAAAAAAAAAAAAATAGGCACAGAAGTTTGCGCTGTAAATAACGTAGCAGCGTAAACGCGGAACCACGCAGAAATAAGCTACTTTACCGCCAACAAAAATTTGGGCCAAACCGATTTTTTTTTTTTTTTTTTCCGCAACCTCCTGAACGTTTGTATTCTTGTTCATTACTCAAACTCGGCCCCTTTTTCTCTTTTGTATCATTATTTCGTGCCCCTTTTACGCGGTGGTGCCTGCCCAGACTCACAAAGTCAGTGGAGCATTTATGACACCTATGTTTCCTTGGCTTCTTTTTTTCTCCTTTGGAGACCAGTCTACCGAAACAGAACTTTCCGCCTTTTTTTCTTTTCTTCCTTTTTGATCCTCGCCGAGATAATGCAAGCTTAAAATTAACACGGATAATTCGCTTTTTTTAAATTTTCTTTCTTGGTTTTTCCTACACAAAACAAGAAAAGAAAAAAAACACCGCGGGCATTTATGCAGAGATATGAGACGCCAGTGACCGCCCTCGATTGATATTTAAAAATAGGCGCCACCAGAATCAAAAATACAAAACAAAAACAAGCGCCCAAAAGCAGATGCGTCATTGAGCCCCACTTGCCGCTTGCTGCTCAAGTTAGAAACCGATCTTTTTTATGTTTTTGTTTTGAAGCCTCAAACAAGCACAAAACCTACGCGCCACACCGTCCCACGGGGTCCAAATCAGACGTAGTTCCAACTCCACCTAATCGCTGAGCAAAAAAAGGAACCCAAAGTATCGCAAAAAAACGTCGCTGATCTTCAAAATAGGCTTAGGTCCATACACAAACAGCGTCTCGAATAGCAATTTTTAACCAGCTTCCTGGCGCCTAGGTAGGCGTAAAACGCGGAACGTACCGCTATATTCCGCGAAAACAACGTCTTCGTAAGGCTGTCAAAGCTATCAGTCGTTGACTTTGATACGTTTTCGAGTCGTCGAAAAAGTACAATCGTCACAATAAAATTGATAGAGAGAAAAGCCACGGCGTACGACACTTACCGTTCCTTCGAAAACAAGAGCATCCTTTTCCAGATGTCGCACGCAGAAGTGGCCCGTCGAAAGCGATCACCGAGAAAACAGCCTGCTTCTCGAGCGAAACTAGACCACACAAATGCTGATTTTCGAGGCCCTTTAAAAATGACCCGAATACGCGAGAGCACGAAGCACCACTTGATACCGAACGACACACATCTGCTGCTCTCTGTTGCGCGGTAGATGGATTCGGATTGGTTCGCGCTACGACTTCAGCGTGTCGAACTGGATTCGATCGCAGCGCCGTACCCGTTTGGGTGCGGCTACTGTGGCGGCGGAGCTGTGAAGCTCGATATCGTAATATATTGCCCGCTCTTACGAGCAATACGCTATGCTGCTTTATTACAGCTCTCTAAAAAATAGCCCTTCAAATATTAAAAACGGTTAGAACAAGTTTTGTCTAATTTGTGAAATAAAACCGTAACCCTACCTTACCGCTCGCATCCATCATTCGCATGTTATGATCTCTATGCTCGCATGACGACAACATCCACAAAAGGAGAAGCTGAAAGCACGTGCCATAGCAACCGCTGTTTGCCGAAATGCCCTAAAGCTTGTCGGGCAACGGCACGATCTCCAACTTTGGCCCCGAGATAAGTGCTTCAAATGACCACCGTAAGCTTACAAGAAGTTGAGAAACACAACAGCAGAGCAGACGCCTGGATCATCTTCAGACAACAGGTGTACAACGTAAGCGACTACGTCGACAAGCACCCCGGGGGGCTGATTCTGCTCAATCACGCGGGAAAAGATGCCACAGAAGCAATCACCAATCAACCCGCGCATCGGTGCGTCTTTAATTTCATCTTATCGACGCTGAAGACCTATCACGTGGGTAGCTTGGTTGACCAGCCACCTCGGCGCTGAACGCTGCTGGCAAAATGATTATTTTCGTAGGTCCCAGCGGCTCGGGCAAGACAACTCTGCTGAAGCGGCTCGAACAACACATGGATGGTCGCGGCAGAACGTCTGAAATGGAGATACCCAGACCAACGGTAGGGGTCAACATGACAAAGCTGAAGATCAAGAAAAAGGCCTTCAGCGTTAGAGAAATTGGGGGACAGATGGCGCCACTATGGCCGCAACAGTGCGCTGGTGCCCTCGGTCTGGTCTATGTTGTGGACTCGTCTAACCTTCAGCAGTTCAGCGCTTCGGTTGTCTTGCTCCTAGACCTGCTGAACCTTGAGAGCCTCAGGGATGTGCCTTTCTTAGTGGTCTTCAATAAGGTGGATGCCTACCTGGCTGTGCCGCTGGACGAGTACAAGACGGCATTTAGGCTGAACGACATCTTGGAGGTCGCCTCCCAGCCACTTAGGGTTGTGCAGACAAGCTGCTTGACTGAGTATGGATTGGACGAAGTTGTTGTCTGGTTGTCGGAAATAACCTCCAAGTGATATATACTGTTGCAACTTTACATCTTTTTTAATCTTTCAGAGTTAAAAGCATGAGCCCTTGGGGATGTGTGTACCAAATGTTAATTTCTATACAAACACTATACTCGGTTACAAGTCGAGAAGGTAGGAGCAGCTCCTCCCACAAGCGTGATGCGCCCGTTTCAAATCCCTCCGCAGTCGAAAGAAGAGTTCAGTGGAAACACTCTTTGTTCCGCTTCAATGGATAGATAATGGCCACAGAGTGGTGCCAACTTGTCATCGACCCCCATTTTTTAAGAAAGAAATCTTTGTATTCATTGGAGGGGGAACCGAGCCCCTAAAAGCAGCCTTTGTATCCATCGGAGGGGGAAGCTAATCTCTGAAAGTCGTATTTGTTTCCATCGGAGGGGAAAACTCTAATCTCCCTCTCATGGCTTCCACAATGCTAAGTCAAAGTTGAAAGATAAAGCAAATATGTACAGAAAGGCAAGACCTTCCTCGCGCGTTGGCCGCGACGTCACGGAAACGGTGGGACGCTATTGGATGCAGAGGTGGCGGAAGGATATACGATTCCCTTTGAGGGGCATTTGCCGCTACCTTCTTAACCTGTAACTTACTATAGATGTCTAGTCCTATGCGGAGAGCAAGTCGTCTGCTTCTTGCGCAAGAGTTGCGGTGACATCACAAAGATGTCAAGCTCTGATTGGCTCCGATTGAAGGATAGTGGGTGGACCTCAACGCAAGCTGCTTGGAGGTCTACCCACTATCTTTCATTCAGAACCAATCAGGGCTCGGCATTCTGACGTCACCACAACCCCTGCAAAATAAGCAGACAAACTTGTGCTCTGCATTCTAGCTAGCATATGTTGTTTAACCTGTTAGTTATAGATGCAAATGTTTCATAATTAAGTTTATTGCTCTCTTTGTTACACGAGGACACTCGTATGTCATAAAATGTTAAGATGTATTTTGGGCCCTCAGCCGTCAGTTACATAACTTGTGAAGAATGGACATCCTGCCATAATAAATTTAAAAGTTCAGAAGCGGTTGAAAACTCGTTCCAGGAACTCCTTGGGATCCGCATGTTCACAGTTGACCACACGGACCATCGGTTCCATTCCAGATGACGGAAAAGTGACCTGGACAAAATTAGACCCGGGCTCTTCAGTGAAGCATTTTAGCAAAGATAACAAACTTAAATACCTGGAACTGAACCTTGAATCTTTCCAAGAGGAAGTTCCACTTTAGGGAGGTCATTTCATCTTCGGACAGTGCTTGAAACTCCTCCACCTATGAGGTAATAGGTTTATATGTGTGTTAATCGATTCCATTATGATTACCATTTTAGAAAATAGTTTGGTTGTCTGCTTACACATATATCTTTTCCATAATCTGTGCCATACAAGTATCTAGCATAATTTTGTGACATGTGACACAATGCAAACCACGAAAGAAAATATAGATTTGACTCATTTTTCAGCTTTTTTGCAGGCGTGGACTAGAGCACAAAAATGCACACCTTATGGTGCAGGCTCCGGACATATGTTCTTGCATACTAATATTTGATGAACTCGTTTATTGTACTGCCTCAAAACTCTGTGAAGACGTTAATGAGGACAGTTAGGCATGATAAAATAGTATTATACTTACCGAAAAAAAAATAGTACAATGTCTGCTATAACGTAAGTGCTTATAAAAGACGCAGGTGCAAATAACCTTTGATGGATATCTGAGATCACTACATACATTGAAAATTAGGGGATTTTCGTTGGAAAATTTATCCTGGAGACATTAATGAAATTCTGTTCGTTCTGGAGACATTTACATTGCTTGGAAACAATTAGCAGTTTCCACGAGACCAAACACACATTGCCCACCTAACATATACAAAACGTCCATGCTACATTCTCGGAATACCCCCAAGAAAATTTCTCCATGGTAAGTCCCATGAGGACATGGACATCTGTGTTGTGGACGTCTGTCCTGTAGACATTTGTCCTAGGGACATTTGTCCTAGGGACATTTGTCCTAGGGACATTTGTCCTGGGGACATCTGTCCTGGGAACATCTCTCCTGAAGGCATCATCCCTGGAAACGTCTGTCATCGGAACAACAATTCTGGGAACATCCGTTTTGGGGACGTCTGTCCTCAAGATGTTTGTCCTAGAGACATTGGTTCCAAGGACATTTGTCCTAGCTAAGGAGATCTGTCCTAGTGACATCTGTCCTGGAGAGATCAGTACTGGGGGCATTTATATTGGCTGGGGCTTTGGGATAACACATCCTGTTGGGGTGAAGCGAAGAGCTAACTACCGTCACTCCGAGAAGGTTGTCTGCAACGTGACCGCTGATGCGTGATCGGATGACCGTTCCAGTGTGGTCCGTCCAGATGACCGGTATGTCAATCTCGTTGACCGCGGACGGATCGGCTTGGCCTAGGGCTGTGGGGCACGTGCCGTTGGAGCAAACCTGTCCCTGCCTCAGGCGGAAGTTGCAGTGGCCACTGTCAGAGGAGACGAAGATCGTGTCGTTAAATGGCGCTTTCGTAATTCAGCTTCCTCTTTTAGTGCTCCTTTTGGCATGTACATCTTTGGGGATGACTTTGATGCAGTCACATGCGCCACTGCACATCTAACTGCTTCCAGCGCAAGCTTTCCACCTTCGATGACACTTCAGCATCCCGCAAACCTCCAGCGCGACCGAGCGCCTTGAAGCTTATCGGCTTTTTCACTCGGTCCCTACCATCTATGATGGAAAATAAACTTATTATTATTATTATTATTATTCTGATATCATCTCTTATGATGAGAAAAAACACTGGCTTCATCTATCAGGTAACGGTGGAACAGATTATTTTCATATTTTTCCTACATTTTTCGCTCGCCATTCTTTTTTCTTGGCTCGGAAAACTTTGACATTGTAGATAGGATTCCATGTTTTCGGTAAATGCCGACAAAGCCCGAAAATTAACCCTCCCAAGATGATTTAATAAAAAAATCTGGAAATCATGAAAAACCTTTGAATTGGAAATGTCCTTGAACGGCAGAACACTAACCTTCGCTGGAAGAAAAAGCTTAATCTGAAGTTTTATCTCGTGTTAACCCGGAAGAGAACCCCCTGACCTTTTCACAAGGCTGCTTCTTTCTTGAGAACCACGCCCTTTTATCTCGTTATCTTATCGGCACCCAGACGTCTTTTAAAGTAATTGGGTTACTAAGATGAGCCCTTCCAGCTTCCCCACTCTATTCTACATTAACCCTGATAAGTGCCGACTCTTTGTCCGACACCGAAGATTGACGCCTAGAAACAATGAATTTGTCAAAAATTGTAAACCCCCCAAAAAGAACAGCCCTGAATCAGATAAAAAATTATTCCCGTAATGGAACCTTATTTATAAACAATCATTTCTTGTAGATGGTGCTGGCATTTTTCTCGCAAATACTGCAAAACCTTTGCTCTAGTGATATGCAGTTCCAGGGTCACCTTATCGATGGTGTCAGCGGGTCACCTTGTAAGATATCACAAAAACTTGGTTATCAATAAATGAAAGTGTGTGAACGGGGCTTTGGGCATTCAAAGAAACTAGGGAACAGATTGGGCCCAAGAGATTCTTGAGAGAGGCTTACCAGCGTGAACTGATCAACCTCGCACCGGGACCGTCGAGATCGAAGTGGTTGAGAAGCGCATAGAGGAAACCAGTCAACGGAGTCAAGTTGCCAGACTGCATCCTCGACTGGATCTCTTCATTGAGTTCCTTGGCCGTGTACACGGTTGTGTCCACTGTTTTGGGACGCAACACTGTGAGACTCTGCTGACGGTCAACTCCTTTAGTGAACTACCGTATTTACTTGAAGAACACATCATGTGCGCACAGTGGATTCTGCGCCATAAAAAGCCGCAAAATCTCCATCTTTTACCTAATGTGCATTGAGGTGGTGCATTATACCTTGTGAAATAGCAAGACATTGTTTTCTTCCTGTAGAAAATTGAAGCAACAAACTTATTTGCCAAAGTCAGCGGCGGACGTGTCCGCAGATGACTAAATTAGCGATGGATATGACTAGTGGCGCCATCTCCCGATTGGCACAGCGAGCAGTCGACACTCTCGGCTGTCTGCTAGTTTCCCCGATGTGGTGCATTTTATGTTGCGAAGTTTGAAGGCATAGTTCTCTTCCTGTAAAAAATAAGACCATCAAAACTCGCCAAAGGTCTGCTCACTGCATCTATCAAGAGGTGGCGCCCCACGTCGCATCCATCGCTAATTCTTTCATCTGCAAACGCACCCCCGCCACTGACTTTGGCAGGTACGACGGTCTTGTTTTTTACAGGAAGGAAATTGCGCCTTGAAACTTCACGAGGTAAAATGCACCGCATCAATGCACATTTGGTGAAAGTTTCGATCTTCTACGTACAGGCGTCGATTTTTCCGGCTCGTTTTAAGGCGCAAGATCCACCGCACCCTGAATACGATAAAATTAATTACTCCGTCTGTCTCACACATGGTCTGCCTTGGACTTATAAAGTGACTCAATAAAACCAAGCATGAAAACTCACCGAAGCGCTCCTCAGGACCCTCGTCGGCAAGATCTACACTCTGCAAGTACTCAAAGAGTGCGGTTGCTTCGGGCATATCTGGTGGGAGAGAAGGAATATTTGGAAGAGCCTGTCGAACCAGGATGTGGTCTACTATATCCAAGCTTCTCCCGATTCATTCCTCAGTGTTTATATCAACTAGTAATTAATAAATCTCATTGGCCGAAGAGCAATAATGAGATGCCGGGGGCTCGCCATGCCGTGTTTCTTAATTCAGCGACCCCAGCTGCACGCTCCTTTGTGGTGGTGGTGCTCTGACGTACTTAGAAGTACTATGAGAACAATGCTGTTTGTGAAGGCCAATATAAGACCATCTGTTTTGAAACTGAGATCTATAATTTTATTTAAGGACAACCTTTTTATGATATGCTTAAACTAAGTATGCATGATGGCATGAAACAAGCACACGTTTCGAGCCAAGGTTGGGTAACGTCGGACGACGTTGAATATCCCTAAGCGAACCCACAATTGTCGCGGTATAAATACACTTACGGGGGTTGACGGTGATCACCGTCTTCCCATCTGCCGAACCGGTCATGCCAAAGGTGTTATTGAGGCGGACTCTCACGTCGGCAATGTAGAGCACTGTGCCGGAAACAAAATTGTTGTAAGGTAGCGTAGGATACGGGGTTTTCTTATGAATGCACTCGTGGAGATATGACTGGCGCTGTCTGTATGCATGCTGTACCTGTCTCCCCTGCGTTCCATGCTTCCGAGAACCGTATCAGCTCTTCGTCCCACCTGTAGATTAGGAAATATTATTCTTGTATAGCTGCATGGAGACTGTTGTAGCAAAACTACCTCAAATAATAAAAGTAAAAACTAGAGTGGCTGAAATGTGGTCCAAGCGAACTAATGTATCAGATACAGTGTGTTTCTAGAGTAAAAAAGTACAAATAATCTTTAAACACAATCTTTTTTTTGTACTTTTCATTCCCACTAAATGTGTCAGTAATAAGGCACAGTATTATAGTGCAATTAAAGCTGTCTGCATTACATTATGAATAAACTTAATCTCGGCATTCGGTTTGAGAAATACTTGTTTGGTTCCCTGGTTCCATAACTCGCTACAACCATACATTATTGCATGCAGAAATGTATCATTTCAAGTTGTACTTTCCTTAAAAAGCCTAAAAAAATAGGTTATGCTATTGCATTTTACTATCACTGAAGATATAAAACATTGTACAAACATCTGCTGTGATGTTATTGCAACGTTTCCAGGTAATGTTACAATTTTATGTACATTTTTAAACATGCTAGCAGACTATATATTCTGGATGCATTGTGCCAACGTTTGGTGCTGCTTGGGAAGTAGACTATTACTATAAAAGATATAGTAATGCTCAAAACAATTCCTTAGATACTTTTACTTAGAGCACAAAGTATGCATCAATAAGCACTCTCCAGCACTTGTTAAGGAAAAAATGGAATGTCTGCTGAATATGATTGCAATGTCAGTTCACAAATCGTTTCGCTCACAGAGAAATCTTGAAGCCAAAATGTGACTGGTCACAAACGGTGATATCAAGTTTCTGCGTCTGCCTCCCATCCTTTGTGGAAACCTGTGTGACACCTCCGACCTGAAATGTAAAATTAATTTATTAAAAATATAACGATGGAGCAATTAATTATTAGTTATTTAATTATACCCTGAAACAACAAAAACTTGACAGGTAGAAATTTATAAAATGCACAGATCAGTAACATTTGGGCTGAGGCTTCTTTTCACTATATGAAATTGATGTTTTTATCGCTCCTGCATACGTTTGTAATGAGGAAAAGTATTTAACAGAACAATGGAGGTCCAGAAGCTCTAAGAAGTTGAGTTTCTTGCACTGTCCAGGATAAATGGAAGTGACCAACAAGATCATAAAGCTATGATCACACATTCTAAATAAATGCTATTTCGTTTCTGGTGTTTGGCTTTCTTGGTGCCTTTTGGAATTCAAAACGAGAGTTGTTTATGTATACAGTGTGATTACTAGTTCTTTGTTTGTCCTTCTTTAATTTGTATTTGCTTTCCGTGGGTGTTTCAAAAGTTTGGGGAAGTTTGTTAATTTTGTACTCGAAATTAACAGCTGGCAGCCCCTGGCTCTCCCCCTTTCCCGCATTGCAGCGGAGCACGCAGGAAAAAGCATCGTTTCACGGTGGTCCCGCCCGGTTATGCATTTATATTTGTTTTATTTGCGTGACCTACATTTCAGGCCATTTCATAAAAAGAAAAAGCATTTTATTCAGTAAGCGAATATGTGTAGTATTGATGTGATATTCCCTTTATTTCTAGTATTTTTTCCTTCTTACCTTAGCGTGGTTACAAAAGCTGTTTTGGAGGGGCCGTGCAACGATGTTGGGTATGAACGCTTCTCACTTTACACACTTCACGCACAGTGGGACTCAACCCAAGTATACTGTCATGCGCCACTGACCAAGAATCTTCATCGCCGCGTGACCTGAAGGAAAAAGGCGGGCGTTTTTTTCAGTCCCTCCTTCGCAAAACTTGATGACGGAGTTCTGGGGATAACATGTAGATCGACAATGCGATCCCCCGGATTTTGTCACGAAGCTTTGCGACCCCGACGGTGCTTTGCCAACCCCAGCGCGCGGTTATGATATCACGTGGCCGCCTATTCTGGCTTAGAGTTAAAGGGATACTTCAACGAAATTTGAAATATTCCCGCCGTGTTCAAAAATAGGTTGAATATGATCCACAATATCCGTAAATGACAATCGCACGTTTGTATTTTGATCCTGGTGGCTGTATTTTTCGTTATAAACGGCCCACTCTGGCAAGCGCTCGGAGAAGGCCCAGCTTAGAGCACGTGACATCCAACGCAATCGTGACGTAGGTCGTCTCAAGACGAGCAAAGCTACGGCGAGGCTGACGTCGAGGGGATGGCCTAGTCGTTCCAGCCACCGAAGCGGCTGCTTTTGTACGAATTTTGAGTGACGGGTTAATCTTCTATAATCTTCTAGGGGGACAATAGCGACTTCTGCGACACACAAAAGGGATTCTCGGGAAGAGGGGAGTTCCTCCTTCCCCCCTTCTCTCGTCGTGGCCGAAGACGAGACAACCTCCGTCACTAGCTGTCAAGGTTCCTAGACGAGCATTACAAACGAGGCGTTAGCGACATCCACCAGGTGCTCTTTGCTAATCGTTTAATTCGTTTTAAAATTCCTTTTCGAGACTTTTTTAAGAAGATATTGGTATGTTCCATGTGGTACTGCTCTTTTGAACACATATAGACCAAAAAATGAGCGCCGAAATTTCGTTGTAGTATCCCTTTAAGGCAGATGTGAATAATAATAATAATAATAATAATAATAATAATAATCTTTATTTGCTCAGGAGAGCCGCGGCACCGCAGAAAGGCAACAGCCCGTACCAAGGAGGCCCGCGGTGCCGCGTCTAGTGAAGGGGATTATGTGATGATGTAATATACAAGATGAGAATGCTACTCGTTCTTTATTTTTTGTCTGAAATTTTCACTCTAAGCAGTATTTACCAGTCTTGGGTAGTAACGCGTTACTAGTAACGCGTTACTGTAATTTCGTTACTTCTTTGGTAACTTGTAACTGTAACGAGTTACTTTTTAAAAATGTAACTTGTAACTGTAGTTCTATTACTTTTTTCTGAGGTAACGATGAAAGTAACGACGTTACTTTTGTCGTTACTTTCCAGTTTTTCATGAATAATATATCACTGAACGAGTACAATTTAGCCATTTTTTGCGCTTTCCAAATTGTCTCTTCCGACATTTCGAGTGTCAAGTTATTTTTTGCACAGACTTGCGAATACATTCTTTCTCGCCAGTCACGACCCGAATATAGCCACGTGTAGGTTCGGTGAAAAAAAAAAAAGTAGTTATCTTTAGCACGCGCTTGTACTTCGTGACTGAACACTTGCATCTTAGTGTCTTGAAGAGCTCTCTCTTTTGCGGTTTTTCTTTTTTTCTTCGCAAACGCTTTTTAATCGGGTGAATCAAACAACAATACACGCGGAGGGCACCGCGAATGTTTCGTATTTTAATTAGCGCCGCCACTCCGCTCTGCGCATGTTTCGTATTTTGATATGCGCCATTAATCCGGTGTAGTGTCAACAGTCGAGGCAAAAGTTACTGCTGTTTGAGCGGGGTTTGTTTCTGGCTTGCCGGGTACAAGCTGAAATATGTCCACTGTATGAACCCAGCGCAACCGTCAACGAGCCAGCAATAAGCTAGTGCTACGAAGGATATGAATGTTGATAAGAATAAAGGAAAACTACCATGGCCGGCGTACAGAGAGTATTTTGCTGACGTGGAGGAGGTTACTAACACCTTGACCGCAGAAAACGGCACTCTATTGCCTCATCGCCTACCCGGCAATCAAAAACCTTTTCCGGCGAAACAACACAGCAATCCCATCCAGCGCGTTAGACGAGCGCCTGTTCAACAAGGGCAGGGACGTGTTCGTTATCAAACAAGGGAAACTTTCAGAAACTAATTTCGAGAAGCAACTGCTGCCAACTTAAAATACGAAGTAAAAAACACACTTTTTAATTTTATGCAAATAAACTTGGTGAAAAGCGTTTTCTAGTTTCTCCTAATTTTTTTTTTGTGTTATGTAAAAAGTAACTGAAAAGTAACGTCGTTACTTTCTAAAAGTAACTGTAACTGTAACTAGTTACTTCTTTTGTTGCGGTAACTGTAACGGTAACTTCACTACTTTTTTCTGAAAGTAACTGTAACTGTAACGAATTACTTTTTAAAAGTAACTTACCCAAGACTGGTATTTACTGAAAGTACAAATAGTTGCATGGCTGCTTTATTGGTGAAACAGGGCCATATTGTTAGCACGAGAACATTACGGTACTACTTGTAACAACGCAGCTGATCAGACGCGCCAACCGAAACACAAACTGGGCACGTCGCTACTCGTTCTTCTCAATTTTTTTTTTTCTTCTAAAATTGCCACTTTAAGCAGTAGTGACCATATCGTTAGCACGAAAACATTACTACGCTGTAATAACCATCACAGCACGCTGATCAGACGCGAAAACCGAAATACAAACTGGGCACGTCGGTTCGCGACTTCGGGTGCATTGGTTCCTCGAACCAACGGCGCCATCCCGATCGCGGAAACCATCACGCGTTCAAACATGGCGGAACCACCGGCGGAAAAGCGACGTAAACTCCACGACGGCGCGGACAAGAAGGACAAGCAAGCGATCGTCGTCCTCAGCAAGCCCGGATCGGGGAGGCGGAGGAACTGCCCGTACCTGGACACGATCAACCGAAATGTGCTCGACTTCGACTTTGAAAAGCTTTGCTCGGTGTCCTTGTCCAAAATCAACGTGTACGCCTGCCTGGTCTGCGGGAAATACTTCCAGGGCCGCGGCACGAACACCCACGCGTATACGCACAGCGTGCAGGTAAGTTCAAGGTTCCGTAGCGTGTGTTTGTCTCCGTTGGGGCGTCGAACGAAAAAGGGTGTTACATCTTCACGTAATCACCATCACTATTGCCATTATCCGGTCGTCCAATCAAAAAGGCGCCGGACGTGTCACGTGGTGTCCTACCCCGCGTGACGTCACAAACGGCCCTCTGGCGAGCAGAACCTGCGAGCTAAGGTAGGGCCACAGTAAAACTGCACCACATACATTATACAAAAAGACAGAATGTTTGCTGCAGATGTGATAAAAAAATCATCTGTCTCGCGCATGTTTGTTTCGTACGCATGTGTGCTTCGGACATGTCTGCGGATGGTCTTTGTATGACCAATGCAACGGGATGCAAGGAAGAACCATGCCTCAGACGGTCTCTGCAGGCTGTCTTTTGCATGATGTATCAGCGGTCTGTCCGTGGCCTTACACTGTTGAGATGCCAGTTACATTGACTAGGGCACCTACTTGGCATTGCAGCGGGCGAAGTATTCACTCCGTGGAATGGCTTCTGCTGGATGATATTTAAAAGTGTGGTGTTAAACGTATGAAGTGGTCCTCACGCTTTGGGTACCCAAGATCTCACGTCAAATTAGGTTTCTAAGATAGAATGTGCCTCTAATAACACCGAAGAACACCGCAAAATACAGTGCCCACCAAACTCGTACGGAACACGCGACCTGGTGTCTCGTCTCGTAGAAGTGCCACGCTGGCGGCGTCCGAAGGAGTGCTCCACGGCGTGGCGCTCGGCAAAACGGCCCGAGCACGGGAGGCCACTCGCCCAAAAGCCAAAGTCGCAGTCAAACCGGAGACGACGCGGCGATTTTTCTTACTGTGCGGTTTACGCCTTTCGGCAGCTCCTCGCAGCGATGCTTAGGTGGCTGCCGCCGGAATGGCGCTGTCACGGGACAATGCACAGTTTGCGTGTCCTGTACTATTCCGGCGAGACTTGTGCGCTGCTTTCCGCGTCGTAAGGTCGGATTTTCTCTAGAACACGAGTTGGTGAGCCTTCGTCTACAACTGTAGAATGGCTATGGTGGATCTTGCGCCGTAAAGCGGAGTCGGCGCCTGCACACGGAAAGCCCAAACTTTTGCCGAACGTATTGAGCAGACGGTGGTGTGCGCCGTCCGCTTGCTGCTCCCATTGGGAGATGGCACCACGCGTTATAGGCGTTGTGAAGTTGACCATCCGCGAATTTGTTTGCCATTCATCCTGGCAAGTTTGTTGGGCTCACATTTTCATTAAAAGGAAGCTATGGCTTAAAATTTCATCAGCTAAAATGCACCACCCTCTATGCATGTTTAATGAAAGTTCAAGCTTCTTATGTGCAGGTGCCGATTTTCCAACTTTTTTTTACAGCAGAAGATCCACCATAGCCACACCATTCATGATTTACAGCATAAGCTCCCCAACCTAACTATAATGTCTGAATCCCTGGCGTTTACCACTTCGAGTATGCTATTTATAAAATTCCGTGTTTTCGGAGTTTATTTCTCCAGAATTTCGATTTTATTTTTTAACGAATATTCAGAGCTTATCGGTGCTTATTTTTGTTAGATTCCCAATTCTCCAAAGTAGAGAGTTCATATTTGCTATGTTTCCAAATTTTCAGGATGAGAAATAAAAAATATATATTAACCGGCGGGTATACCCTGCCCTAGATTTATAGGAATGCACGTGCAACCACGTCAAATCGGCGCCGTTGCCATTACTATAACTAATTATCCCACCACAAAACTTCAAAAAGACCATAAAATCACTGGACTCCTTGACTTACTGGAAAGCTTCTTTTCTTTTCATTCTATTCTACCGCCTCTCCTCGCGCCTGCCCGGGATGGAGTGGGGAGAGGGAAGCCTCAGCTGTCCCTCTTATGGAATACAAGAGGTCATAGCTTTTACAGTCATCAAATCACAACCCTACCTTCCCCTAAAAATTTAAATTTGGAAACCAAAAGAGTGGTTCCTGCCGTGACCCAGAATTACAATGCCCCGTTTGGTTTGTGTCGTTACCCAGAGTTACAATGTCCCGTCGTCCTAAACGAGCCCCGACGTGATAAACGGTGACACTTCTTTGGTCAATACTACAAGATTTTGAAGGAACCTGTGAAGGCCTCTCCTGATGACGGCTGAACCTGTGCTCTGACGAAACTATTTTGTAGATCAGTGCCCTTTTTGTTTTTCATTTTGGCCATCGTGACCTTTAAATTCTGAGTTTTTTTTTAATAAATCCAAACTGAAAAAAAAAGTTTTTTGGGGAGTGTTTTTCAAATTTTATGGGAATTATCCAAAAACAGGGAAACCCTAGTATTTAGTATCACAAAATTCACAATAGTGTTAGTGAAATAGGCAAATGAAAATGATGCAAAAACCAACTTTCAAGTTTACCAACAATTTTTAATGCCACGACATCAGTGGCAGTCTGGCTCGCCGGTCGAGTGGGCAGTCTAAGAAAATGGACCATGCCGAGCCTTTGTTTTGTGCTGCTGAGCAGATGCTGGAGCGAGCTTCCAAAGCACTCATTTGGCACCACGAAACTGCTTGTAATAAGTTGGGAACAAAGTCTACAGCCCAAAAAGTGAATTCCTACCTTCCCCTCTTTTTCGTTGGTGCCAGTAAAGATTTTCAGATTAAATAACATAGTGAGGACCAAAATTTAAACTTCAATAACTTTGCAGAAAGAAAATTAATTTTTTTTGCTTAATGTTTGGGATGCTATTTCAGCAATTGGAAAGCAAACATATTTTCTCTGGTTTGGTAAAGCTACATGAATATAGCCACCACGTTGGGCTGTACTTTTTGAGGGCTTTAGTTGGAGTTCATTCCTTTTAACTATATTTCAGCGACGTGTGTTCGTCTGTTAAGACCAATCGGGGGCCATGAAGAAAACGCCGGAGTACCCCTTTAAGTGCCTTCTTCAACCCTGTACTTGTTCCGTATGCCCCTTTACAGGTGAGCCACCATGTGTTCCTGAACCTGCAGACCCTGCGCTTCTACTGCCTGCCGGACAACTACGAGATTGTGGACTCCTCCCTGGACGACATCACATACGTGCTGCGGCCAACCTTCACCAAGGGCGACATCATCCGCCTGGACCTGAGCGACCGGCTGTCCAGGGCCTACGACGGCACCACCTACCTGCCGGGCATCGTGGGCCTCAACAACATCAAGGCCAATGACTACTGCAACGTCGTGCTGCAGGCCAGTGCCGCCGGCCTGGCAGTTTTCTAGCTGTTCTAGCGGGCCGGTTTTCAGAGTTGTCTGGCGGAAAGAATCGCTTTCTGCGGGTGGTGTAATTTTGAGCACGTGTTGAGTGTTTTTTTCTGGAGGTCTAAAATTTTATATACTACATCTTCAAGCGTATACGTCATGTTTGTTTTTGTCCAGTTTTATGTCAGTGCGTCATATGCAACGATGCATCTTATTTTAAAATTTGTACTACCCTAAAGGGGTACTCTGGCAACCTTTCGAGCTACCCCGACTAACTATTGAATCCCCATCCTTTACCCGTTTCGAAATGCTAATTGGTATCATGAAATTCAGAATAATTACTGCGAAATTGGCAAATGAAGGCGGCGCTATAATCGACATTCAGATAGATATACCCGCACTTTTCAGCGCCGCAACGTCGCTGGCAGGCAAGCTTGCAGGTCGATCAGGTAAACTAAAAAACAGTACGGCAAGCCTTCGTTTTGTGCTGCTACACGGGTGCAGGAGCAAGTTTCCAAAGCATTCATTTGACATCGTAAAACTGCTTGTAATCAATAGACCATTTGCTATATTACCCAAGCATCAAGGAGAATGCAGGGATTGGTTTTCCAGGCGCCACACGCGCACACGTTCCCCGTATAAAATATTCAAAGTAAATAACCAAAATAAAGCGTCGACGAACGCGCGTGCAAGATACCATTTCATTTAGGTTTTTTCTTTAGAAAATTTACTACTGCTGAGGCCAGTACATGCGGCGCGTGGAACATTAATCCCTGCATTCTCCTTGATGCTTGGGTAACATAGCAATAGGTCTATAGGAAACATATTCTACGATCCGAAGAGTGAACACCTGCCTTTCACTGGCATCACTTTTTCATTGTTGCCACTCTAGCTTGAAAAAAAAAAATGGTGAGAATTAAAGTTGTAATGGTCCTCACCGAAGGTCGGTCCACCTTTGCAAAGAAATATTATTTTGTGCTAATATACGGCGAGCAAGTCGTCTGCCTCTTGCGCAGGATTTGCGGTCACGTCAGAACGACACAGAGCTCTGATTGGCATTGATTGAAAGGATAGTGGGTAGACCTCAATGCTAGATGCCTTCAGTCTACCCATTATTTTTTTCAATCAGCCAATAAGAGCTCGGCGTTCTGACATCATCGGAACCCCTGTGCGAGAAAGCAGACGAACTTGCACTCCACATTAGTTCCTAGTCCAACAACATCTGTTATTGTGTTTGGTCAGTTTTGGAGCGCTTCGGGAACTGCAAAGAAAACGTTGGACTACCTTTTAAAGTGTGCAAGATTTGGGCTGTGTCGACATTTTGACAAGGGAGAAAGGGCAGAGCATCCCCCCTGACCGGCTGCTCTCCTGGTGGCCCAAACATGGTCAGAAACATGGCTGCATAGGTCCACGGCTGCAGCCCAACGCTGGCCATGGAAAGTAGTGCAACTTACATGCACAGAGGTGCGACTCATGGGACCAATGTTTCGTAAAAATGGCCATTTATAGGGAAGGTATGACTTGTTCAACAGTGTGACTTTATAGGGAAGATATGACTTGTACAACAATGTGACTCAAATATAGGAAAATCTGGCATGTCATAATTTAGACCCCATTGTCAAAACATGCATGAAAAAAATTCTAGCAACAGCCCGACGGATAAAAAAAAGGTAGGACGTAAAAATTATTTTATTCCAGTAGCTTACAAAATATGGGTAATGCTACACGTGACTTTGCACAGGAAGAAAACGCTTTTATGTGACAGTCGAGATATCCTAAATTATAACCGGTGGGAAAATAAGGCATCTAATTTAGTTTGAAATGATACGACGGTGGTGCTGTTAGTAACGGCGGTTTTCACCGCTGTCTAGTGGAAGAACTAGGCTCTTTGCAGGTTTTGAGATTTTTAGCTGTTTTTAAGTCGTGTTAGTGTTATGTTCTACGGTCTAAAATGTTTGATAGTTTTCATTTGTGAACTGTAAATAGCCCAAGGATCATGGTAAGATAGAGCCATAGAGAAGTCATTGTTGCTTACTAGGAAAAATTGTGGTCAGTGAGAGCAAAGCTCGCAAAATCATTGAGATATTACGGCAGTAAGCATTGGAACATGCCTTGAAGTGCATTGTACATGAACATTTGAACGTGCCTTGTGCCTGCCAAATTAAATGGGCCCGGTGAAGTATGCGCAAAAATTCTTAAAAATGGGGAGGTGTAGGATCCTAAACTTGGAGATCTTACTGAGAATTCCAAAGGACATCAGATGAGTCAAGTACCACTGCTGCAAAATTGGAAGTTTCCCAGAGCATGCGAATTTGTTCGCTGAAGCTTCGAGCTGCCGCCAAATGTAGCACAAAAGATTGGAGCAACAGATGTGTAGAGCGGCGGGTCTGGCACCCCAACTGAAGCCGGCAGTAACAGCAAGGCAAAGCAGTGATGTTTGCTCTGTGCATGAAAGAAGTCTGGTTCAAAAGGGAGTTCCTCCTTTCAAGGGCATTCTGTATTTATTGAGTTGTTTCCACACTAATTATGTAGCCACTGACAAGGTGAGGACGGCACGGAGGAGTTTTGGTTGTCCTTCCCCCAGCGCGAGCTTCCCACCTTGGACAATGCATCTCGAAAGCGCGTGTGCAGCCAATGCACGGCGGAAGGCAAAAGGAGCACGTCCTGGAGTTTGGGCGTTTCAAAGACGTGCTCTGCCGCTCTCATTCAGCGACTCTGGTGGTTATGAATTGTATTCAAAAGTAGTCCTTGCTTCGCAACTTGAATCCAGCGACTTTTCGGGCGATTTTTTAGGATTCCCGTTGCGGGTTTGTGATTTTGAGGTTGGCAACGATGCTGCAGGCGCTGTCACATGTGCCGCCGCTGCGCAACTACTTCCTGCGGGAGGAGAACTATGCGGCGCTCAAGAGGCCCCCCGGGGACATCACATCGCTGATCGTTCAGCGCTTCGGCGAACTCATACGCAAGCTCTGGAACCCGCGCAACTTTAAGGTGAGCGCCCTTTCGAACGTCGTCGGGAGGAATGGTCGTGGCGACTTGGGGCTGTTGGCATTGCGGCATGTATTGTTTTTTTTTTTGCTTGGAATGTGTTTAGTGCTGGGCAGAGGAAATTTTGGGGATGGTGGAACCCCTGGGGATACTCTGGGGAACCCCTGTGAATACTTTGGGGAATCCATGGAGATAATCCAGGAAATCCATGGCGATACTCTGGGGATACTTTGGAGAACCTGGGGTGATACTCCGTTGAATCCCTGTGGACACTCTAACGAATCACTGGGGATACTGTGGAGAACATCTGGAGATACTCAAAAAAAAAAACAGTTTGAGAAGCCACACTCTAAGTGTAGCTTAGTTAGTGAGCCTAGTTGCGTCGTCTTGCGGTCCTGGTGGCAGCGTCCGAGGCACGTTCCCTACCCAGGCGCACGTGAGCCCGCACGAGATGCTGCAGGCGGTGGTGCTGTGCAGCAAGAAGCGCTTCCAGATCACAGAGCAGGGGGACCCCATCGACTTCCTCTCCTGGTTCCTCAACAGCCTGCACCTGGCCCTCAACGGGACGCAGAAGCGCTCCTCCAGTATCGTCTACAAGACCTTCCGCGGGGGTATGAACATCTACTCCCGCAAGGTGGGCCCACATTCGCACCTCTGTCATTGTGCCGTGGTTCGCACCGTCGGCACTCCACACTTTTACAAAGAACAAGTTTAGAACTAGGATTTTAAGGAAAAAAAATGAATGTGTCTTACTTTGCAATTAGACACCCCGACCAACTTCACGGTTGTGTTGGTCAGAAATTATTTTTCGAAAATGGGTCAGGGGAAAAAAATTTACTCCTGCATGCCAAAGTAACATGAAAAATTCATCTTTGTGGTGCTTCTGATTTCTTACATCCTTCTAGCAAAACTTCGCCAATGTGTGATACTTTCCGAAGCATACTGCAGGGTGGGGGCCACTGTCTTCTTGCCAGCATCCCTGCCCTCAGCAGAGTATATCTCTTTGTCAGCAAAAAGAGGGACATAATTGTTGTGATCACTAAGGTCCTCTTCACTCTTAACAAAATCACGCAGTGAGTTTTTATAAGAAGTGAAAACAAAGCCATGCTTTTTCGTGCCAGCAAAATTCAAAGCGTACTCAAGTGCTGCTCCCAAAATGTTTGCTTGCAATGGGAGAAACTGAAGCGAGAAGGATGAAGCATTAAAGAAACTTTTCGAGCGGTAGCACCACCAATCCAGCAAGACTGATTGAAAGAGCAAGTCTAAACGAGCACAGGAGTGGCGTGTCGGCCCACGCCCGACCCGTGACCGCAAAGAGTTAAATTTTTCCGCCCAAGCTTGTGCCACTCATTTCCAGGTTACGGTAGCGTTTTCCCGTCGTAAGACACTGGCAGGTGGATCTTGCGGGATTGGAACGTCCTCGCGGAACTTCCTTGCGACGTGCAGGTGGTTCCAGTAGAGCACACGGAGGCGGAGCGACGGGCCGCACTCCGCACGGCGGAGTACCAGGAGAAGGTGGAGAACACGGGGTTCATGTACCTCACGGCCGACCTCCCCGCACAGCCGCTCTTCAAGGACGAGCTCCGCGAGAACATCATCCCACAGGTGGGGATGGCAATGTTGCTTTTTGAATGTGACAACTTTACTTTTGACAGACCCTGGGAAAATTCAGATGTGTAACACAAAAAGAATGCCTGTGCGTGGGAGAGTGATAAGTCGATAAATTGAGAAGTACCAAATTCACAATATTAGAGGTAGGAACCCAAGATTGTGAGCCCAACAAATTCAACCACAGCACCATAGGGCAGACTTGTGAAGTGATGGTTATTAAATGTGATATCATTTATTTAGCCAACGAACACCACTGAACACGCAAGTAATGCAAACGGGTAGCGCGAGCGGGAACAATCGGAAAAGAAGCCTAATTTTGGCATTCCCTCGGAAACTGGGGCCCAAAGGAGCCAATTGACAAACCGAACAACCAAGCAGTGAAGCATAACTCTAGCACTTGTTTGGCAGTTTACGGCCAAAACAGACAGATTCTGGCCCCAATTGACAAACCGAACAACCAAGCAGTGAAGCGTAACTCTAGCACTTGTTTGGCAGTTTACGGCCAAAACGGACAGATTCTGGCCATTGAATATCAATCAGGTAATGCTTGGGCTCCTTTGGGCTTTCTGGGCCCTAATCTAGCCATACAAAATATTGGCTGCATGTTTGGTCATTCTGCCAAGTGCGTTTAATTGCAGTAGCTGTATAGGGTATGTGGAGCTCTTAGTTCGGGTGGCACCTAGGGCAGGGTTTTGTATGGAAACAGATTACGTTACAGCATTGTCTTGTGATGCTACGCACGCTTCCCTTCAGCACCACACGGATAAAAGGCCTTTGCACTGAATTTTCTGGATCACCAAGAGAGAGGAGGCACGCTTTCCTGCCCTTTCCACTCCTCATGCAACGTGTTCTTTCTACACCACCTGCTTCTGCTCCTCTCTTTCTTGCCCTTTCCACCCCTCTCCACTCCACACGCTCTCTCACACCACCTGCTTCTGCTTTTCCCATTCCTGGATGCTGAGTGCATAGTGCACTCGGCTTCCACGCCGGTGACCGGAGTTCGATTCCTGGCACCATGTGCTGCTTTTTTTTTTTTTAAAGATCATTTAATGGTTATGGACTGATTGACCTACACATTTCATGCTTACGTGGCTCCTGAGGTTGGTTGGCCCTATGAAGCCACCGCTTTAAAACCAAATATTGACCCAACAAATTGTGCTGCCTGAAAGTGTTTTCTTCTTCCAATGGACATTTTTCAGTAATCCTCCGCACATGCGTACACCCTCTGCCCAGACCCTTGCTTTTCGCTGTCACCGATTTCGGAGTGCACTGTCCCACATGTCCTACACCATCAGAACCTACATTACCTATTTTTGTGCACATTTCGTCTTTTCTGATGGTTCTTTTTTGAGCATCGGTACTATGGGCCATAAAAAGTAATCAAAACTGATACAACGGCACGATGCCAATGTGTCCTGACGGGTGGAGGCACGTCGGGCTGCCCTTCATATGTAGTTTGCAGACAACCACCCCCAGATGTTGCTAGTTACTCGACAAAGGCCCAAGTTTCACGATAACGACACCAGACCTAGGAAATACCCTTAAAGGTGGAACAGATGGAGTCAGTGAGAACCACTGCATAACTATAGTCGGATGCAACCTGAGAACAATCTTTTAGCTCCACCCACAAGCGCATTGCGCCCATCTGAAGTGCGTCCGCCGTCGAGAAAGTAGTTCGCTAGCAACGTTTCTTTTTCTTCCTCCAGGAAACGTGTCTTAAACTACTACAATATTTATTTAATTCATTCAGGACATTTAAATAATTTAGAATACGTTTGTGTCAACGAAATAGCTGTTTAGTAAAGAAAGAAAGTCATGTCCAATGTACCGTCTTCCCAATTCATTTTCTGTCCAAGATACTGTCTAACACACCGTCTAACATACCTCTCAGCAGTGCTAAGCCTCGCGCCCGCTTCGAAATTTTCGTTGGCGATAGCGTCGCTGGATTCTCACGTTGTCGCGCAAAAACTGCTGCAACCGCAAGCCGATACCATTAAGATTTCGTGGCATAACCTCGGGCACGTAAAACACGGTGCAAAAAAGCAGAATAATTGTCACAAGAAACTAGTGTCGCGTTGCTAAGGCCAGCAGCCACGTTGGGCTTTTCCTTTTTTTATTTCAAAAGGATCGCGATTGGTCCACGGAATCGTGACGTCATGAAAACGATTTGCTGGCGTTTCTCGGCGTAGGATTACATTTTCCTCTGAGAGGCATTTCCGTTTTTTTCTTAGCTTGCAACCGACTATAGCACAACCACGCCAGCAACAAAGAGGCAGGACAACGGGCAGTGTGCGCAGGCAATGAAAACTAAACTGGAACACTGGTGGCACAAGATTCTCGACAGAAGATAATCAATTTAAGCTCTTCTATAATTTTAGTTAGGGCAAACATTTTTGTGTCTTGCCCTCTATATGGGGAAACACCGTATCGCCACCACCATCAGGTCTATTCCTGCTTCCTCGCCCCTTTAGCCATAGAGTTAATATAATGTTCTAGAGGAAAAGGTCCCAAGCATTCCAACCACTTCAGATTGATAGGGCACAGATGAGAATACCAGTGTTCCCAGAGAACGGTCTTGATGGGCCCATATCATTGGCGACGCCTTAAAGGGACACTGACAGGGTATTTGTGCTAGCCGAGGTTTTTAGTTGTATGTGACATATGAGAGCTCAACTACCCAGAACAGAATTTGCGGCTCGAAATTCGGTTTCTTTCCGCCCGAAAACCGCCGATCAAGAACTGGCCGGTTCGAGTCTCGCTCACTCTCTTTTCCGCGGTCACGGGCCGTTTTCTAAGGTATCGATGCGACCACCAAATTTAATCAAAGTCGTGGGTCACTGAAGGCACACACTCAATATTAAAAATAGAAAAAAATATGAAACCCATTTTTTGTGGCTTCTAAAAAGCTGCAAATACGTTGATTGAAAAAAAAGTTTCACAGACAACCGGAAGCATTCTGTGCGTGCGTCGTTTCGCGTATCGTGGGACTCGCAGGGACGCAATGGCAGCGGACGACGGGCGTGGGACCTCTATTTCAGAACTGTCGTTCGCGGTACCGAAGAATTTTGTCTGCCTTTAAAAGAGAAATTTGGGACTGATCAAAAGAATTGGTATTCATCCCGAACGACACGCCCGACCACCAAGCCGATTTGCACTAAAACGTCGCCGAGCCGTCGCTCCCTTCTCGTGGCTGAAGACATCGCTCGCGCAAACGTCAAGCACGACGTGTCTACTTCGAGTTGAATGTGCACGCGTACGATTTCTTTACTAGGTGCGAATGTCGCCAATGCGGGGTGCATCCCGACTTCGACCCGGGAGTGCTTTTGCTAAAGGAAAATCGGTAGCAAACTTTCCAACTTACAGTTTATCGGCTGAATTATTACTAAGGAAAGAGATCCCCTTGTTTCGATATGCCCCAGTAGCTTAGTGGGAAAGACGTCCGCTTTACACGCCGTAGGATCGGGTTCGATCCCCCGTGGAACTTACTGTTTTTTTTTTTTCATAAGTTTTTTGATGTCTACATTTCTTTTCTTTTTTTAAAATTATCACTGAAGAAACAAAAAAAAGAAACAAATGTTGTGGACGACACGTCGCTGAATTAAATGGTATGGGATTTCCTTTTTGACACCTGCGAACTCAATGTAATCACTTTCCACAAAATGCAAGGAGCATATAAATCAGGTAGCGTCCGCTTTCCGAGGTGCCCGTAAATGGTCTACAGGAATTGCAGCCAGCCATTGGTCCCGATCCCGTTGATCTTTCGGAAACTCTGTCGCACAATGCCACTTCTGTTTCGGACGCAGGACATCTGAGCCAGCTCTTCACGCAATATCTTGGGTGTATTCTTTTCGGAGCCGATCAAAATTTACCACGGGCACTCACTACTCATCTCCAACTCCTCAATATACAAAACAAATAACTCATCTTGGAGTACAGAACAACGAGCGGAACATACATAACTGCAAAAGAATCCCACGGCGAACAGTTCCCGTACGCCGCATGTCGTCTGCTACCGGGAAGGAGAAAAAAAAAACAACAAAAAAAACACACGGTCGGGTGTAGCCACGTGACTTCCGCCACTCGCTCTCTTCTCTCCACTTCTCCGACCTCCGTCGGGTTTCGTTTTCGGTTTCGAGCAGTTGCGTCTTTTGGCTTTATTAAAAAAATACGCTACTCTGTTGCAAAATATTAATTGGGTAGTCCTCCGACACCATAATAAAGCGCCTGGCAAAAAATTAAAAAAAAAATTTTGGGGGTGTCAGTGTCCCTTTAATATATATATACAAAGAAGAAGGAAGACATTAACTCTAATGTCTGTGCCTACCATAAAATACAGTATAAGCACCCTCCCCCCAAAGATCATCTATACAATTTTTTTTTGGCAGAATACGTATAGCATAAAAATTCTAAAACATCGCCCACCACCTTCAGATTTCTGTCGGATATCACGTGACGTCTGGCCAGAATCACACCAACTGCACAGTCTGCAGTACTGATATGTGTGACAAGCAAGTTCTTAGCAGATTCCCGAGTGGTTGTGACACGTAAATCTGATGTGGCTGCAATCTGCAGTATTCGTTCCATTGACATGAGAGTTCATAGCCGGTACCCTGGTGTTTATCGCAAATTGTTGATAAACTTTTGCTGTGGCACCCCAAAGGTCGTCACCCCATCTTCTTATTATTTATCTCTTTAATTCGGTTTGGCATTCTTACGGGACTTTACGGCAGTTCTTTTGTAGCTTACTTCGACGAAAAGACCAGCATCGGACATTATAAATTGAGTCGACAAGACCTCGAGGGCAACTTCGAATCATTGTGGCAAAACGAACTAGCTTTTCATCTGTTTTCTTTCTCCGCTTTTTTTCTTGTTCTCTTCCCCATTCTTTCTCTCGGCCGGAGATGTCGGCATTCACAATCTACCCTCGTTCTGCTCCTGTCTTTACACCGCCGGTTTCCTCACCCCGTGTAGGTGCCCCTGTTCACGATCCTGTCCAAGTTCAACGGCACCAGCGAGAAGGAGTACCGCACCTACAAGGACTCGACACTCAAGCGGTTCCAGCTGACCTCCCTGCCCCCGTACCTGATCCTGTACATTAAGCGCTTCACCAAGAACACCTTTTTTGTCGAGAAGAACCCCACCATCGTCAACTTCCCCATCAAGGACGTCGACCTGGGCGAGCTGGTGGCGGGGGCGGAGGGCGACGACACCTACGTCTACGATCTCATCGCCAACGTGGTGCACGAGGGCGAGCCTGGCTCGGGGAAGGGCACCTACAGGTGAGTAGCCACCGGCCATTCGGTCTCAGGACTCCGTGAAGGAGCCACGCAACGACATTGGGTTGGACTTGAAATGTTTATCATTTTTGGGTTGGAATGTTTCTCATTTTTTGGATGAGAATGTTTCTCCTTCTTGGGTTGCAGTGTCTCATTTTCGGGTTGGAATGTCTCACTTTTAGTTAAAATGTTTCTAATTTTTAAGTTGGAATGTTTTTCATTTTCGTAGGATTGTGCAGCTTTTTGAATTTTTGAATTGTAGTTTCAAGTAACATGCCATTCGGTACTGTTCGCTTCAAGATGAGCTCCAATTTTCATTATTTTTTTGTAAGTGTTGATCGTGGCAAGTTAACTCCGCTAAGCACAGGAGAACCCCAGTGCATGAGTATGATGAGTGGCGGCGGCGTATGCTACACATTTCCAAGAGACACTCGGCCCCAGCGGCAAGAGAACCTTTTTCGAGCATATTCACTGGGTTTGAGGCTAGTCTCCCACCGGTGTCCCTGCTAAGCCTAACCGAGTGGACATGATTGCAGTGGGCGCAGCCTGCGTAGGCACAATTTTAGACACTGCGGGGGCTCTCCCCTTTTCCCGCTGTATTTTTCGTTTCATGGTGTATCTGTTTTTCTGAGCACATTGAGAAAGCATTGTACTACATTGGGAACAAAAAAACGAACTGCAAACTATTTCTGTTGGGTACGCACGCGACAGAGCGAATGCGGCTGGGATGTTTGTTTTATTTTACGCGAGTTTTGGCGGTGCCGCTTGTTCAGAGATGTTAATCGACAAAGGGCTTGGCTACCAAAAATAATTGACAACGGATGATAGCCGAAATGCATGCATATTTTATGCGCACAAATAACGTGCCTACCAATCTACACGACAAGGCTCGGACATAAAATTTAGCAAGTGTCAACATTGCACCATGTGGTGCAGCGTTATCCAAAAAATATTTATTTGAGAAAGATCTCAAATAACACAGTACAAAGCAGCGTTGACGCCAGTCACATCTCGACGATCGGACGGAATCCACGAGGTCCTCGTTTTAGTGCATGGTTTGGGGAGAGCCTCCTTTTTTTTTTTACAACACCGGCACTAAGGCAAAGAGACGAACGCAACTACACAAACCCGAACAGCTATTTTTGGTGATGGCGGAGAAAGACTCTACGTGGATTATCCCTGGGAGTAGGGAGAAGCAGACAAAATCGCATCGAGGCCCGTTCGACGTTCTTCAATTCCTTCGTTTCCCGTGAATGTCGAAGCTGAAACGCCTGAATGGAAGGCACTTACCAGTCCTATTTCTGACAGTGGAAGATAACCCAAAGAGGTATGCATAAAGAAAAAAAAAAAGTGGAAACTTTCAAGATGAGAGGCCAAAAATCTTGGAATGGAAAGCTGCAAAACATAGGTGGAGAATTGCGCTGAGCAAGTTTGAGCAGTCCAAGAGAGTGGCAGGAAATTTCTAGCTGATAGGGGGCGTGAGAGTTTCACCAGCTGCATCACCGTCAGCAACATGGCAGTATATAGGAGCAGTTTTCGGAAAGGTGTATAATCTGCACCAGAGCAGATCCGCTTGTTCTGGAAGTTGGAGAGCGCACTTTGCTCATTTTTTTTATTTCTTTTTCTGTCACTGCCAGTGTGTGGAGAGGAAAACAAATGCATTTTTTTTGTAGGTTACAAATGTCAAGGATTTTTTTCTAGTTACTGTAAGTACAAACATTGTTGCACACTTTGATAGCCAATGTTCTCCTTATTTCAAATGTGTGGCACACGGGTACAATATTTACAATTACATCATAATATGATGAAATCTGTGACAATCTAATTGATCACATCAGCACTCGAAACAAGTTCCCAGTACCTTACCACGGCTAGAGGGTCGTCATCAACGAGGTCGACATTGACACCGGTCATGGCAGTAAACGAAAAACTGAGAAGCATCGATGGACGATTTGTCGTGTACACTTTTGTCCAGAGGCGGGCCGAAGCAAAGATCTCGTTGTCGACGACATTCGAATCCACTGAGTTTTTATACTCTCCTGTAGAGTCTCCACTACCGCCACTAACGTCTAGCACCAAAACATTGTCGTACGGATTAGAAAACTGTACATCGAGTTAAAGGGGCTGTGCAACCATTCTCGGACTTCAGGTCAGTAGGTGTGGGAGTTAATCCCTACCACCAGTGGAATATAGAACAGAAAACCGTTTTTCAATACGTGCCCTAGTTTTTTTTTTTAATAAAATAAAAACAGATTGAAGTATGTGCCCCCCGCGGCCACTCTCAACTCTCACACCATATTTTCGGTAATGTGGTTGTCACGTGGATGTGACGTTTAATGGGGAGGTAGGTTTCCGGATTCGCAGGCGGCTTTGGCTCGGTCTTCAGCGAGCGTTGCCACGGTTGCCAGCATTGAAAGGAGAACGAACAAGGTGGCATCTTGGAAGAACGTATCGAGCGAGATCGAGCGTGAGATGTTAGTTTTTAACATCTTTAGCCTCATGCAAGCATCTGTCAGCATGTTTAGACACGCAGTGACAAAGCATAAAAAAAAAAAAAAAAAAACTAAAAGAAAAAAAGATTATGCAGCTCACGGCCTGAGCGTCTCATTAAACGTCCCTTTCAAATTATAATTTTGGTGATTTCTTTTAAAACTTCCGTGAGCCCGTATGTTTAACTTTACGTGATAGTGAAGCAGAAGTTACTCGCAAAAGCACGTTCTCCTGAACAATGCTTGCACTGCACGAGTGCGCGTGCTAGGCAGGGACGCTGAAAGCTCGCAGCTCGCTCTTGTAGACTCAGCTACACTGGCATTTAGAACGAAACGGAGTATAAAAAAACTGTAGTTGGGGAAGCGCACATTTGAAACGTGAGCCGAATATTCTATTTTGCTCGCATGGAGCGCTGCTCAAAACTTGAGAGCTACGGGACTATGAGCAAGTGAGCAACGCCACAGAGCAGAAATGGTTTTGTTGACCTCTGATAGATGGCGCCACTAAAACTATGAATAATAATATTTCGTAATGGTAGGATACTTTCGATACATTTCTTTTTGTCAATACGACCAGATTTCTAAAAATAGGTCTTACGTTTAGCAGATAATTGCCCAATTTGCCAATGTTTTACATGTTCCCCATTTAATGTCACGCTCACGTCACGTCCATGTCACGCCGGTCGCGCCCTGTGGTTCCGACGACCACCGCTGTGCGGCTGCGGGCTGGTAAAAAAAAATGTCCAATTAGTGAAATCGCAACATTTCCGAGGAAGGTTGGGTGTTTTCTGTCACTTAGGGCAAGGCACATAGGATAAAAATTACAGGCTGCGATTTCTTTCAATGTTAATATTCTTGCACAGCCCCTTTAAGAGACACACTTCCAAAACAAACAACAACAAACCAAACAAAACAAAAAAAAAAAAACTTCTTAGATTTAGGTTGTTGGAGGAACACACTAATTCACCAATAAAAGCCGTAATCGGCAAAATTCCAGTTTGTTTTGCCCCCGGTAGTCGGAGAGGACTGATTGCAAAGCGAAAATGGAGCGAACAAGCATGCCTCGTCACTAGCGTTTCGTGCACGCATTTGAGGGAGCCGACTGGCAATGCTGATCCCCGTCGTTTGCGGGCCGAACATCGTGGACGAGTTTTAAACAATTAATGAGCCTATAAAAAATGCCAATTTTTTATAGGCTCACAAAAGCACTCAAAAACACTCATAGGGCGTTATGTTCTGTGGCACTCACTCGTATCGGCAAATCAATTTTTCTGATTGACTAATGTTGGCCATCTCGAAGCCAGGTTAGAATAATTTAAGCCTGCCTCGGTCGTGTCCGATGAACCCAGAGACATACAAAACATGTTGCAAATCAGCTGGGCACGTGCTGCATGATCTGCGCGGCACCACAGCATCGTGTCGCGTCACATGTCGTCAGGGTGTCGTATGCCACTGACATGTGTTATTCGAGCGCGGCGCATCTTTTAACCGTCACGATGTCGCGTCACGTGTTGTCGGGGTGTCGTATGCCACCGACACGTGTGTTGGTTGAGCTTGACACATCTTTTAACCGAAGAGCTTCCACCGCTTTAAAGTTCACCGCCGACGCCATGTTCTTTTAGCAGGTAGCAAGTACGATGACTGGCAAGCAATATGCGCGGCCGAGCTCTCCTTGACCCGGAATCGGTCCGTCCTCTTGTCGCTTCGTTCATTCCCAAACGTAGCAAATGTTCGGCATGGCCCAACTTCTCGCATTGCAAATGACGCGGCTGTTTAGTGCCTCGTTGCCATGGCAACTCGTCGTTCCAACCAGTCGCATTTGTTTGTAGTCGTAGCGGTCACTCCGAATGCAAGTGTGCGAATGGGCCTCAACATGTTCACGGTGATACAAATCGGCCGCCCTGGTGCCTTTGAGGCAAAGCACCAGCCTACAAATTTCCTGGTGGCGGGTTCAAATCCCAGTCGAGGTGCCTGCAATCTGACAGAGGCTTTTTGTGGTGCCACTGCAACCGAGATTTCGGCGGCACGTCGAAAGATCCCCAGGTGTTTGAAATGAATCGTCCGTCCTTTGCCGGGGCGTGCCAGATGCCCATCGGTAGTTTTGCGCATAAAACTCGTGGATTTTAATTTTTTTGACGGTGGTACAAACAAAAGGAAGTGCCTGCTTATGCTCCAAAAGTTTTTTTCGCTGCTGCAAATCGATTTTTCGACTGCTCCAAAAGTAGCCCCATCCTGGACCAATCGCATCACTGACGTGGCAAAACCCGTGTTCCACCGCCAGGGCGCACCTGCTACACCGGGGTTCGGGCAAGTGGTACGAGATGCAGGATCTGCACGTGACGGAGATCCTGCCCCAGATGATCACCCTCTCCGAGGCCTACATCCAGATTTGGGAGCGGCGCCGCAAAGGGGTGGCGAGGGGCGTCGACATATGAGCCTCGGCGACGCCGCGCAATAATAAAGGGTTTGCTTTTCGTGTCGCGCGACTCTGGGTGAGCTTACTGGACGACCGAGGGGGACCGTGAAGTGCAAATGTACATCGGGGAAGCTTCCAACTAAATACTCGTTCACACATACAGCACAGTGCTACCTCAATGTTGTTAATCAGTGCTAGAAATACTACTGACCTCGCTGATGTTGTGCTGCGTCAATGCTTAGTTGGGTTTCAAAGGGGCAGTCGGGTCTATTCCGAGATTGTCTATTTATGGTGTTAACTCAATCTGCAGGCTCTAAGCATCCTAAGAAACCCGAAACACTCATGGGTGGTGAATTTCCCTTTTAGACATTGAATCAAAGATTGCGACACGCCCCTCTTTCTGCACTTTGGAGCAGACACCAGGGAGTGTCGTCGGACGGCGTTTCCTAGAGTTCCTGCATTTGGCTACCTACGGTAGCAGAGTTGCGCATTCAGCCTCTGCGGGTGGCCGTAGTGCCGGCTTTCCTGCACGACCCCGGATGCTTTGCTCGTCACCCGATTGAATTTGGCAAATAGCGGTACCGCATGCGCAGCTGCGCATGGAAAGCAAAAAAACCAAAAGGAGGCAAAAGTGGGGGAAAATACCACAAGTCGCGTGCAACGTCGGTGGAGTGACCATAGCGGTGGCTTTCCTGCACGGCAGTGGATGCTTTGCTCCTCACGTGATCGATCTTGGCGAATAGTGGTGTGGCTGCTGGAGAAAACAAATACGCAACTCCGCTCCTCTTTCGGGGGAGCTATATCGAAGAATTCTAGCATTTTCAAGCAATAGCGGCTGTACAGCAAACTTTCGTTAGTTCGACCTCGGTTAATTCGACTTTTTGTTTAATTTGATCGTGTTCAAAAGTCCCGGCGAGCGCCCATACACTTCTATGGGAAAAAAAAGTTTGATAGTTCGAACTCGGGAACACTCCGCATCGGATAATTCGTCCCGAGTGAATGCGTGCGGGCTCACATTGCACGGCACCACGGCAGAAAAGCCACAAATGTACGGCGAAACACGGGCCCTTAGCTGCAAAGCTGAACGTGCGCAAATATGCGCCTGCTTCTCTACGCCGCTAAGATGGACCGTAGCGAATGACACGAGCCAGCGCAACCAATCTGGCGTGGAGTAGTGCGGAGAACATAGCACGGGGTCGGGCGCGGAGGCACTACGCACTCTCAAAGCGCTTTTCTGTAGCATCGTGTGCGGTTCATCTTGCGCGCCGAAAAGCACAAATTCTCTTTTTCTTTTTTTTTTTTCTTTTTTTTTTCTGTAGAAGGTTTTGTTGTTTGGCGCCGAAGTCGGCTCGTAAAGATTTTTCAGCGCGCGCTCTCAAGGCGCTTTTCTGTAGCATCGTGTGCGGTCCATCTTGCACGCCAAAAAGCGCGAGTTTTCTACTAATTTTTGTTGTCATCGATTGTTTGGCAGTCTGGCGCCAAAGTCGGCTCAAAAAACACGTTTTCCTTTTGTTTGTTTTTTCTTTTGTAGCGCGCGATTTTTTTTTTTTTTTTTATAATGTGACGTTTAGTTATGCTGCTCTCCGGAGCATGCCTTTGGACACGCGTTTTAAGCGCAGATGGCAGCAGATCATCCGTGAGTACTTTGGACAATAAAAGAAAGTTTAATTTTAACAGTTTTTCTGACCTTTTTTTAATTCGATCATTCGGATAATGCGACCAAATTTCAAGGTCCCGTCGAGGTCAAATTAACGGAAGTTTACTGTATTACGTCTTCTACACTCAAAACTTAGATGTTTAAAAGAAAAAGCTATAATAGTTTAAAGAAAGATCAACAATAGTGGCGTCCGGAATCTCCAGGCAATTGACTTCTTTGATTGGTCAAACTTTATATAAAGGTGTTGGGAACCCAAGGATAACCTCCCCGAGAAAAAAGTTCCCGTGTATTCCTATCTCTGCGAGTTTACCAAAACGTCTTGCCATCTAGAAGTGGTCGTATTAGCGACCAAAGCCCAGCAAACAATATGCCATTGAAAACAAGCTTCTACTAAAAGCACCTGAGTGCCCCATGAAGCCTGCACTCATCAGCGCTGTTCCTAGCGTTGACTCAACGCTGCGCCGTACGTGTGAACTGGCCATAGTTGTCATTTTTGAGCCGACACACAGGCGGACGAAATCGCTCCCAACTCGCACTACCTCGTGGCGGCACTACTGTGTCACTTCCTAATGCGTAGCATCTATGGGCCAGCTCCAAGTGCTTTCTCGTCCGAGTCTGGGTTGTAAATGAGAGGGAGAGAAAGCGTGGAGCTTGCTGTCTGGGACCACTTTTTGAGTGGGGACTCTTCGTCGTGCATTTGGCGGCGGCGAAGCGAACTGCACATACTACGAAGGATCTTGTTTGCGAGCTTTGTTTACCTCCAAAGCGGTGCGTTTGCAACGAAGATAAGCGCAGCAGTGTAAAGTTCTTTTGTTTTTTTAATATACTGGGTATTTTAGCAAAGATTCAAAACTTTCTACCAACATAGTGGTTAAGAAAAAAAAAAAAAACTACGGGAACAATTTTTCTGCCACGGCGGACGTCTGGGATCGAAGGAACATACTATCGTGTTTGCACGATTCTATTGCGCAGGCAGATTTAGCTCCCAGATATTCAAGAGGAAGTGGATATATTGCCATCAGTGTCCTATCATTGGCAGGCTGCAATCACCTGACTTCCAATTGCCGGTTCCAGTCCTGGCCGGTTCCATTTTAAGTGTACGTGCGTAGGGCGCAAGATTTGCTCGCTTTCCAAAGCAACAAACATAAGTGTGCTGGGCTGAGGAAATCGCGCACTGGGCTGAGGACTTGTAAATATTGGAATGGTGTGTTCTTGCCGCTTGGCTTCCGGTGAGCGAGGCGGATGCGGCCGCCACGAAGCGGCCTGTGTGGGTGGACCAGGTGGGTTAACATTTCTGTAACGAGCCGCTGCAGACTGTCTCCACGAAGCGGCGCGAACAATTGGGGGCGGATGGGTTAACAAGCAGAGCCCCAGAGATACACCCGAAAATTTGACACCCGGAAAAATGCTCGGTGATTCGCGTAAAAATATGCCGGCAGTATAGTCACGTGGTTACAGACAGCCAATGGGAGGAAACTGCGGGCAATTTGCCGCCCGGGCTACTGTGCTACATGTGCCGGCTGCCAGCCTCTCACCAGCGCGCCCCTCCTTCGAGCTTCACCGCTTGGCACCGGAGTGCTAGGAGCAGCGGCTGACATGGGGGAACGGCTGGATTAGCGCGATAGTCAGGCAAATTATGCTCTAGATTATTACAGGTCGACCTTCTTTCTCTATATTGTAGGTTTATCTCTAATTAAAAAGAAACTGAGCGAAGAAAAAGAACCCGGGTCCATGTTTGAATAAATAGGGTAGTCAGGGTAGTTCCCGTGCAGGCTGTCGATCGAAAGAGAAGCGAAGTGGCATTGGAACTCTGGTTCCAATGCCACTCAAGAGCAGTGTCGTCTATAAAGAATGAGTCTTTTATAATCTATGTGAGCGAGTGTTTTTGTAGTTTAACTAGAGTCGCATTTTTATTGATAGACATGTCAGCAAATATGCTGGTTCTTGCTGGCATTTTTCAGTAATTATATTGACAGGCTAAATAAACTACCGTGCGTAAAATGGGGATGGGAGAGAAGCTTTATCCCAACTGACACGTTGCGCTATGGTTCATTTTTCAACCATTTTTAATACCCACGTAAATGGACCTTGTCTGAGTAGTGCCGTATTTCTAAAAATGCGATGTGTCTTCCTTTTGCTCCCTGTCTAGTCTTATCACAGAAGATAATAAGTAATATGCTCCAGTACCAAAGAGGAACCCTCAATCATTATCATAGATGAACTCGGAGGAGCAACCACTTTTTTTCATTCTCAAGTGGTGTGCTAACAGATTTTGGCATCTGCTCCAAAAGTGCCAGTGACTGCTCCAAACCAATATTTTGCCTGCTACAGAACTCGCTACAAAAGGTGCTCTGCTCTACATTGATTGAGTGGTGGCGAATAAGTTATCTTCCAGTCTTCTATCTCTTCGGAATCCATTTTGGAACTCGCCCAGTATTCCCATATTTGCACTCATTCCTCCATTCCTTGCTTTACTATCTGCATAAGTTACCGTTATGGTGTCACTAACTTGGGCAGTGTTGCCTGTCGCCAGGTAAAAATCATCAAAATTCGTAAATTAATAGATACCTAAAAATCGCGATACTTCGAGCCTAAACTAAGTAGCCTATGAGCATCCTATTATAAGAGAAAAAAAAAAGTCAGCAGGGACACTTAATATTGCTTAGGTGTAGGAATGCGAAGGCACTCCTACACGCAGCGTATTCCTACCAGCAGCGCGCCACGCCTTCCTTTTGCACACGGCGCTCTGGCGGTGACGTCACGCTCCCCCGCTGCGCATGCGTGGCAAACCCCGCTGGTTTCATGTCGGCTTCCGTGACGAAGCAGTGGCGCTGCTTTGCTTTTCTTTGTGTTTTATTTCTGAGGCGCTTGCTTGATTACGTATTGGTGTGACAATCTTTCGGGCACAACGCCGCCGCTTTTTTGCGCAATAGGACAAGTAAGGCTTTCGCCGTTTTATTTTCGTGTCCTAACACCTAAAAAAACAAACAAAAAAAACTCGATTTTCGTGGAGATATTTGCAGACAACGTATGTTTCCGCCCTAAGCTGAAAACAAAACAACTAAGGAATTACAAAGAGTGAGCAATCTTTCAAGAACAGAAGCTTGCTTAGTTTTAAGTAGGAACCACTGATTGGGTTTCAAACTAGTCCGTCAGAATCTCCAGTATTACGTTTCGCGGCGGCGCCTTCGATTTGGATCCTTAGTGTCATATTTCTGTGTCAGCTTTTGTTTCTAATGAAAGCAGTGAGATCGATAGCTTTCTCGAACAAAAGAAAGAGGGTTAAAAGCCTCGGTTAAAATCACCGTGTTTAGCTTTCTCGCTGCTAATTTGACGCATCATAGGTTCCGCTGGGCGAGCTGTCTCGTGAGTCCTTAATTAACCATATTTCGGCTATAACCCATTCACCCGTGAGAGAGATCTCGCGGCTGCCGACGCATTCGTCTTGGGCCTTTTTACCCATCCGTATATTTCAGCGACTCTACGGCAACCGAAGTTCTCCCGCCCCGGTCCTCACCGAGGAGTAGCGTATATTGGGGTTCTTCGGAGTTGCACCAGATGGAACCACGCGTCCGGAGAGCACCGAACCGGGCGCGTGTCAAGCTTCGTTTGCGCGTGTCTCACGCGCCTGCGGACCCTTCACATGCCTTGCCCCCCCCCCCCCCCCCCTTCCCCACACGCACACTCTGAGAACTGGGGGGGGGGGGGGGGGGGGGGGAGGGGGCAAATGCCCCCCTTTTCTCCCTACCCTCTACCCCCCCCCCCCCCCCTCCTCCCCGGCTGGTACGCCCATGGGTCCGCTGCTGGGGCGACAAGGGGTGACCAGAGGAAATTTGGCAGCTCCCTCGACAGGGGAAAAGGGCAGAAGAAAGTTGATGTTTTTTTTTTTTTTTTTGCCCGGTCCTTCAAAGGTCATCCTGGAGATATCCCACACAGCCTCGTGAAAGTTAGGGGGAGAAAATTGGCTTAGAAGGGCGGGAGGAATCATATGTTTGTCTTTTTAGTTTTGGCCTAGGTAGCGCAAGCTACCGCCCGTTCCATCCATCGATTCATCCATCCATACAGCGGAAGGCAGGTGTTCACTCTTTGGAATGTAGACTGTTCCCAACTGATTGGAGCCCGTTTCATGGTGTCAAATGAATGCTTTGAAAGCTCGCTGCAACAGCACGAAACAACTGCTCGTCCCGCTCGACCTGCAAGCCTGCCTGCCATTGACGTCACGGCACTGAAAAGAGCGGGTATATTTGAATGTTGCTTTTGGCGCAATTGTCACTTGCCGATTTCACAATAACTGTTATGAATTTCGCGATCCTCAATAGCATACCGGAAAGGATAAAAACCGGTGATATCAGAAATATAGTTAGTTTTGGTAACTAAAAAAGAAAAAAATAGCCGTAATACCCCTTTAATTACCATTAATTATTACCGTCAAACGTGTGACCCCACCGGGAGCAAACTACTGCCCCCATATCAAAAATTCTGACATCGCGTCTTCAATGTTGTCAGTTGAGCCTCTGGGACATTAAAGCACCATAGTCAGTAACAGGTCAAGAAAAGCTTTGGAGGGAAAGAAGGGCTGGGGAGGAGGAAGCAAACAGAAGGCTGGAGAGGAGAGGACGAAACATCTTCCTCTCTCCAGCGTTCTGTTCGCTCATTCCTCCTCCCCAGTCTTCCTTTCCCTCGAAAACTTCTCTTAATCTGTCACTCACTGTAGTAACTTTGCAAAAAAAAAAAAAAAAAAAATACTGATTTGTAAATTAGATTGCTAGGTCGGATTGAATCGGTTTTGAGGCAAGCAAGTGACTCAAAATTTCGCCGGAGCTCTTGAAACTTTTGCCAGTGAAAGCCGTAGTAGCGTAAACTTTGTTTCACTATGAATGCGAATGAACCAAAGGGAATTCGGCAGCGTTTGGAGACCGTGGGGTGCTGCCGGATTTCGGACGGAGCTGCAGACCGCCCAAGTATACCTTCTGGATGCCGACGAGCAGGGAGGCGTGCTGTCCGTTCACGTCCTTGCCGCTGTAGAGGAGGTCTGCGAGGGGCGTGACGTCCGAGGCCGACTTGAGGGGCACTTGGAACAGCGGCAGGAGGTCGCAAAAGGCCGTCTCGTCCGCGAGGCTCACTCCGCCGTCCTCCTTGCCCGCATTCACCACCAGGTGGAACGCGCTGCCGCAGGAACGAACGGCGCAATCAGTGACGGGGACAATGGCGGGGCGTCTCTTATGAACGCCCGGCCTCGCGCTCTATGTCGTCCGCTCGGTGGCCCTTCCTACGTTACGGAACATGTGGAACGCTGGATGGCACATTGCCTGCTGTGGAAAGTGGTTCTCTTGAGGTTTTTACAGCGGAGCTGCTAAGAGTTAGTTTCCCCAAGATCGTGTCCCCCGCAAAGAAATGAAGTCACCGAACTCTGGACACCTACCGCCATCTATGAGCGACGGCGGCAAGCCACGTATCTGGTGGCCACCGTCGCTCATAGATGGCGGCAGCTTTTCCACTTTGGCTTGCCGACTTGCGGCCGGCCATTACTTTCCATTGTACTGATCCGCTGGTCTTCCTTACTCACCAGACTGGAAAGGCTAAAAGTTTTTTTTTTTTGGTGAACAAAAACGTTTCAGCGTGCCTTGACCATGGAAGGTGGGGCGGAACTAGGGTGCCTACATGTTCCCGCCGCTCCGCTGTTTAGGGTGGCGACAACGTTTGTGATACCTGTTGCCGACAAACCAGTGTTGCCTACCTCGTTACCATGGCAGCCTCCGCTGTTTCGTCGACCATTTTGTCACACTCGCCAGTCGTGCGCTCGCGCTACTCCGCTAATCCTCGTTAGGGCTAGGGAGCGCCCACCGCTCTCGTTCCGACGGCGAGGTTTCGTCGTGCGATGTCGGTCTGTTGCGTTCCATTTTGTCGAGGGGACTCACGTTTCGATAGACGCAACGCATACTTCCTGTTCGCAACTTCAAAGTATGAAACACCCGAATAAAGAGAGCGACAGCCACGACGACCGCCATCCCGCTGAGCCTCCGACTCGTCCGACTCCTCTTATGAACGGAAACGGAAGTGGCCTCACAGTGTTGCCGGTGTGTCGAAACTGCGAAAACTCAACGTTGTGCACGTTTAGCCAAATAAGAAGTGGGTCAAAATGGCGGTGGGAGAGGATCTGGGAAAGGGTAACAAGAAGTTGGCGCCACCCTAAAGCGGAGCGGAAACATGTAGGCACCCTAGGCGGAACCGCTGGTGCAAAGATGCGCTCGGATAGATAACCGAAACCTAGAAAAGCGCCCTGTTTTTTTCTAAGTGGGGGTGGGGGGGGGGGGGGGGGGGGGGGAGAGAGGTCATAAATTGCTTAGCATTCGTTGCATCTTTCTAAACCAGATGATTTAACGGTTTTTGATAATGCCCAGAAAGTTTCTATTTTCAACCATAACTTTAAATTTACTAACATAAGGAGTTAATTATTCGAAAGTAACCAATAAGCTAATGATACCGAATGTTATTATTTTCCCAAATAGGCCTTTTGGCAGAGACCAGCGAGACATCGATCTTTTTTTCAGTGCGGTGCATGCTTGCAAAAAAATGCTTTGGCCCGCGTTTCGAGGAACACCTGGTAAAAATATTACATACCAAGATTCAGTAATTCCAGTCGGCAGGCCTATGAGTTTCGGTAAACAAACGAGAGAAACTTGAGAGATGGCAAGATACAACAAAAATGGGGGTACATTTTGACCCAGTCTCGGGGTTTTTGTCGAAATGTTAAAAAAAAAGTGAAAGCCGTTTACAACTTCCTGTAACGCCGAATTGGAGCGCAGCTCTTGAGGAGGAGTGGAGGGTATATTCCTCCTCCTCCCTCGTGATCATGCCTGCTAGTCCTCCTCCCCTCCTGCTTCCCTCCCTCTCCTTTACCACCTTTACCGGGCGGGGGAGGAGGGGGGAGGAGGAGGAGGGGGAGGGGCGACGCCGACGCCGACGCCGCCCAGGCTGGAAACGGGTCATGTGACCCCCACCCCCCGAGGTCACGTGACCCGCCCGGACCAAACTACACAATGAGGGGAGGAGGAGGAGAAGGAGGGGGAGGAGGAGGGGGAGGAGGAGGAGAGGGACGGGCGCAGTTACGCCGACGCCGACGGCGACGCCAACGGCGACGCCGACGCCGCTCAGGCTGGAAACGGGCCCCTAAGAGCTGCGCTCTAATAAAAAAAACGATTCGTTTTACCACTAGAATAACAGTATATTCAGAACGACTGAGAGTGAACAACACGTAAAACCCCATTGACACTCGACTCTAGATCAAGCGCCATTTCAATGCAGACAAGAATGTCTCATTCTACTAAGATTCAGACTCTTCAAATCCAGACTGTCCAAGGCTGTGGACAGCAAACCACACTTTTACTTCCGTAGGGCATAAGACGACCGTGGGTCTGAAATATTATCTTTACTCCATTACATCGTGGGAGTGAAACATATTACTCCCATGACAGAACGGGGAGGGAAACGTGGCTTCACTCCCTTCGCGAAAACGGAGTGCAACATTGCTTCACTCCCATGGCGACAAACTAGACAAACTGCTTTACTTTTTAGTGTTGTGTCGTTTACCCGCAGTCTCGGGGTTTTTTCAACCATGTCACTATTACCGCGACTTTTAGTATTTCTTTTAAAATTATTTTCAATTTAATTCTGCGCTTGTATTGCAGGAAGAGGAAGGTACCACTGATTTGCCGTGCACTTTCGTCGGCATCAGGTTGGCGATGGCAAACGCAGCAGGGTAACGGTGCTCTTTTGACGCTGCTTGATTGGTGCAGTTGGATTGTATTACGTCGGCTCCGGTAAAAGAGATAGCCTAAACCCCCTCGCCTCCTGAAAAAACTGAAAAAGTTGTCGACATTGTTACCCCGCTGTAGACGAGAAATTTAGCCAGTGCAGCACCCAGTGGCGTCACCACTGGCAGCACCATTGCGTGCCTGGGACAGGTTGAAAGTTCAGGGGAAGTTCCTCCCACCCCTCTTCCACCTTAGCGGAGCGAACGCTGGAAAGGAGGCGACCTCCTCTCCAGCCTTCGCTCCGCTGAAGTGGAAAGGGCTGGGAGGGGCTTCCCCCGAACCCTTTAAGGGGTACTGCAACAAAATTTCGGCGCTTATTTTTTTTGGTCCATACCCCTTCAAAGGAGCAGTATCACATCGGACACACCAGTATCTTGTTAAAAAGGCCCGAAAAGGAATTTTAAAACCAATTTGACGATTAGCAAAGAGCACCTGGTGGATGTCACTAAAACCTCGTTTGTAATGCCCGTCTTGGCCTCACGTATACAGGGCGAGTCGCTACCCGGCTTGGGGAAGGGGGAGGAGCCGCAGGTGGCTAAAAGAGATAGTGTGGAAATTTTGGAACCAGAGTGTGATGGGTCATCCCGACAGCGGCCAGCACAAGAGAAGAAGGAAGGGAGAGGGACGAAGTCCCCACTCAACGGGACTCTTTTTTGTATGTCCCAGAGGTCGCTATTCTCCTTCTACAAAATTATAGAAGATTACCCCGTCACTCAAAATTCACACAAAAGCAGATTTGCGGTTAGTTGCGGTGGCCCGATCGCTGGCGTGCTTCGACCGTTTCGGTGGCTGGAACGGCTAGGGCATCCTGACGACGTCAGCCTCGCCGCAGGTTTCCTCATCCCGATACGAGCTACGTCACGATTGCGCCGGATGCGACGTGCTCTCCGCTGACGGCTCTCCGAGCGCTTGCCAATACAAACGTACGATTGCCATTTGTGGGTATTGCGGATCATACTCAGCCTATTTCTGAACAAATATAGTACAAGTATCCCTTATCTTGCACGCGACCGCACGCCGGTACAGTGTTCATTCAGATCGAAACGAAGGGGGTGGATCGGACCGAGGATCTCTTGCTTCTGCAGCGCTGACGTTTCTCTCCGAAGTCACGCCATTGCGGGTGCGCGCACGCTTCACTTGACGCGAATATTTTTTGCGAGTTGATCTCTAAAACGTTTCCCAACGGCTCTGCTGGAATGAGCCAGAGCGCGTATCACTGACACTCTGCCGATCGTCACACTGCTAACATCGTCCGGTGTACAGCTGGGGGCGGGGATCTTGAAGTGGTATTGCTCCCGGAGGCGAGAACATTTCTGTCCGGTAAGGTTTTGTCCCAGTTTGAAGGCGACGTAGTAGTGCGCAGTCCGATACAAGTGTTTCAACGCTCTTTCGATTCGGGGGCCATGCATGAACACATATACCATTTGATCTGATTTTGTAATTCATTATTTTCCCCCAGAGGGGGACGGGCCACTCCCGGAAGTAGTGCGATACCGGGTCGACCCTAGCGCCCTCGAAGCAAGCTTCGTAGGGACGCCACTTACAAAAATAAGTTTAATATCTTGGACCAATTAGGTCCATATCAGATATTAAGCTGATAAGAACAGAAACTGGAAAGAGAAATTTATTGACGAGAACCACAAAATTACAAGGCACAAATATATACAAACGGCTGAGACAAGGACAAATTACAGAGAACAGTTAATTACCAAACTAGGGTTTAGCCTGACCACAGGGGCCGCGGCACCACCAGAGCGCCGACCCCCAGCCGGCCCCGACCGAAGGCCAGCGGGCAAACCCCAGGGCAGGTCGCCCCAAGGTCCACCCACCACCCCCAAACCAGAGCCGACCAGGGCCCGGCGCCCCGACGCCACCGCAACCCCGTAAAAGTGGCCGGCGATCTCGCGTTCCCCAGATATGTAGCTGGAAACACCGCCATTAAAACCGGCCTGAAAGCCGGCTCCACGGCGGGAGCACTGAAATCATGACGTAATTACAGCGGCAACGCACCCCCAAGGACCGGGCGATGGAAGCGGATGGTAATGAAGTCTGTATGCCAGCGTCGGAGGAACTCCTCCTCCCCGAGGACAAAAAGGGCATCCTCAAGATGAGAAAGCAAGAGGATGCGCAGCCTGCGGATCATAGGGAACATCCGCCCTAAACGACGCCCTCGGGCAACAGCGGTATTTCTGTTTTGCCACAAAATGAAACATGCGACCGCAAACACAAGCCTGGAGCTGCGGCGGCGCGCACGGAAGTGCCTGCCCAGCGGGAGCGCAAACATTCGGCTCACCAGAGTCCAGAACGTACGAGCAACAACACAGTCGAACACAACATGTACGTTTGTCTCAAGAGCGCCGCAGTTAGGGCACAGGTTAGACGCCGAGACGCCCCACCGTGCGAGGCGATCCCGGGTGGGCAAAACACCCCAACCAAGCCTCCAGTGAAAGTCCGCCACGGCCGTGGGAAGGTCCGGGGACAGGGCACACGCCCAGTCAGAAGTGCGGCTCTGCACCTGATGGAGGAGGGGTACCTCCGGCGCACAGAGGGCCTCGCAAAGACGTGAAGCAGGGGTGTCTAGGACATCAGCATCCGGCACGTCGGTTACAAGTTGCTGGTGAGTGCGGACTGTTGCGACATAAAACGGCGACGGCGCCTCAGCGGTGGGGCAGAGGTTGCCAAGACCTCGAGGCACCAAGATGCGCCGATGAGTGCCCAGCCAGTAGAGAACAAGGTTGCGTCCAGGGTAGTCGGGATCCTCAAGCAGCTCCAAGACGCCTCGAAGTGCGAGGATTCGACTAAATGTAGTCAAACACGGTAGTCCCCAACCTCCGGAGGTACGAGGGAGGCGAAGAGCTTGCCGAACCACTAACTCCGTACGCTGTTCCCAGAAAAACGAAAAAATTGCAGAGTTAAGTCGGCGGACAATGGTCGGAGGCGGACGCGCAACGCGCGCCACAAACCAGAGTTTCGCACAGAGGACAGATTTCACCACGTACGCACGATCACGCAAGGGAAGTGAGAAACAAGCCGCCGACCTCGCTTGGTGCGTTACATCCGCAACGATACCGGCCCAAGTGTCGGGCGACACGCCGGAGCAATCAAAAAGAACACCTAGAACCCGGACAACCGCAGTCGTCGGGATGCCGCCCGGAAGTGGGTCAGAAAAGCCGCCAAAAATGAGGGCCTTGCTCTTTGACGTGTTCAGCCGGGCCCCGGAAAGGGCAGCGTACTCCTCGTAAAGCCGAAAGATGACTACAAGGCTATCCGAGTCCCGCACGAAGAGCGAAACATCGTCCGCGTAGGCTGACACCCTCAAAGATCCTGATCCAGGGAGGGGAAAACCGCGCACCGAGGGGTGGTCGTTGATCCGACGCAGCAGTGGATCCAAACAAAGCACAAAAAGCAAGGGCGACAAAGGGCAGCCCTGACGTACACCTCGTGCCACTGGGAAGCATGGTGTGACCCGACCATTGATAACAAGGTCACTGACCAGGTTGGCATAGAGAACCTCGAAGAGGCGGACGAAGTCTGCCGGGAAACCAAAAGCCCGGAGGATGGAAAAGAGAAAATGGTGTTCTAGGCGATCAAACGCCTTCTCTTGGTCAAGTGAAACGAATGCTCCCCGTAGGCCGCGTGATGTGGCGTACTGGAAGACGTCGCGGGTAAGAGATAGTGACGAAAAAATTGTCCGTCCGGGGACGGAGCAAGTCTGGTACGGGCTGATGAGCCCCGGCAAGATGTCGCGGAGACGCCGGACGAGGATGGCAGCCAGGATCTTATAGTCCGTGTTGAGAAGCGTTATCGGGCGCCAAGCGTTGGGTGTGGAGTGATCCCCACCTTCCTTGGGAAGTAGGACAATGCGGCCGCGTCTGAACGAGTCCGGGACACCGCCGCCACGGAGAAATGCATTGAAAACGGCGACAAGCGCAGCGCCTATCTGAGGCCAAAACTCTCGATAAAATTCCGTAGGAAGACCGTCCGTGCCCGGTGAAGATCCAGACTTCATGCACCTCAGGGCCTCAGATGCCTCCTGAAGCGTGATTGGCCGAGCAAGGGAGTCTCGCTCGGGCTCAGGTACCAGGGGGAGCGCGCCGCAAAAGGAAAGGACGCGGGAATTGAAAGAGCCGTCGAGGGGATCTCTATCAGACTCGGATAAGGCCGAAAAATGTCCATAAAAGACCCGCTCGATATCTCCGGGCAACGACGACTTAGCACCGTCGGCCAGCGTGACAGACGGAATGTGGCGCGGCATGTCGCCACCCGAGCGAGTCATTCGAAGGTAACGAAGGACCTCCGGGTCAGACACCGGACGGTTGTCGAGGGACTGTAACGCCGCAATGCCCGAGTGCCCACGTAAGATACGCGAGTACCGAGCCCGTAATATATCTAAATACTCTTGCATGAGTGGTGTCGTGGAGCCTCCTCGTTGAACTATGTGTATACGGCGGAGGACCTCAGCGAGCCTGTCAGAGAGCTGGCGTCTACTCCACCTACCCTCGCGCACACACAAGGTGCGCCAAAGAACTTTCAGGCTGTCCCAGCGCTCGGGGTCTGGCCCCATGTCCTGGAGCGCCGCAACAAGATCCCGGCGGAGCGACCGCACTGCGTCCTGATCGCGCAAGAGCCGCACGTCCAGACGCCAGAGCATGCAACGGGCGTTGTCAGCTCCCGGAATGTCTAACGACAGCAAGAGGGGGTAGTGGTCCGAAACGTATCCCACCGTTGAGGGGAAAGAGAGGACCTCGCACCGCAAAACATACGGCACGAGAGCGGCCGGGAAGTATGCGCGGTCCAAGCGACTGCTCGAGGCGGCGCGAGACCACGTGGCGGCAAAGGTGGAGCCGTGCAGCTCGCACCACACATCACGTAGATCGAACTGTCCGACAAGGCGCCCGAGCTCCCGAGCGTTCCAGTTTGCTCGGCCCCGGCCTGGCCCGCGGATATCGCGATAAGCGTCTAGAACGCAGTTGAAATCCCCTAAAAGAAAAAAAGGGTGAGATTCTAGCAAGAAAACATCTAACTCTTGAAAAAAGCTGTTCGACAAAGACGCCTGAGCGGGCGCGTACACATTCACAGCGCGCAAACGTTGCTGCCCAACGAAAAAATCGAAAGCGAGCACACGGCCTGCGTGGTCGAAAACGCAAGAACAGCCACGACAAAGCGAGCGGCGAAAGACGAGCACGCCTACGCCTCGGCAGCGACCATCGCCAAAGGAAAAAAAAAACAGTCGAGATTGAAAAGATCACGAAACGCTGCAACGTCACGCATTGAAAAAAAATTGGTTTCTTGAAGAAAAACAATGTCCGCGTTAACTGAGCGCGCAAAATGCACAACCTCACGCTGCTTGTCTGGGTTGCGAAAACCTTGAACATTCAGGGTGAGGATCTGCAGCAGTGTGAAGAAAAATTGATGCATAGGGAACCTAGAATTCGAGGTCACTGTAGCCCTCCAGGTCGGAGTCTCCCGGGCTGCTGTCTTTGCACACCAGACGCTTCTTCTTGGCTACAGCGGAGCTTGGCGCGTCTGAGCCGCTGCTGGAACTCGAGAATCCACGCTTGACCTCCTGTCGGTCGCATTCCATCGTCGTGTCGACGGCGGACGACGCTCCAGCAGGCGTACCGGCAGGTGTACCTGCAGACGCAGCTTTCGCGCTCAGCTGCTCCAGCGTGTTGGGAGTCGCCGAAACACGAGGAGAGGTGGGGGAAGACGGGGGATGCCCTTGGCCGGGCGTCACTTCGTCATCCTCGACCACGACGAGGCGGTCAGCATCGGAACTCAGGCTACCCGCGTCACTCAACTGGGAGTTGTCAACAGCGACCGGGTTGCCTTGGAGCGGGGGCACGTCTTGAGGGTAGACGGGCGGACTTGGGTCGTCCTTTCGTTGCTCCGACGCCGGGGGGACTACGGGGGCGGTTGCAGTCTCCTGGGGCTGCACGCAAGATGGACGGGCGGCTGTCGACTGGGTGACGGCAGCGTAGGTCTTGCGTTGTGTGCAGTCGACCGTTGCGTGGGCATGTCCACACCGCTGACATGGTTCCGTGCAGCCTGCCGTTGAGTGGCCAAAGACCGCACACCGATCACACCGTGGGGTTTTGCAGGCAGGTCCAATGTGGCCCTCCTGCCCACACTTACTGCATACCCGCCGCATTCCCCTGTAGTCTACCATGACGCGGTGGCCCTGGATGCTGATAAAGTTGGGGATGGGCTTGGTCATCTCCACCTTCACCACCCTGGTGCCAGTCATGATGTCTGGGCGGTCCCGGAATGTCACGTAGGAAATTCCCTTCACTTTTCCATACATGCTGAGGGCTTGGACGACGGCTTCCTCAGTCACGTAAGGGGGCAAACGGTAGACAGACACGTGGAGGAGTCGGGCGCCAACGGGCTCCAGAGGAACCGCCACGTCACCAAGCATCAAGTGACCTTGAGCTACAAGACGGTCGGCAACAGCCATGCTGCTAACGGCCGCCATAAACCTCACCCCACCGTGGTGCTGGAGGTACTTCAAGCCACCGGGGCCGGTGGCTACTTGGAACGCGTCCATTACCGCGTCGACCGAAGTGTCGTTGGGGACACTGAAGAAAAAACACTGTGCCTTCGTAGGCACGGAGGGCGTCGCCATGACTGGCGAAAAAGAAAAACCCGGGGACCACGCAACGAACGGGGTCCCAGGAACGTGCTTAAGACTCAAAAACTCTCGGCCCGCTACACTTTGATCTTAGCCAAAAGGCCGAGAAGCGATACTTTGGCATGCAGCAAATTCTACCCCACCTGCAACCAGCTTCCCGCGATAGCCAGGTATCTCATAGCTAAATATCATATTTCCCGATTTCTACAAAGGAACCAATAACAATATTCTAAACATACATTTGACTACAGCCAAGTTAGTTCTATCCCTAAGTTACATTCAATCGCAAAAGGAAGCCTTAAGCTATATTCTCGATATTTTTGCGCACCGAAACGTGCGGCTTCTTGTGCACGTAAATCCCCCCCCTCTCCCACAAAAAAAAAAAAAATAAATAAATAAACATATATATTTCCGGTGGAGGCTACGTTTTTCATGGACCTAGCTGTCATATTTTGCCACGTGATCACGCTCCCCTTCATACTTATGCGCAGAGAGAGATGTCAGGTGATAAAAAGTAGGCAGGCGATTGGACCGACGAGCGTTGCAAGGCGCCGGAAAAAAACTTCGCCCTGTTCATAGGACGTAGTACAGTCGGTCCGTGCCGCCACGCAAAGTCTCCCTAATGCACTAGTGCTAGCCGGAAGCAGTGCCTTGCGATATTATTGTTGCTTTGTCCCCTAATTTTATTATTGTTATTTTTTTTTTAATATTAGTCTTTTTTTGGGCCGGGGGGGGGGGGGGGGGAGGGGTAGTTTTGTAAGGAAGTGCCGCCTGTGTGGATGAAATAATTTAGAGGGGACATTTATTCAGTGTAAATTGCGCCTCGCGAGTGCAATAAAAAAATCCCGTGGGTCTGCTTTCCCGCAGAGCAATCGATCGACCAGTCACCGGGAGCCATGAAGAAAGTTTTGCGAATGGGTCGCAAATATATTTAGTGCAGAGTGGAGAATAAAAATCAATTTGATTTGAATCTCGATACAAATCATGATAGTCAATTAATTTTGTTCCTTTTACGGACTGGCATTGCCACTTGATTGGAACGCCTAAATGTTCACGAAGCCAATATTAGAGACATGTGACCGCGCATGTCGACTAGTGCTAGAAGGGCTTTTCCTCGATTTCATTAAAGCTCCACTCTGAACAGTTCATGAGGCAACTGTACGCCCAATTTACCCGCGAATCTGTGGCGGGTGCTAATGGCAGGGCAATAGTGAGTTTTAGAAGATCGTTCTCGTGCAGCCGCTCTGCAGAGCGGAGCGCGGAATCGCCACTGCGCCTGCGCGCCGATGGCCTTGGCTGTAGAGTTCCGGGTAGCGGAGGGCCTTAGCGTAGCGGGAAACACGGTCTACTAAAACTCGCTACTGTTTTGAGTGGAAGCGGTTGGTTAGTCGGTTGTGATCGTTCAAACATCGTTCGAAAGGCACGTTGTTCTCAGATAAGTGTTGATCCGTTGCAAGTATCGTTTAAAGTTTCTTGTCCTCGACTCTCTTCCGGTCAGAAGAGTCTTACCGAAACACTACTAAAAGCAAACGAAGCAATACAACTACGTTTTATCGCGGGCGGTGTCGTTGCTGTGTCGGTAACGAGGCCTCCGTGGCCTCGACCATGGAGCGTTGCCACGTGCCTTGCTTCGGCGCTCTTATTGGGTCGCGCGGGCCGCAGCCTCCACAGTTCGCCAAGTTATCGTCGCGGTGAAAAGCTCGCTAGGGCGCTTCTGTTTTCCTCACTATAAGGCCCCTCACTATGGGTTAGGTTATTTCTTCGTTTTCAACGTGCATAGAAGCTTGGCACTGCACGCGCTTGCACCGGTAGAGGAAGTTATGTGTCCTCACTGCTGTGAAAAAAGTCCACCAGGCGGCGATACCCGGAACTCCTCGTCGCGAATAGCGGAACTGGGTGGTACTTCCCTTGGTACCTCTCCGGCGATATATTTGAGTGTTTCACTGCCGCGGCATTATCGTAACTCTTGGCTACACGTGGCGCGACGCTTGTCGATTTGCTGGGTGCACCCTTAAATTGCTGCTCTTCCCAATCAAAGGGCCGTCAGTGATCGCGTGGAAACTACGCAATATTAGGCGTTGTCATCTGCAGTAAAGAGTGATCTTCCGTGTTTCCGGACAAGTTCTCTTCTATTGCAACATAATGTTCGCGTCGTTGCGTCCTCGGCAGTAATGACCGCGTTCCGAGATGAACGCGGTCATTATTGCCGAGACCAATTATAACTAAGTCAGCGGGAATCGGAAATCACTTCGCTATATCCGCTATTCGTTATAACCGACTTCGGTTATAACGAAGTGCAAAAGGGAATGGGAAATCGTGACTGCTTCGCTGTAGCTGCTATTTTGTTATAACCGACTTCGTTATAACCGGTCTCGGCAGTATCAATAGCACTCTCTCGTGCAAGGTCGTACGGACCGCGGAGCAGCTGAAGATGTGCCAGGAAGGTGATAAAGGACATTACCCGTTTAGGGACTTTGGACGGGGCATGTTGCTTGTTTTCATGAGCGTATTCGAGGAGACTTTCTTCATAACGAGCTAAATCCGAATAATGGATATGGGGGCGTGCATTGTTTCCAAAAGCTATCGTAGAGAAGTGGGTAATTTCATGCCAGAAAAAGCACCGTGCGGGCGACCGTGTTTATCTCAGTTTCACTCTTGAGATGAATTTCGCTCATCTAGAAAATGCAAAACCTGCGTCACTGCGAGATTCCGGTGTATAATCTATTACCGTATCACTCTAATTAATTGATTAATCCGTCTCGTTCATTTCCACAGATAACATATGAAAAAAACTTTTTTTTTCTCCGTTTTTTTTTTTCTAGATTGGTGACAAACAGCGGAATATACTATTTGGATTTCGAATCATCATCTATGCGTAGTTCAAAACAGTTCAAAGACGTTCACGCTTAGAGATTATTACTTCAGCTGCATAAGGCAAAGAGATTTGTTGATATTCTCCGGGAAGAGCGACCTCCCTTCATTTTTCACAGTAGTCTGCATGCTCGGAACGGACACTCGAACAGCATTAAAGGGGCCGGGTCACGTGTCCCCTCCTGCAATTGTCTAACGTTACAAAATCGCGCCCCTACAGCTTACTTTAGGCTAAAGTTTCACCTAAAGTTTGCCCTGCATACAGGTGTACTCGTCCACGTATGCGTGACGAAAGCGTTGAGTTTTTTTTTAGCTCTTAGGTTCGCCAAAATTTTACCGGTTAACCGGTTAAAAATTAATCGCGATTAAATCTTTAATTGATTAATCAGTAGGTTAATCGATCAATTGCCCAGCCCTAAATATAACCCATGCAGGGCGTACAATTATTACCCGTTCATATTGGAGTCCTCTGTGTGTGGAATGAATGTTAGCCAGTGAGGAAAGTCACAGCCGGGATTGCATTAAAACTGTGTGTGAATCGAGTGAATCGCGCGCAACACTGTCGCGATCCAACCGAAAAGAGCTAGCATAGTTTTCATAGTTTTCAAGCAGGCACCGGAAGTACGACCGGCAGCAAGTGCGGGTAAATCGAGTATTCTTCTTTCCTGCGGACGATGCTAGTGTGCAACTTTCGACCAATCAGGAGTACTAAGACGTTTTGGGTTCTTGCTATTGTGAATGACCCGTTGCTGGATGTCTGGGGCTACTTTAAACCGTTTACTATAAAACAGTTGTCCAGCATATCAATAAAACAAAAATATTAGAGAAACCGAAAAAAAAAACGGTTTTTAGGGACGTGCAATTGGTAACCGAAACCGTAAAAACCTGAAACGAAACCAATATCAACAGAAAACGGTAACAGTATCCGAAACGTTATATGTATTTTTTTTTCCCCGTTTGAGTCCCTACTTTCATAACACACGCAAAAGTAAGCGCAAGAAGCGGGACGATTTCGTTCAGACTACAAGCAATCGTGGTCTGAACGAAGTCGTTCCGCTTGTTTCGCTTAGTTTGCGTGTGGTGTGAAGGATCTGCTCGCTGGGCCCGTAGTGTGAACATAGCATTACACTCTTTACACTAGCACAGAACTTATACCCCTGTCATACGGGCTAATTTACTGTCACTACAAGCGAGTGCACTTCAACCCGTCGAAACACACTCCAAGTGTGTTGGTGCTACACGGGAAAACTTAGTGTCACTCCAAAATGATGGCAATGACGATGGGTAAGTAATGGGCACGCAAAATACTATAGGCTCCTTGCACATGACGTCATTTCCGATACCCTCCAGAGAAGAGGGGGAGAAGGAGCTCCCCTCTTATCAGGACCCTCCTTTGTGCCTTCCGGATTTGCACAGGCGTCGCTATTCTCCTCCCAGAAGATTACAGAAGATTAACCCGTCACTCAAAATTCTTACAAAAGCAGCTTCCCTCTCCTCCTTTTACTTGGTGTGCAAATGTGCGCGATGTGACGTCAATGCAAGGAGCCTATAGTCGGTTGCAAGCTAAGAAAAAAACGGAAATGCCTCTCAGAGGAAAATGTAATCCTACGCCGAGAAACGCCAGCCAATCGTTTTCATGACGTCACGATTCCGTGGACCAATCGCGATCCTTTTGAAAAAAGAAAAAAAAAGCTCGACATGGCTGCTGGCCTTAGCAACGCGACGCTATTTTCTCGTGACAATTATTCTGCTTTTTTGCACCGTGTTTTACGTGCCCGAGGTTACGCCACGAAATCTTAATGGTATCGGCTTGCGTTTGCAGCGGGCGCGAGGCTTAGCACTGGAAGGCGGTATGTTAGACAGTATCTTGGACAGAAAATGAATTGGGAAGACGGTACATTGGACATTACTTTCTTTCTTTACTAAACAGCTATTTCGTTGACAAAAACGTATTCTAACTTATTTAAATGTCCTGAATGAATTAAATAAATATTGTAGTAGTTTAAGACAGGTTTCCTGGAGGAAGAAAAAGCAACGTTGTTAGCGAACTACTTTCTCGACGGCGGAGGCACTTCAGATGGGCGCAATGCGCTTGTGGGTGGAGCTAAATAATTGTTCTTAGGTTGCATCCGACTATAGAGTGCATAGGCATTTTTTCATAACTTCGTCGTCTTATTAGAAACACGTTACCACACATTGTTGCGCTAAGTCACGAGCTTTAATCCAAATTTAAATCTAATTTGATAATTACGATCAGCCATTACAAGCCAGTGATACACGTCCGCACGCCGGTACGATGCTCAACCAGATCGAAACAAACAGGTGTAGGGATTGAACCCAGGATCCCTGGGCTCTGCAGCGCGAGCTTTCGCTCCACGTGCTCCGATCTAGTGTGCGCGAGCCCACAAGGCCACTCGCCACTCGCCACAGCGAAACATCATGGAGTGTGTGAAGGACGAGCTAGAGGTTGATATTCGCGATGTTGGACAGTGGAAGCGCGTGGTTGGGTCACTTTTCTCCGTGAGAGCCCAACGCCTTTCACGTGAGAGGCAGCTGAGCCTGGATGCCGACGCACAGGCAAGAATTTCAAGTGACATCGATCAGCAGCTGCAGGCCAATGCCTCCACCATACCCGCTCCGTATACCCGTGATCAGTCGAGATCGGTGGACTTTCCAGAGGAACGAACGGTGGTTCGAAGACACCTTGCCCCATTTGGGCGAGTTCCATTCCAAGCAAGCCTTTCGCGTCTCTCCTGCCACCTTCAGATTCCTGGTGGAGTCTTGCAGGTGCCTCCTGGCCGTCGCTGGCCGTCGCGCAGGAGCCAAAGCTGGAAACTAGTTTAGCCGCTTGTTTTTCTACGATGCACTACTTTCCTGCCAACAGGAAAGAAGTGCGCATCTAATATTACTTTTATAAAAATAGTACGAATTTTACGCAGCGTTACTTTCTTCTATTATGTTTACTCCTTGAACACTGCTATCGAGATTACACTCTCGGTCTACCGGAGCGAGCGTAGTGTGCTCCCCGAACTCACTTCATTGGAAGTGTGTTCTTCGGGCAGGGCTGGTGATTGAGCTCAGGATCACTGGGTTCTCCAGCGCGAGCTTTCTCTCCACGCGTACTCCGATCTGGTGGGCGCTAGCCCACTCGGCCACCGATACCCCTTAATAAAGACACGTTAAAAGAAATTTGACGTTTACAATTCTCTGTAATGCCGAATCGCAGCGCAGCTCTCGAGGAGGAGGAGGGAAGTGTACGAAGGGAAGGGTACTCAGCTGCTCCCTTTCCGTACCCTCCCATCCTCCTCTCCTGTTCCCATCCCACTTAGCGTACAACTTTCGCGAAGTTTCCCGCTAAATTAAGCCGGGAAATTTTCCCGCTGAATTGACGCGTGACGCCACATGACACGTCACCTGAAATTTCAAGTGGGACATCACGTGACGTCACACGAGCAAAAATTTCCCTCTAAATTTAGCAGAAAAAGTTTCCACCAAACTTAGCAAAAACTTTTACCGCAAATTTTAGCGGGAAAATTTTACCCTCGTGACGTCACACGTGATGACACACGTGACGCCACGTGTGACGTCATTCTGGGAAACGCAACGCGCGGTTATGCCGACGCCGCTCAACTCAGAAACGGGTTCGTAGGAGCTGTGCTCTGAAACAACGTTACACTAATAAACGATTTTTACGCCAATTGGATGATTCTGATCGATAATCGCAAGCCTAGATAAAGAACGAAGTATATCCAACTTTGGCGTTCCGCTTCGTTCCATGGAAGTCTACGAGGAGGCCCTGAAACTGCCTAATTAGATCATAATTATCCTGTTGTCTCGAAAAGTTACATGCTGAGACAAAATTCGCTTTATCATTCTCTGCTAACCAAGATAGCCGTTGAATGACTGACTAATTGTCGTCGTCTTTTATCAATTCGCGCTGCGCTAATCTTGGTTCAGATCAGCCTAAACTCCAAGTTCACCCCACTATTTTTTTTTTTCAATGCCTCTCTTCTACATGTCCTGTCTTTCACGAATTTCTTTTTCTTTATAAAATAAAACTTACGCCACCCTTTTGGTTTCTGTGTTGTTATGTTTTACTGTTGAAACACTCCTCTTGATGCCACGTACTCGATCGAGCGAAGTGAGTTCGTCAAACTCACTCGAAGCCAAGTGTGTTCCTCAGGAAGGAGCCGTGTGGTACACTACAGAAATGACACTAAGGGCGAAGTGCACTCGCTTGTAGTGACACTAAACTGGCCCGTCTGACAGGGGTATTAGAACCACAAAACTTGGAACAGAATTATTTCTCAACAACACTTCGTGCCTTAGACCGATCTCGCCAAGCGTTCGGCGCATGCGCGAGGCCGCCATAACTTTAGTTCACAGGAGGCAATCGGCAGTGCACGAGATTGTTCGTGCCTTGCGCGCGCACAGCTCTAGCGAGGTTGTCGCACGCGCAGAAAAACTAAAGTTCCCTCGTTGCGTTGCGGCAGTGGTGGCGTAGTGAAACTGGCTGGTGAGATCGGTCTATTGCCTCGCTTAAAACATTTCCTACTACACCACATTCGTAATCTTGATTACTGGCACGTACCGGCGTGTCGGCTGAACACTGGAAAAGAAATGTTAGTATACCGAATTCCAAAGCTTCGAAATGTATTGCATTCTAAAGGTGTCTTTATGAGTAGATTAATTCTGGGCGAATTGCGCTCTGTCATGTTGTTTTTTTTTTCATTTATAAATTGATGTATAATGTACGTTTTCTTTCTTTTTCTTTTTCATTTCAAACGTATGTTTTGTGCTGATTTACGAATGTTGACTAATATGGTGCTTAGTACGTGACCTTCTATTCTCTACATTTTCTTTTTTCACTGCGATTAATTATGTACAGTACACTTTCCGTGTTATTTTTCTGAAGCTGCTGCAGAATGTACTGGGGCTCAGAAGACGTCAAGCCGCGTAGTGCAGCTTTTTTTTCTTGGCTCCACTATTACATGTAATGAAAATAGACTAAATTATTATTATTATTATTCCGTGTACACACCTCTAAAAGAAATTTGACCCGCTTAGCGGAGCACGTAGAGCAGGCCGGGGTTCACCTACCTTGTTGCGTCGGGCGAAAACCTCTCGCTGTTGGAGCCCAAGTTCCTATTCCTCACCAGAGCATTTACTTGGACTGTTGAGGAAAAAAAGAAAACAAGGACCCGCGTCGTTGAAACAGCGCATCGGTTGCGAAAGCTAGTTGCGAAAATCTTTTCTGCCCATTGCCGTTAGCTGAGCCAGGCGGTATAGCAACTTACACTTTCTCGTCGAATTAAGAAGGAATGTTATATGCACGTGTGCACATACAAATCCACGAGCAGCAAACAAGACCACTGAATGTAATTGGCAACCGAGTCTGGCATTACGAAAAGTGGACAGCGCCGAAGAAAGCAAAGAACGAAAAGATGGGGTACACGGACGGAGTGCTGAATTTTAACTGATTTATTTCGAAGAAAGCACATAGCGACGTGAAACCAAAAGATGAAAAACACAAAGTCATCTGTCACAAGCCACTAAGAGAAATCATCTCGCTCTCGGACAGTGCAATAGAACGAGCACTGATGTATCCATGCGCTTGAAAATTATAAATGGCGGTAAAAATTTCACCAATTCTCACTTCGACAGAGTTTGCAGTTTTTCATTCCCTACATTGTTTACCTTAGCAACAGGGACGGAGAAACCGCCTCATTCTTTTGAAATATCGCGATTCCGTTGCGTAGTAGCAAAGCAAAGAACGTGAATGTTTCGCGATTTGCAGCCGCGGGGTGGCGGCCATGCGAACGAATAATAATAATCTTTATTTGGACTCCTTGAGTCTCAGGTGGAGAACCAAAAGGTAAACAGATTTACCTGACGAGGCCGCACCACCCTGTACATTGCTCAGCAGAGAATCAAAACAGACTAGAAATGAACACAAGTAAAAACGACAATAAATCTTATCAAAAAATCTGTCACTGTGCGAAACGAAAAACGAAACAATCCTTCTACAGAAAAATGAATTATTAAAGTACAAACTGGCAGGAGCAATGAGCTTTCAAGCGAATTAACACAAATAACGGTGATCAGAGCTGATTATACGCTATTCAACCCAATGCATAACCAAAACGCAATTTCCTGTTGTAAAATATAGCGTTTCATGTTACCTTTGAAGGCAATAAGGGAAGTAGCATTCCTCATTAATTCAAAAACACTTGGATGATCGTTCAAAAGCTGTGGCATTTTATACGCTAGAGCTTGGGAGCCATAATTCGTCCGTATTTTGGGCTTTGTGTATATTTCATTTCTTAAATTATATTGTGTTGTTTTAGGGTGGCAGATGTCACAAAATTCATTTTGGTCACTGCTGTACTCGCAGTATATTATCATCGCTAGCTTTAAAAGAAAGAGCTGATGGATATTTAAAATTCGATATTTGACAAAATATGGGGCTGAATGATCGGTATAGTGAAGGTTTTCGATGCAACGAACAGCTTTTTTTTGTAGGCCGAATAGTCTAGTGTAGATTTGTTTTTGTTGTAGTTCCCCAAACTAGTAAGCAATAATGTAAATGAGATTGCACAAGACTGTAGTAGAGTTGGCACTTAAGCCAACAGAGAAGGAGATGTTTAAGTTTATACAAGATTCCAATAGATCTGGATATGCTAGAGCGAATATGATTGATGTGGTCTGTCCAGCTTAAGGTTTCTTCGAACCAGACACCTAAAAATTTTAGGGAGGACACTCTTTCTAATTCTGAGTTTGTAAATTGTACCGAGAAGTTACTACAGAGTTGCTTATGCACAGGCTTGAAAATAACATATTTTGTTTTGTTAATATTCAATTCTATTTGACTAGACTCTAGCCACAGCGCAAGTTCGAAGGCATACACCTGGGGACAATGTAATAAGTTGGCAAGGTGTCAATCTAACGCTCGATTTGACAATTATCGTCGTTTCAACGAGAGGAAATCAACCAAAAACCTCATATCAACAAAGTTGCCCTATATTCAGTTTTAGTAGCGCCATATATCCGAGGTGGAATGAACTCTTCCTCCGATGAACGATCATCCCGCTGCGCTACTGCGTCAGTCGAACTTTTTTCACCAAAGAGGCAAGCTCTTCGCCCCCCCCCCCCCCCCTCCCCCTCCCCCCACTGCTTCTCTTTCCCCCTCTCCATATCGCTCAAACCATAGCCTCGCCTGGCAGTTCGACGACTGAGCCATAGTGCCTGGTCGCAGATTTGGAGCGCGAGGATCTGCACAGAGCACCAAAGAACCATTTCTCGGGGAAACTGGATGTCCGCGCGCAGCTTTTGCAGCGGCGAGGACCCGAAACACACTTGTTCGCTCGGGAGAGGTGTGTTTCGGCGTATTGCCGCAGCGGGGCGCCGGTCACGTGGCTCTCCTCTCATCCGTTGTCTGCCGCTCCACCTTTTCCATTTCGGCGGCCGCTTCTCGTGGCGGTCTGCCAGGCTTCTTCAGTTGATAGGAGGCTATGCTCAGCCAGTCTTGGGCAGTAACTAGTTACTAGTAACGCGTTACTGGTAACTAGTTACTTTTTACGGTAACTTTTACCTGTAACGCGTTACTATTTTAATACTGGTAACTTGTAACTGTAGCACTGTTACTTTTTATAGGGTAACTGTAACTGTTTACGGCCGTTACAGCTACTTTTTTTTACTATATAAATTAGAACCCTCTGCCGCGGACATGAAGAAATTGCCATCTTGAAGTATTTTTCTCCAAACTCCTCGCTGACAAAAAAAAAATAATAATAATTATAATAAGAAGAAGAAGCCTGGCCACGCATTAATAAAACAAACAAAAAAATTGCCTGGTTTAGCCCCACGACCGAGAATGGACGACGGACGAGTCAGCACGAAACCGGGAGATAAAGGAAGCGACGCCTTCGGTGGTAGGGGCGGCAGACAATGTCCGTTGCACCGACTTTGGCTCACTCTTCTCTCGTGGGGATGCTCTGCGGGTGTCGGTGGTCGTGCGATGTCTCCGGGTATTCCGTCTGGGGTATGTCCTTACTGTTCTTTTTTTACACCCATCCGTTCGCCATTTCCTCATCCCTATTAGTTTTCAAGGAAGTCGTCCCCATACTGTGCAGAAAACCGGCGCTTGTTTAACTTATTCATTCTCTTCGGAGCCGCTCGAGTGAACACGACTTCCATAGTTGGCATTTCGGACATAGACGGTGGTCATCGTAGACTCGTAAAGCACCAGAAGCTAAATGTCTCATTTGCCCCGTTATTCTTTGGAAGCTGTTTGACATGCTACGTTTAGGCCTTCTTCCAAGTATTCGCGACTCCAGCAAAACGGACGCCACCAAGCGGGAAAACCGGGAAGCAGACGGAACAGGTCGCTTTGCGCCTCTCCGCGTCTCTGACGGCTTTCGCGGGCACGTGTTGTCGGCGCGGTGGCGAACAATCTGATTTGACGAAGGTCCGGATATTTTTTTAAGTTTGCCTGAAAGTTCATTAGTGTGGTGAAGCCTCAGTAGATTGTTTTCTTTCATCACGTGTTTGAAAGCCCGTTTACTCCACAACACACGGTCGCGTGCTTTCGATTTCTTGGATGGGGAGGAATCGCGGAAAAACGTTTTGATTTCTTGTTTGTCTCGAATCACATTCAAAGCATTTGGTAACTGATAAGTGGTTTCTTAATAAGGATGCAGAACAGTGGACTGACGACGACAGACGAGCTGTTCCATTGGAGGGAACACCAAAGTTGCACTTTAAGTGAATGGGAAGTTTCGATAGCTGCTTTTGTTGAATTTGGTTATGTTCGATTAGCTTTAAGATAGAGCCACCCACGCCGGTCGGTGCGTTGGCTATTCATATTAGCTGCTTTTCGCCGAAAAAGCCTCTGGACCATACCGAAAGACTAGCGTTGATTTTGCAATTACTTGATTCCGGAAAACCTTCTCGCTGCATACGATTAATGAGGGAAATTGCCTGCTTTCAAAAGGTGGGGGACGCATCTCGCAAAGTTAGAAGCTGTCACGATATTGTGATCTATCGCGCCTCCAATATTTATATCATACCCCCGTCGAAGTCAGCAGCAATATACGTCTACATTGCTCAGGTCGTCCGGCCACAAAGGATACTCAATTTCTCCGTTCAGGATTTGAAGTCAAGTTCAATGCAGAGGGGTTCTGCGTGAATCTCCAATGAAGACTCTCTTCAGTTTGTCCACATTCGTCTCCGTGCTGCCGGCTAGAAACATTTGGCTGAGTTTAAGTAGTATCTCTCTGTCTGTTTCATTCAGCAGTTCACATAATAGCTAGTCAACTAAGCTCATATTTCAACCCGAAGAATATACTAATATTGCATTAGTAGGACCCCCCCCCCCCCCCCATAGTACGCAGTAAAATAGACCGTTCCATTAGGGTCATAGCTGAGAGGGTAAAAGAGAAAAAAAAATGCACTCCCCCTCTCAACCCGCACGTCGTCCGCTCCGCCGAGTGGGCTGTAGCTAGCGCCCGGCTGGCGTGCAAACTCTGTTTAAAATCGCGTCATTTTGGAACTTTCAAGCACATATGCGCAGGTTTTGGTATGCGAGTTGTCGTGTAATATTATGCTAGATAAAAAGACTCACAGGGCCCAATGGCGCTGTTACCTGCGTGCTAATAAAAAAAAAATAAAAAAATAAGGAAAACTGTGTCAGATTGGCCGGTCTCTTTGGCGAAAAATAAATCCGGTTGCTGTACCTTTTTTACTATACAAAAGTTCGCACTGGTGTAGGCCTTTAGCGACCTTGAGTGGAAGTCTGAAATAATAAATAAAACGTGCTCTCCTGCCGCAATACACGCACTAGTTGAGGGTAGTACAGCCGGCTGACTCAACTGCTATTTAAGTCACGGAAAAAAGATATGCTAGTTGATCATTTAGCAAAATAGAACAACAGAGAGCTATAGGCTGATTTTGGAGTAGCCATAACTATTCAAAGAACGCGAACCACTTCACAACGGCAGCCACGAGCGAGAGTTCGATGTTCCGTACAGTCCGCCGATACAGCCCAAAGATGGAGAATGGCAACCTCCCGGTTTGTCGTCTGCTAGCGGAGTCTGGCGCGTGCCCTCTCTCTCGTTTTACCCCTCCGAACCCGCTGAACTTCCCGGATGTGTGGAGAGGGCGCTGCCGTCGAACAAAATGGTGCCGCCCAAAGAGCGCTAAATGGAATGGTACTCGCATATTCGTAAAAATGACATGTCGATTGCTACTAAAACCTGAATTGAAATACGAGTATCAGCTGTTTAGTGGGGCGCCAGCGGGTTAACATGCACCTTGGCTCAAAAAGCGCTTGCTTAATTTTCGTAATTTTCCTGCAGCCTGTGTTGTTGACCGAGCAGACGACTGGAGCTGTTTCGTAAACGCGGATACGCACAAAAGCTCGATTTCGCGGACAGATAAGTCGCATGGTCGAGGCATGCGAGTTAGCTGAAAATTACTCTCGGTGGAACAATTCTGTAGCCATCGCCGCTTTCCTTAGCTGATCAAAACTGACTAGAGTCTATTACCGTCTCCCCGGAGGTGTCCCGGAGCCCATATAGCGAGTTCGTTTCACACGCACTGGCACCGTTCAAGTTCTCTCCCAGAATGCATCGCACTCACAGAGTGTTGCACGGAAAACTGGACTCAAACGAACCCGCCAAATGCACCGAGTGCAGAAGACTGACGCTGCCGCCATCTACGTTGTAGAAAAGGTACCGACTTCAAACCGAAACTAGCGCCTTTCTGTTCGGAGTGATGCGTGGGAATGCGAGAATGCAGTCGCTGCCAACGTTTATCTACGAACGTTGGTCGCTGCAACCTGTAGTTTATAGTTGCGATGACTTCAAGCAGCTAGGCTGCCGTAGAGATAATTACAGGCGGCGTAAATTTCCGCAACCAGCTGTCTACAAAGCAGCTGGTTGCGATCTTTCAATTTTTATAACCGTTTACTCTGAAGAAAACTAATGATGCTGTCCGAGCAGAAGCTTGATCCGTTTGAGCATGGTATTATTCGTATTAATATCCAGCAAAACTGGGACTTTCGATTTGGATCGTCATTATAGGTATATTAGATATTAGCCTTGGTGAGGGCGTCGAGAACGAGAGCTTTCTCGAACAAAATACGACGGGGCAAGTTAGCTGACGTAGGTAAATGTTAAACATGATGATGTTGCCCAATCCTCGGGTAAAGTCTCCATCTTTAGCTTTCTCTGATGCTTATTGCGCAGTCAGAGGTTTCTGCTGGGGGAGTTTTGTCGACAAATGTTAAATGTTTCACCCCCACACGGATGGTGATAGACATCTCGGGGGCCGCTGTTCCGTTTGTTCTGAGCATTTCTTTACACACTGGTATATTTCAGCGTTTGTGCGGCAACAGAGCGATTTAAAGGGATACTAAACCAAAGAATTTAGTGTCCATAATAAGTGGCGCACGTTCTTTCCACGAGCCAGCAGCCGCCGGTGTGCGCGAGCACACGCAACAAAAATGACGTCACAGACCTCCATTCGTGGTTGAGATGACAGCGAAATGTATGGGCTTCGGACCAAAGGAGAATAAAGACAAGTTTTTCATCTACACAGTGGTGCCTGGTGTAAAAAGTAAGCGATGAATTGGTCTAACAAGCACGTAGCTTTCACTTGTAGAGATGAAAAGCCTGTCTTTATTCTCCTTCAGTCCGAAGCCCATGCATTTCACTGTCATCTCAACCGCGAATGGAGGTCTGTGACGTCATTTTTGTTGCGTGTGCTCGCGCACACCGGCGGCTGCTAGCTGGTGAAAAGAACGTGCGCCACTTATTATGGGCACTAAATTCTTTGGTTCAGTATCCCTTTAAAACCTGCAAATAAATCACGGGTTGTCAATTGCTTCCTTCGTGACATAGCAGACGCTCACAATTCAAGCTCGCGTTTGATTTCGTTGCCCGCGGGACGCGATTTCTATCAGAAAATCTACTTTTTTTTTCTTTTTTTTTCTTTCGGTTCCGCGACACATCGTAGCAGACGAACCCTCGTCGTCTGCTCCCGCTCCTCGCCGGCCCCACCGGAGCGAGGCATGACGGGATTGCATTTTGGCGCACTCCCGATTTTCTCGGTGCAGCGAGTGCATGCACGCGTGGGGTGTCAGCGCTGAAACGAACTCGGAGAGTGCAACCACTCGTGGAGTGCCGGCCGAAACGAACCCGCTCCACGCTGAGAGTGGGCACGCGTGGGCACGAGTGTCGTGAAACGAACTCGCTAATAGTTTCGGTTTTGAACAAAATCGCAGACACAAAAGTTTGACACGAAAATGACAAAAAGCACCAGGAAAACAAAACTATGCTCTGCAAGTTTATGCGCACCGGCTACACTTAACCGTTGCAGTTCAAATATCTATAAAATAGAGCATTTAACAAACAAAATCTGTTAAATTGTATACGCCACCCGTTCAGGCGGTCCGGCCGAGCCGACGCGACCTGTTCCCAGCCGCCATGTTTGTTTGGGTCGCGAATATCCCATAACATAGTTATGTGACCATATCTGTCCTCATTCGTTTCAGAGTGACAAATAAACCAACACGTTCACTGACGCGGGCCGATGAAAATTTCGAAAAACGGTTGATTCTAAGTTATAACAATTATTGCAAATAAATTATGCACATCAAAATGCTGAAACGGCGCATGATGCAAAAAAGAAACACCCTTCGGGTTTATTTTTTTCCTAATTTCTCAGTTTACCTTTCTTTTTACTATAATGTAACAAATACAATAATATTATTTTGGCTTGTGATTCCTTGCTTCCAATTTTTGTACTATAACGAGAAAGTAACGGCGTTACTGTTTTTGCAGTAGCTGTAACTGTAACACGCTACTTTTTGAAACCGGTAACTGTAACAAAGTTACTTTTCCCCCCTAGATAACTGCAACTATAACACTGTTACTTTATACTGGTAACGTGCCCATGACCTCCCCACATAACGAAAACAACCGCATCTCCACATGGTGAATGATTTTGATTGGAGCGAAGCTCTGGTGGGTGCTTGTCTACGTAGACGTTGAGCCGCGGCATGCCGAGCCTTCCGTTCGTTTTCATCCATGTCACGCTTCGGTCAAATGCTCAAATGCGTATATAACCACGTTCCATACCACACATTCTCTTTCTGACATGGATGAAAACGAACGAGAGGCTCGGCATGCTGCGGCTCGCCGTCTACGCAGACAAGCAGCACCAGAGCCTCGCCCCAATCAACATCATTCACCACGTGGAGATGCGTTTTTTTTTGCCCTACACGAGCACGTGAGCGCGTGAGCTCACAAGCAGGAGCACGTGCACCCGACGGCGGACGGACATACACTCTCCCCTGACCCTTTCTTCGCGCTCCACTAGAGCTTCGCTTTGCTAGCGGGAGCTCGTGGCGTTACTTCGAAGCTTGTATTGAACACGCGCCCGCTTTTCGCAGGGTACGATCCACTAAAACTCTCTAATCTGAGCACTTCACGGGTATGTCGTCTTTTTCAACGATTCTTTTGTGAGCACATATGTAGTACGTATAGGGCATAAAAAGTAATGAAAACCGATGGCACGACGTGTTCTGACGGGCGGAGAAAGCACGTTGGGCTGCCCTTCATTTGTACTTCTTAGAGAACCCCCCACAGACAGCGCTCGTCACTCTAACAAAACGTAGAAAAAGGTTCATAGTCGTCGTAGGGAATCCTTACCGCAGTCTCCGATCCTGAAGCCCGATCCGATGCTCGTGACAGAATCCCTGTCTCCCCAGCAGGCGGCGTTGACGGTGTCCCGCTGCGAGTCCCTCAGGGTGAAGTTGAGAACGCAGCGTTCGTCGGGCTTCTCTGCAACGTCAAGGTAACCCCCACCGCGCGTCAGAACACACGGACCTCTTCTGAAATAATTCGGACCGAATCCGCGCGTTTTATTTTACGGCAAATGTCGGCGTTTCTCCAAAAACACCTCTCCGCTTTGCGGATTGAAGATCCCTTCTTGGTTAAGAATTCTGAAACTGTTGTTCAAACCTTAAAGACAAATGCATTTTGTGCATTTGTCTTTAATGCCTTAAATGCACTGTGCAAATGCACAGTGCATTTAAGCGTAGATTGTACAAGACCTTTTCTATTTCCTTCCTCATGACCCTTTACTTAGCTCAGTCAGGGCCTGCATTGGATCCCAAGATGAAATTGCTTTCCGGAACTCAAGTGGGGTGACTACAGACAGTTTTCTTGAACTTCTGCAATTTTATTTAAATTCCACATTCATCGGATGGCAAAGCGGAGTATTTTTACAAAAATCGGGGTGTGTATTGGGTCTCCTGTCGCGCCAGTCTTAAGTGATAATTTTCTTGCGAAAATCGACCGTGCTGTTGATTTAGCTATTAAGTCCACGCCTGCTACCAACGTGTTCAGATATGTAGATGGTTTTTCTTTTACTATACAAAATGACTGCGGATCAAGATTTAATTACTACGATTATGGACATTTTTCATACGTGCGGTTTCGGGCTAACTTTTACTTTTGAGAAGCCTAAGGAAGGGGAGTTGCAATTCTTAGACCTTTTCCTCTTATTGCACGCCGATCACTTGTGCTGGTCATTCTCACCACGTTCCAAAAAAAGGTATTTTTCACTACACATCCTCGCACTCTAAGGTAGTGAAGAAAGGCATTGCTATCTCTTGCCTCACCTCAGCGCGCCAGCCAATGGAACCGAAGGCTTTATCCATCAGCTTTACTTCTCTCCTTTGGGGTTGGAGAAACTAGGTGCCGTTTGCGCGCTTCAAACCGGTGACGTCAGCTCGCTCCATGGGACAGTTAATGCTTTCGCATTAAAAAAAAAAAAAGCTTTTAATTATTGTCAGAAAGTAGTTTTTGTTTTTTGTTGTGTTGATCAGGTGTTTGCCTGACAATATCTCAACGTTCGCAGACAATCGCTCAAGGTGCCATAGTTGAGAGTTTTTATCAAATATAAGTAAGGGAATGAACAATATTGTTTAAGACAACTGACCTGTTATCCATTGTTTAAAAAAAAATTAATGAACTTCTAATTGCAAGTTTTAAAATAACGTGCCCAAATTTGTACGTGTGCAATGAAAGGGATTCGTTGGTATGCGCCAATTCAAAACGCGGTTTGGGTATGGCGTATGCGCGCTGACGACGCTATTTTCTGCTTACGCAAAGCTTTTGAGTACTCTATTCTAAAATTGCCCAATGTTACTAAAGTTATTTACCATACAACATGATCACACCGGCGGTACACGTAAATGCGACTGACAACCGATAGCTCTTCATGATCTACGACTTTTTTTTATGTCCGGAGATTTTTTTTTAATTTTTTAATGCAAAAACGTTTTTGAATTTGTTTATACGATAAATTGTATGAATTGGGCAACGACACATAAAATATCGAGCGAATTCAAAATGTCGACCATTTACCCACTGTTCAAGCACATCAGAAATCACCCAACACCATGGTTTAAGCGAGTTCAGCCTTCAGTCGCGTGGTAACATCACCCGGTGTGCAGTAGCGTTCGTTACAAAACACTAGAGTCATCACTTGCGCGAAGGCGCAACGCTGGTTCATTGCTGCTATTTATAGCTTTTCACATCTTCGTCCCTTTTTTTTTTCTTTTGTTGTTTTAGACGCAATTATCCTGCTATTGTTCCGCCCTCGCCATGTCCGCCATCGGTTGGTGCATAAGATTCCCATCGTCTCCTGTTTATGTGCTTCGTTTCACCTTACAACGGACCACGGACGACGCTACGAGCCATACAAGTCAATCCAATATCGTGTGTCACACGCGACCATGTCACACGCGACCTTTGAGGGGGCGCCGTGACGAGTTGTCCCTTGATGCGCTACATTGGCTGTGTAGCTCGTAACGTCCGCTACAATCCATCATAATTAGAAACAGAGTATAGCGATGTCTAGATAAACGAATCGAATCATATTGTCAACGGGCTACCCTCGTTCAAATATTACCCTGGGAAAGTGGTGCAGTGGAGCGCAATCAATCAAGCACAACAGCCCAAGGTTCGAATGCGCCGTAAAGTTCAGTCTTCATAGACAATAACAAACAAAATTATCAATAAAATAAAAAAACTCAGTTTCTTTGTTTTAATAATGCTTTGTGGTGTTTGGGAGAGAACGCGAACAACTACGGCCACTGTGGATGCGGTGTTCCAGGAACAATATAGTCCGACAATTAAAAAAAATAGCCTCCAACGGTAATTGACTGCAGCCGAGACCTGGCAAAACGATTACTTCTCTAATTTAAAACAAAATATTACATGTATTTTTTTTCTCTTTACGGATTTTGAATTACTTGTTTTTAAGGGTTCGTCGAGGGAAATTTAACTAGATTCGAAAATTATTATTTATTTTTTAATTGGCGCACAATAATGGGCTTTTTCGGTATTTCGAAAATTTCCGGGCGCAATGCAAACATCACTTAAAATAGTTGAGTGCTAACTTCTTTTTTTAAAGAACAAAGCATGATATACTTTGTACAAAAGGATTCAGCCTAGAAACCTAATTCTAAGGTCTTAAAAAATCGCCGAAAAAGGCTTAAATATGAAAGTTGCGCAAGAGGCCAGGTTCGTCTTTTTGTATAACTTGAAATATAAACTTAAATAAACTAACTCTAGCTCCTTCAAATAGACCAGTTGGCGTGCTTTATACACGAAAATATTTACGCTCTAGAAAATTTTATTTTTATATTTCTGTGGCCCTCAAAGCTGCATCTGCGCGCGATTGAGAAAACCGTAGTTCCACCTCCTTTACGACGCGCAAAAGTAAGGCCCATTCCGTTGTGTGGACATGTTTTGCTACCTCATATAAAAATTTACTTGGAAAAGAAAAATAGGCATGACTTTGACCGCCCTTATCTGAACACATCGTACCGACCATAGAGTTATTATAATGTACGCTAGAGGTTCAACTGGCGCTAGTGTGCTGTTGCAAATTGAAGCAGACAGCAAGCAGTCTGAAATTCACTTCCGGTAATGCATTTCTACGGAAAAAAGCGAGTGCATTTCCTCTCTGCGCTCGATTATAAGAGCAAATATCACGAATAATTCGTACCTACTAGGCACATTGGAACATTTCCCAGACACGCAGATAAAATAATTGGTCAGTTACGGCGTTTTTATTTAAAAATCGTGGCATGAAAAACGGTGCTAAAACCGCTTCGTACATGTATTTATGTGCACTGTCGGACACTGTTAGCGCGAACACTGCGTCGGCGCTTTCCAGTATGGGGGATATACGTACCAAACGAACGAAGGACATGTGGAAAACGAAGAGAGACGGCAAGAACTACTCAGTAACACTGGATAAGTAACTCTGCTTGCCGACGATCACAACAAATTGAAAGTCACGTAATATAGTCCGATTTATAATAAATAAATACTGCTTTATGCTTCCTGCTCGTGAATATGTGCGAAGATGCTTGTTCTGTGTTCAAATCATCACCCGCACGCTCCAAATCTTTGCAAATAGGGGGAAGCCAGAGAACAGGCGCGCGATAAAAACTGCCCAACATAGGAAATAATAAGAAAACACACCTTTCGTAGCCCATATACTTTATTCTTTACGTTTCGAACGTTTTTTTAACCACTCGTAAAGATGCACGACGGGGTGATTTTCATATAGTGAGAGGGCAGGCATATTAGCAATATATAAGCACAAACGGAATGCTGGCGAATTTTGAGCACACTCTAGATTTCTTTCGATTGTTATTTTGCTTAGAATCGTCGCTCGTTTCTACATACCTGCCATGGAACATAAGTTTGGGCCTGAAATATAGCGAAGTTTAACATCGTTCAGTGGTAAAGAAAAAATGCTGTAACTAAAGCAATTACACTTTCACAATATTAATAAAGGTACATACTATCCGGTACAACTGAAATGACAAAAGTTATTCATGTTATTTTTCGGCGAAGAGACAAAATTCACGCGCGTTTTCCCATACGAATACACAGGGAGGCTGGAAATCTAGACTGCATGCTGTCTGCTTCAATTTGCAACCGGAAGTCCCATAGACACTAGCGCCAGCTGAGCCTCTAGCGTTTATTGTAATAACTCTATGGTACCGACCTTTTAGCGGGGCTGTTAAGGGATAGTTTCCCCAGGATCGTGTCCGTCCTCAAATGACCTGATGACACAGAACTCTGTACAGCTACCGCCATCTCTCAGCGACGGCAGCAACCAGCCAACCCACTTGCCGGTTGTCTGGTTGCCGCCGTCGCTCAAAGATAGCGGCAACTTTTCGAACCTTTCTTGCCGACCTGCGGCCGGCCATTACTTAATTCCCACCATAGTTCAGCTTCGCTGGTCTTCCTTCACCGGAGTAAAAAGGCTGAAGGAATTTTTGTTTTGTTATTTTATTTATTACAATCATTCGTCTTCAAAATCACATTGACAGCTTTTTTTTTTTTCTCGATTTAAGCGTTGTTGTTACGTTTACAGCTGCCGCGGAAATTAAGATCTTAACGTAACTTTGTACACAAATGTACAACGTGTTTGGACCTCGTGTCCGCATCACGAGAATTGAGAGATTGCAAGACTGCCAAAGTTACCTTCGAGTACATGCTGCACGTGTATTTGCGGCTTGACTGTGTCGGGTGTCTCTGTTTGTCGCTCTAGTGGGACTCGGGCATTAGCGCCCGCGGTGAGACACTGAGGGACGCTGACAGACGCCAGTTTACGTCCGTAGATCGTGTATGAAGGGACGCTGACGCTTCACGTTAACAATAAAAACGATGGACCCTACAGCGCCTCCTGGCCGAGAGAAACAGGCCCATTGCAAATTCTGAAAACCGCTTTCACGTTTATATCGGCAAGCCCAGAAACTTCGGTATATCTGATCTGATCTTGACCGCTAGCGCCAGATTTGAACTCGAGACTGACCGTTCGGCGATGCGAAGTTCATCTTTGAGGAGAAAAAGGCAGCAATTGTTTTTGCATACCTCACAAGAATAGATGAGAGTTAACGATAATTCGATAACAGCCACACAACACAAATCCGGACGAGTAACTTGTTTTGAATCCGAACTCGGGCGCATATACCAAAAAGAAATCAATCAGCTTACCGGAATTCGGAGAGATGGTCCGTGGGCTCTGTTTCGTGATGACGATCCCTATAACGGTGACTTTGGCGATGCAATTATTTAAGTCCGCGATCGGCGTGTAATTCGCCGAAGCACTACGCTCCAACTTCGCGAGCAGTCCGGCGTCGGTAGGTCGGCTGGCCATGGCAAATGCGTCAAGTGCAGCAATCTTGCGACAAGATGCCTTTCTTAAACGTTTTTGCAAGCAGCTACTCTGACTTTTCTGAGAAAATGTCGCATTGATAGCTCGGATTTTGCGACACGAAGTGCTCGACCGTTGTACTCGCTCGTCAGCTCGTAGCGTTCGTCTGCGTAGGTGGTTTTTTTTGGTCGTCTGCTTCGTCAAATTTCATAAAACAAATAATAATAAAAAAAAAAGAAGAAAGCCGTTAGGTTGCTTTTAAATACACAAGCGATAAAAAAGAATGCATTTTAAAATGACAACTTGAGAAAGAGAGTTAGGAGCGTGCAAGCAAAATCACCGTTATATTTTGTAAACAACGGTGATATGTTAGAAAATGGCGAAACCGAAACCAAGTTTCGCAGGTTTGTCTGCTGTCTCCGATTTTGAGATCAAGCAACTCAGCTAAATTTACATGTTAATCTTAAAAATAATAAGTTTTTAAAGATCCCTATGCTTGATTCTTAGTAGTATATAACGAATACAGAAGTTTTTAAATATGCTCATTTAAATGTAGACAAGGACCTAAACTACTTGAAAACACTTTAATTTATAAATCATTAGATGCTTGCACATACGATTTAATATCTTTTCAGCATCGCAGGCAGTTTGAAGCTTGCTAAAAAGTCTAAACAGTTTTCGTCGCTGGAATGCAGGATTTTTATTTGAAAAAGGCCGTAAACGCTAAACTAATGCAGTCGCGAATGTGATTTATACGGCCAGAGGGGCAATATAGGGGGACAATAGTCACGAAAGACCGGATAATTAGCTAAAATGTGTTAAATAAATATTAAATTAGTGAACATAGACACATGGTTCCAAATAGAAACTTGCCGAGCGTCATGTAAAACCAGAACATTTTAGAAAGGCTTTAAGCGCATAGGTAAGGCGGTAGTACCCTAAAAACACCATTCGCGCAAAACTGAAAAAAAAAAGAAAAAAAAAAAAAAAACGAGGAATTGCGAGGACGCATTTTTGCGCCGTCAGGCTTTCACTTTAGCGCACCACCGCGCTTCCTAAGTGCTCCGAGTCCTTTTAAAATTTATTTATTTAGTGACTACGATGAAGCTCAGAAAGTTTCTAATTGTAACCGTATGTTCATCCTCACTAATTAAAATGTTAATTCACAAATTTTAGTCAATAAACTTGGCGTAACGATTAGACCACTGTATTATGTCCATCTAACCGTACAACTCACCAATTAAAAAAAAAAAAAAAAAAAAAAAAAAAGGTCAGGAAAGCTTAAAGGGGCCCTGCAAGGAGTTTTTTTACTGGTTTTTAGTTTACACCGAAACTGAGCGCACTGAACGTAGTAAGTTAGTGAAACTTTTCTTTTCTCTAAATTCGCTTTATTTTAAAAGTTATAGGCAAATTAGAATTACAAAAACAAGCAAAAAATAACCTCCCTCATGACGTCCTTGATTGCTTGAGTGGCCGTGAACTAGAGGAGGCGTAATGAGCTCATCGAGCGCTCACGGCTGCCGCACTCCGTGTCGACGGCGCGAGAGGGCGCCACTAAAGCATGTTCTGGATAGGGAGGCTGTAGTGAGGGTGGGCGCAACTCAAAACCTGGAGAGCGTCTGCAATTTAATGGCGGCGCTTGAGGGAGAGGATTCGAGAAAGGATATGCGTCAGTGTTGCCTGCACGAGAGCAGGCGCCCGCTCTGTTGCAACTCTGTTGCTCCATGCGCCTTTCCTCCTCTCGCCTCCCATTGCAAGCAACGAGCGCCTTGGCGCAGCCTCTCTCGCTTCCTTCTCGCTCCGAGAATTGCAAACGTCGAGCGGAGAAAGCAAAGTTGCCAGACAAGCAGCAACGTCCAAGATGGCGGAATTTACCATTTTTCGCGTTAAAAAAATACTTAACCTATCGCAACAAAACTGGTGGCTATGAAAAAGTAATCATTTATACCTTGTGTAAATTATTCAAGCACCTTAATGGGCTTTTATGACCCGAGTTAGGAAAGAAAAGGACCCTTTGCCCCATAGACTCCCAGCAAAATTTAGCAATTAAATGGCGTCCATGTCCCGTGATCGCCGATCTAGCAGTTGCACCCACCCTCACTTGAGTCTCCCTAGTTCTGGATAGGCTGTATGCAGCGGGCAGCCAGAGCGGCTCTCATTGCTGCGCGATTAAACACTAATTTGGCATGACACTTCATTGGCCACAAACGACAGCAAACACGGGGTAAAGATCAGTTCAGAATGGTAGCCCCTTCCCGCTGCCATACCGTGAAACGGGCAAACCGCAAGACAAAGCTTCTCGCCGAAGGCCTTCGGAACGCTCGGAGCCGGTCGGATCCTCCTGTCCATACGACCGCAGCGCCGCCGCGTACATCCGAGACCTTTCCGTGTCGGCGCCTGATCCCACTACTCCTTTCTAGTATGCACTGCCTTTTCCAGCACTTGGTGGCAGGTATGTCGACGGGTCATTTCTTGTTTCCGTACTTTATAAACTGCATTCGTTTCTTTTCTGATCTAAAATACTGAACAAAAACTACTTTTATAAATAATTGAAACGGTTCGTGCCACTTATATTTTGTATTTCGATCAAAAAGCTTCTAACGGCTCTGACCAGTAGTAAGCCCAGGACCAAAGACGTCACATTTTGCGCGCTTTCGGTACCGCGGGTCGCCCTTGTCGGTGGAGGAGGTTTCCACGTCGTCCGTAATATATGACGCACTGATATTTAGTTACTCTCTCCGTGCCCGCTGGCTTGCCCGAACCTCAAGAGACGTGGAAACCGCAAAAAAGATAGACGCTTAAATATGATTGCAGGGCCCCTTTGAAGTAACACCCTGTGGTACAACCCCACGCGAGTTCAGCCGGCTAAAGGAACTGCGGCACTTCGTGAAAGTGACGAGTCTGGCACTCTCTAATTGACCAGTTGGAAATATACTAGTCTTGTGCGAATAGTGGATTTTGAGTTCGAAGCGAATTTGAAGCGAATACGGAGGGAAAGCCGTCTGCTCTTTCGCGCAGGCCGGTGGCGTGACGTCACCTCGCCGCGCTCTGATTGGAGGATGGCTCCGGGCGGGAGCTCGGGGGTAAACAAAGCGGTGTCGTCTTTTCTCCGCAGCCATTGCGGAAGGCCTTTTCTGTGGCTCTCGGAAATCCACTGCTAGTGCTTGAACGAAGACGCGGCATACGGAAAAAAGAGACCGGAAATACCTAGAAATGTACGTTACTTCGTTTGACGCGAAAGAATTTACCCTGGGAGCATACGAAGCACCAATATGCGTCCCGGTCTTCGGCGGTGAGATGTTGATGTGTGCCCCCCCCAACGTCAGCACGGTGATGTGCGACGCGAGTGAGCCTTTCTACTTTTTGGCGGAGACCCCTTTTCGCCAGCAAGTGTCTCGGTGTTTCCGTGAAGCACCGAAGTGTAGCTACAGCCCTCTTCGGCGAGCTGAACGGGCTGCCGAGCTTTCGAAGGCCGATCTCCCGCAGCGCTGGAACCCGGAGAACCGCGCCATGGCGCTCGCTGAGGTGAGTTACGTCGTTTCTGTACAGTTCGCATCATTCACAAACAGTTGCACGTGAAAGGAGTATAGCAAAGTAAAACGGAATGTTACGAAAAAGCAGCGGATTAGGCGATCGGTGTGGTACGACCGAGCCGAGATTGTATGCCACTTGTCCAAACAGATAGTGTGGTAGGATATCTGTATGTGGGTCATTAACTTCGCAGTCACGACTCGGTGTTCCTTGGTAGTCTATTTTAGCAGTGATAGCGCCGTGTCTAAGTGACATCCGATGTCACTTCTTGCCAGTGGCGTAGCCACGGAGGGGGTGTTCAGTACTTCGCACCCGAAATCCCCCCCGGCCCCAAGAAAACCTGGCTACGCCAATGCTTCACGCGCGCAATAAAGCGCCGTCCTAGGGTGTTAAACTCGAGACGAACTGTTCTTCTGACGCGTGTTCCATCAGTCGCTCGCTGCTGATTTGTTTCACCATAAAGTGCCAGTGAGGCAAACGCTGCGGGGGCGAGTAGCATGTTTTCGTACCTGCCTACTAGTTTTCCTAGGTCCGTTAACCTGCAAATGCTTGTGTTCCCCCTACCCTATCATTCCAACAGAATCCACCGGCTGCCGGGCTACTGAAAGGGCCCTCTGCTCGGAGGACATGTTGCGGGCCCTGTGTAATGCCCTCGGCGCCTGTGCGACTTCAGGGGGTCTGCGTTTCACGGCCCCGTTACCAGCTGGGAAATTCTCCATGGAGGTAAGATTATGAAAGAAACCACTCTATGCACTCAGAGGTAGCTTTCAGAAGTTGTGGAAGCCAAATACAGATGCTGATGTCTTTAGTAAAAACAAAATCAAATTATTACTTGCTTTATGACTTATGCATCTCTATGTTGCCAGCCATATGTGGCAGGAAAGTGTCACGTGATCTCAACCTGGTTTCTCAAGGCACTGAAAAGCTACCTGTTGCAGACCACTGTACCATTGTCATTTATTATATGTTATTCCCTGGCACTGCGGGATTGGTGGCCGAGGGGGCTTGCACGCACCAGCTCGGAGGATGTGGAGTGAAAGCTCGCGCTGCAGAACCCAGAATCGTGTGTTCAATCCCCACATTTGCCCGTTTCGATCTGGATGAGCACTGTATTGGCGTGCGGTCGTGTATCACTGCTACGTGATGCACGTTAAGGGCCCCAGGCTAGCGGTCATCTACAGCTGGGAGACTCATCGCCCGTTGAGGCAGATCAAGTTTGAGACTGTATAAACATACACACAACCCGATTCCTTGGCTCGCTGCTGTTATTGCTGTGCTGATGTTTGGATGTATTTTTCTTGGTCGTTGAAATGACTACTGTGATGCTTGGGTGAAATAACCTGGTCAATTACCTCCTTGGCCATAGAGTGTTGTTCACTTGTTACTCTCTCTTCTCCTCTGGTTAATGTAGCTCAGATAACAGTCATGCAGTTAGCCCGTTTCAAGTTCTCTCGACGCCACATTCTCACATCTCTGGCCGATCGTCCTGCTTTCGCGCAAAACTCACACACCTCGTCTTCTTTGATACTCCCGAATGCGCCTCGGTGGCTCACTCCGCCGCTAATTTCAGTCCCGTGCCCACTGTTTTATGACAACCTCCTTGACATGACAAATCTAGCTTCTGTATCCAACCATCAATACGGGTTAGTGTTCAATTTGTAAACTTGATGTTTCAAAGTAACAGTACAAGCTTCCTCCAGCATCTACCAGCAACCAAGCAATGACAAAAACCAAAGCTTTAACTTCCAAGACTAAAAACCCAGGAGTATGAGGACACGCTGGCCAACCCTGCCGAGGACAAGCCAGGATGAGGACAAGCCAGGAGTGGGACGAGCATGTAATCTCGGTATATGGAGAGGTGTCCTCGAAGTTCCCAGCTTTAAAATTGTGGTAGTGTTTAAGTTGGTTTAAGTTCAAAGAGTCTCAAAAGAGCAAATAATGCAATGTTATTTATTTTGATTTGCATCCCTTGGATGCTGGCAGGTATTCGGTACGAAGGGAATGGGATAGACATGTCTATTTATGCATTCTGCTGCTTAAAAAATAGGGTTTCACTGATTTTCAGTTGGTAATGGCATGGGAGGACAAATACGCTGCTCAAGAGTGTAACCGGACCGTTTGACTACTGGGACGACTCTTTTACAGGGGACGACATCCTGTCCAGCACCAGCTTCACCATCTGGGACCAAGTGCACGAGGGGTCGCACTGCAAGCAGATGAAAGGAGGGCACTGCAACCTTGAGGTCAAGCTTGTACATCTACCATTACAGTCCTGAATGGATGCCAATTGGTACTGATGACCTTATGAAGGTGAAACGTCCCTGGATCTAAAGGGAAAATTTGATTGAAGGCGAGCTGAAGTTGTTTCTGACTTTATCCTCTTATGACTTGAAAGTAATCTGCCTACTTCATGAATATTGAAGATGCAGAATTTGTTTCCGTAACTGTCCCACTTCAACGTAATGTGCACATTGAAACCTGTTCCTTTTCTTTTTCTGCTTTCCGGCGAGAAAAAAAAGCCAACGAATCTCCCTTTTCCTTCTCGCAATGGGGAGGTGTGCAAGACTGATTGCATATTTTATATAAGCAATCAGTTTCATAAGTGAATGAAGATAAAAGCAGAATACATGTTCACAGATTATTTGTGAATTCTTAGACTTGCTGAAGTGAGTAGTTTATGTTCGAGTCATGTAATTATGAAGTCAAAACCAGATTTAGTGCATTTTTAAGAAGCCTTTTAGACCTGAGAGTTCTGTTTTGACTCGGCAATACACAACTCACCTTTGTTATTCCTATAGCACAGCCGAAACTATAAACATGAGCATGTTGCCTGACCAATGCTTGAACTGCCGTGAAATCGACGAAGTCCCTATCCTTCGAGAACAAGTGTCAACGGGGAATAGTCGAAAGACCAGGGTCAAGTATGCACACACATACTTGATTTCAAGCTTGCAGATTGAAATAATTGTTTATTGAATCATATCCATTCTTAAACCTGTTTGAGATTGTATTGGTTCATATTCACAGTATATTTATTTTTCATTTCACCAAGGAATAATTTAGAGACAGATGTTGGTGTTCAGGCGTGATGCTTTTATTTTTGTCACATGCAAGAGGGCAAAAAATTAGATTCGGCTTTGTAAACTGATTTTTTTATGTATTCTTCCAAACAGCATAGCAAAGAATAATATAAGGGCTACAGCTGCGAGAGTTGCTACACCTGGCATCTCATTTGTTTTATAGCGTGTACAGGTGAGACACTATACTCCGTTTCTCGGTAAATTGGCAAACATTGTGACCCAATAAGAGCATCGGAGCCAGGCACGTGACAACACTCCACGGTCGAGTCCTCGTTATTGCCACAGCAAGAGCGCCATCTGCGACAAAACATAGTTCTAGGCTTTGTTTTTTCTTCTTCTTTTAGTAGTGCTGCCGTCGGATTCTTCGGACCGCAACACTACACGACACTGAAGAAAGACGAAGACACATGTTACTGATTAGCGACACTTAATATAGATCAACACTTTTTTTGAGAAAAACATGGCTTGTGATCGAAGTTCAAACAATCGTAGCCGTGAATCGACCACTTCCGCTCAAAACATCGCCCTAGCATTAGCACCCGCCACAGATTCATGGGCAAATTGAGCATGTGGTTGTAAGACGACAGCCGGTTCTGGCGGGTGGTCCTTGCATTTGGCGCGGTGACACGAACGCTCCTGTAACATGCGTCCATGTGCCTCGCTCCGACATTCTTACTGGGTCGCAGAAGCCGTAGCCTCCACAGTTCACCAAGCTATCGTGAAACAGAATGTAGACTAAGTTGCCTGCGTGCTAATGAAAGTAGCCTTGCCAGCATCATGTATTATGTATGAAACACTGTATACTTCGAGAAAACAAATAAAGCCATTCAACCTTTCCACTGATTGTGTTTGTTCATTAGTAAAACTTGGTTCAGTGAACTTTACATTTCAGCATTAGCATGGACACAACAGGTAAGGTCAATCACAAGTGCTTTAAAGCGGTCCGAACAGTTTCCAAGTGGCTCATGCAAAGCAGCTGACATGGTATTACCCCCAGGAAAGAGACGAGACCTCCTCGACGAATCTACTCAAGGCCCACCAAACTGAATATTAACGTTTCTAGGAAATTGGAATCAACCAAACAATTCCATGGAAAGGTACACCACAAACAGCATTGGTGTGAGGGTGAGCCCTATCTGCAGCGACAATACTGAAGCCTCGCATGCCACCATTACTAACACATGCAAGTAGTCAATCGGCGCCTGGCATACTTGGGCATTGATGAAACAAGGAAAGATGATCAATGAGTGGCGTGGATCCAAATGGGAATGTCTTCACAATCGCTGTATGACCACCATCCGTTGGTGTGTTTCTGGATGTCAACAGCCCATCTGGGACCTAGAAATGACAAATGATGTTAGAAAGTTTGTCACTTATACACTGGCTTTTGCTTGACCCAGTCTGCTGAGCGAACAAAAATATGTACATGTTAGTCATTGTTTACTCCCGTGTCAATTCCATGGGGCGCTCGTTAGCTAGGCTTGGATAGTGCGCGATCTCCGAATTTTTATCTTGGTATGGGAACGAAAAAAAAAGACAAGCGACACGCAAAAACACGTCAGACACTGACAGCGTCGATGTGGTTCCAAGATACACTGCGCAACACATTTCGCAGAAAGGCGGCATCGGTACTTCGTCGGCAATTCACTCATACTGGCTAATGTGAAACGGCAAATTTGTACTGTCCGAGTTGGTTCACTGTATTACACGTAACAGCCATTCATATTTCATTCCTGAAAGAAAAAACGATCGCGTTTTTGCGGCAAGTTTTGAGCTCTGTGCTTTTCTACAGTGCCATGATTACAACCGTAGGCTGCAACTACTATACCAAATACGATGTATGACTATACTGCGTCTCACCTAAATGCGAACGAAGCGAAAATTGCAAACGCGAGAATCTGATCAGCGCTTGTACTGCAAGATCGCACATGCATGGCAGCTATGATCAAAGCTCGGGATTCGCCCATGTAGATTTAACTTCGACCGCATTTAAAATGAAACGGAACATAGCTTATACGGCCTCCGTGCAGCTTCGAGTCGAAATGACGAGTGTGTATATTCCTAAGTATCACCTGCGAAGATAGGCTTCGGAGGATCGCGAAAACGCTACATTCTCGGCCGTTTTTCGATTAATAGCGCCCATCGACTCCGCCACATAAGATTTATAAAGACCTGCTAGAAGGCAAAATCCGTTGTGTTCGTAAAGGAAGAACAAGATAAAAGGCAACTTACCGGTACAATCGGGCGGCGGTCTCGTAGTGACCGGCGCAACCGGCGTTTCAATCGCGAGGCTAGGCAAGCGCCTTCTCTTTGGTGCTCTTCGTCGTCTTCATCTTGGAATCTTCGAAATGCCTCTAGCAGACGACGGAGGAATCGTAAGGGGCACAAAGCTGCTCGATCTTGTGGACTCGGCAAATTTTAACCGGGCTACAATAAATAAAAGACTCGCGATCGCCGCTACAACACGGCCGCCATGGCCGACGCCGATGTTTGTTTACCCCCCGGCCTCCCCCGACATGTGCGAGGGCGGAGCTTAGTCGGAATCGTCATCAACCTCCTCTCCCGCTTCGCGCCTCCTTTCTCATGCGCAGAAGACGAAAATGAGCCCACTTGCGAGGCGTATAGTGGTTTTGGCCGAATATTTTCGATTCGAATATCGAATAGTTTTTTCACGCCTTTTACTACCACTGCATAATTCTTAGACGAAAACCCAGCTAAACCTGCAAAGGTTATTCCACTTTTTCATTTATAAGCTAAGCTTAATCTATCTATATTTATGAACTGTGACCTCAGAAGGTCTGGTGTCTTGGGATGGCAAGTAAACGACGGATTTGGCATAAAATGAATTCTATAAAGGTGGCCAACTATACCAATTGAGTGAATTTACAAATCTTGATATATAAAATATTATTTCTTTAACCTCAGGTTAAAAAAGAATGAGTCGCGCATAATGGACCCAGGTTGTAAAAGCATCTCTGCCTGCCAGCATAAAAGTTTAATTTTGAACCATCTACTACAATGTAGATATACACATTCACAAAGTTTCCATTTATTTTCAAATACAGTCAGCACGGGTGAACCATTCTGCTTTGAATGTATGCTTTTCTTCCGAGCACGCAATTACGATATTGTTTACCGCGGCGAGGCTACCCCGTTAAGTGCGCTTCTTACCGAGCGCCGATGTAATGCGGAGAAGCAACATCCGCGGAGCTCACTTCCGCGGATTTTGCTTCTCCGCAGGGCGCCAGAGGTTGGTAAGAAGCGCACTCAACGGGGCTAACCCGCCGTAATCAACACTTCGAAAAACGCGAATAGTGCAGTTCTGTTCAAAGCGAATATCGAATAGTGTATTATTCGGAACTACTATTCGAAATTTCGAATATTCGCATAACCCTAAAATATACCAAAAGGGCGTGCGAGTGAATTATGGGGACACTCTGCACTACTTTGTATGCTCTTCTTGCTGTCGCAGCCTCTACCGCCAGGGACGCCGAAAAGTGGGGAGCCAGAGGCAGCCCCTAAATATTCTAACGGGGGCTCAGCGCTCGTCACGAAGTCATCATGTGTGTCGTGATGACTTCGTGATAGAATATAAAATAGAAATCGCCGCACAGGACGCAGTGAAAGGGACAAAAACTAACTTGTTAGGATAGTGTTCCCTATCGAACGGAACTCAAATAGTAATATCACAGTTCGGTTTGCTAAAAAAAGTGCATAAATTATAAAAAAAGACGAAAAAACAAAACGGCTTATTTAGTCATTTCACTTGCAATATACTTCCGACGTCCCCGTCTGCTGCATGGTAAAGCAATACGATAAAGCCCCTTCATGTTCTCAAAGTAGCGCAAGGTGCTTCGATGTACGAGGCACGTGCAGCCCTTGGGAAGATCATGGCGGCACAGCGCAGCACTGAGCTAGATTTCGGACGCCATGCTCTTCCCAGAGGTGACGCGCGGCACGGGACTCGAGCATTTCAACAACAATAAATGCCAACACTTTTCCCTGGATAGAGGAACTTTACCACGTGAAGCTAAAGAGAACGGAAGAAGTACGTGCTACAGCCGTTGCTGCTCAGCGTGCCTAGATTTCAAAGTGCCTCCGACTGCGTGATCGGGCTAACGGGGTTTATGGGCGAGGATGGGCCGAATGCTTCGATCGTCTCCAGCCTTTGCTCAGCCCCTCCTCTCCTCCTCCCCACATACACACTCACGCGTACGCACTTGCGACCAATCGGCGCAGGCGGCGTTCGCCATTAGATCACAAACGCTCTGCTTCTCTCTCTCTCCCCATGATTTGAGTTGCTCCCTTTTAGAAATCTAGGCTTAATTCTATTGCTGTACAGGCAGTTCCCGGCATTCCTTTCGGGACCGCGGACGGCGCTGCCCGCTTTAAAGTTGATCTATTGTCTGCTGGCCCTTTCCCCACGCATCATGTGACATGGCGACTGATGGGCAGCCGATCAACAGAAGCCCACCGCTGTGTTGCTTTCAACGTAGTACGGCAGTGACCAGTCTTGGTACGGGGTGCACGATCCGCAATAAAAACGGACGACAAACGCCTATTTCAGAACAGCTTTATTAAAGTTAAAATAAAATCGTTCACAATAGTATTTGAACAACGGATGCCTTCAGCAACACTATTTATTGGAAGAACCCTCTGTAGGAGATTGTCAAAGTTCTTCCCTTGCCACAGAATCAAACAAGTGTTTCGTCGTGAGAAAAATCCTTCTTAATTACAATGGCTTCCAACCTCAAAAATTATTAATGAAGCACCGGAAAAAAAAAAGTGCAAGTATGCTAAGCCTGCACAATGTTTTCCTGTGTGCACCACTGATTTGCCAATGAGATCACTCCTCAACATAACAAGTATGACCTTAAAGGCCTGTTCACACACTTGCGACCTCTTTGAATGGAAAGCCTTGGAACCTCTTAATATCTCTTACGAGAGGACACACTGGCGCTATCTATTGAAAAGCAGTGTAAAGTTGGCGGTCTGGCATATTTTATATTACTCTCACGCATTATGCTTCCTTTCTTGGCTCGAAAAGCTTTTGTCAATGCTATAAACAAGGCTTTCTCATAGGTATCGCGCACATTTGACCTCGGAAATCCCACAAAACCTTCGCTCTTGTGAAATGCAGTTCCAGGGTCACCGCATAGATGGCACCAGTGCGTCCTAAGAAATTTTAAGAGGTTTCAAGAGGTCCTGTCTCTCTCGGTTGTACTCGGTTGGAAGTGTGTGAGTGGGCCTTTAGAACCGGGTGCCTTATAATCTCTTGGAGTGAAAGAGCACGCTGGCGCCATCTATACTGTGACCTTGGACGGCATTTCACTGGAGCGAAGGTTTTGCAGAATTTCGGAAGTCAAATGTGCTTAATGCTTATGAGAAATGGTCGTTTATAATGTTGACAAAAGTTTTTCGAATCTAGAAAGAAAGGATGATGAAATAGAAAATATATGGGACCGCCAAGTTTCCACTGCCACCCATTAAGGGTGCCAGTGTGTCCTCTCGTAGTAATAGATCTTAAGAGATTCCAAGCCACTCGGTCTTAACAAGTCGCAAGTGTGTGAACGGGCCTTAATTTCAATGACACAAAAGCGGAAAAGAGGCAACCGTGAATCACCAATCAGCGACTTTCAGCAGTGACTCAACAAAATACGGGTTACCCAGGAACCACCCTAGAGTTGCCTAGAGTCGTTAAACAAAACTGTTTCAATCTCAAAAAATTTACACGTGTTTTCCTTATATTGCTATTATGAAAACCTCTCACACTCTCGAATAAATATAAATATTTCGATTGAGATCATAGGTGTACGGGATACGGCTGAACAACAAGGCTCTCGAGACTTGCACGGGAAAATCTATCGGGGACAACTTCGCCACTCTTTACGAATCCACCCAATCACTGCTCCAGAGAGGCAAGAGGCGTGTGACACTAATGGCAAGATTGACAAGTTGAAAATGGTCTCAAACAGCCTTGAGATTGATAGACCAGTAAATCATCTATTAAAAGGCAATTTCTGGCCTTTCAATACACATTTTATGTCAGTCAATTCAATAGCCTTGGCATACAAGTGTAACCCGCAGACGTCAGCAAACAGTGTAGAGGTTGTGTAGGCTTTGTTACTAAAGAACACCGAAATTGATGGAATTTTCCGTTTCAGAATGAAAAAAACATGTTTCTTACACTCGCATATCTGTAACAACAAAATGGCACGGTCATACCAAGATTACCGCCAAAAAATGCGCAAGCGTGGTTATTTCTAGCACCCCACTTTTGCCTTGCTAGCCAATGTTGCTATTACTGTCATGTATCCTTCAAGTTTGTAGCTCAGACATAGCAATGTTGCTTCCTAATAATTTAGATATGCTCGACTACGTCAGTGTCAGTGTAGAAATTGAGCGACGTAGCCGCTGGATAGCGATAGGCAAGAAGTGAATTAATCTCCTTCAAAAAGGCCCTACAAAGGTTTGAAAAATTGGAACCTGTTTAGAGACAACATGCAGCCATCATGAACATGGATAGAAACAGGAGATAGAATAGGAAAAAGAAGTTGGAAATGCAAACAAAGAAAGCTGCAACCATACTCATTTTCACGTAGCACAGATAATTTTAATAATAACCTTAGTTTATGTATTGATTACCTGTCTAACATAACACCACACGAGGAACATTTGTGGCCGGTGGGCACCCTTAGTGAATGAAGCACTGCAGGAAAGCATTACCCACAACATTACTGCCATGGGTGTTGCTTTACTGCAGGGGAAGCTTTCTGGTATTATGTAGTCGAAACTAGATGGACACTGGTTTCATTTTCTAGAATTGTCAAAGCAAGTCCTGGAAATAGTCTGCCATACTAACAAACAATGAAAATCTTTCAAATTATTCGAAAACTATATTGAGAATCGAAGGTCTAATCGAATACACGGAATATTCGAATCAATATTAACAGAAAAAAGTTTTCAATATTCCGAGTAAGTGATGAAAACAGTGTTTTTCCTGTTTTAATACTGTATGCACAGCAGCCAATTCATGAAAAACATGCGCCACCCTCTGTTTGTGTAACACGGAGGGCAGGCACATGGCTGCTTACATATACATGGGTGCAGCTCAATATTTCACGACTTTGTACGCCTCACTGTTAAGACGAGGAAGTTTATGAAGGCGCACATGTTAAAACATGAAGCATGACACAGGAACTTTGAGCAAGTGAAAGATGGGTTCAAAACTACTGAAGCAGCAGAATGCGCTTATGCAAAGACCCAGTAGAATCGGTCCAATTTGGTGCTCAACGTTATCCTGTACGAGTGAAATGTGAAAAGTGCTGACATCACTCAGGTTGTAACTATGTTGTCCATGTTGAAGAAAAATGTTTAAAATGTTTCAACCTCTCTTTCTTTCTCATCACTGTTGCCCAACGTCCCTCCATCCTCGGTTTCAAGTAACAAACCAAATGTATGTTACAACACTGTCCCTTGTAAGTCACAGTACAAGAAAGTGTTTGAGGTAGGCTTTCATTTAAAATCTACTATTTCAGCAGCAACAACAAAAAAAGCCAAGCAATGCAATATATGCTTGTCTTCAGGTACCATCACTGTTGGAAAGCTTACTAAAGTTGTTATTTCAAGAACAAAATTGCCCTTGAGTACTGCTGAAGCCAATTCAGCAGTACTCAAGGGCAATATTACACTTGAAAACATAGTGCAAGTGTTAAAATTTCCCCTATAAATGAGATGAGGGGAAACGAACATTAAAACAAATGTATCCAAATTTATATATTTTTTTTCAGTATATTAAATTTGTGAGCTAGTTTGACTACAATCATGTGTTAGGAACAAAAAGAGAAAGATTTGCTTTCAATCAAAGCAATGCAGAGAAACATAGTGACTTGCCATGTGACCTAGAGATGGCGCCACCATTTCTTTTCCCAGCCTGCCAAAACATGCAACAATGGTAATGCCATCTATTACTCGCATCGTACACCACTGAGTGGCAAGTCGTCAACCACATGTGAAAAGTCACATCCTGCAGCAGTTAAAGATACATTAAAACAGGACCCTGAATATTTTCCAAGTGCAGCACTAACAGGCTGTACCCCATTTGCAAATTCAATATGGTAGAATAACTTGTCTGCATGCCCTGCTAAAAAAATGTACTTCAAAACTAACCACTTGTCTGCATGTCCCCTAAAAGAAACCAAAAAACCTGCACTTTTCTTTTACACATTCTTAAAAAACTTTTAAAATTAATCTGAAGATGAAACCACCATTACAGCCCAATGTTACCATTAAAATCCTTTTTTGCACTCCTTCCTCGCATTATCTTAGCTTGCCAAGCCAATGCCCGAGCAAGCGGCACATCAGGTCGTTTCAAGTGGCATAACTTTTTTTAGGCCTGCATTTCGACAAACACAAAAACAGGTTCCACATATTCAGAGTGTTCCAAATACCAAGGCTCGCTCTCAAATCAGTATGAAAGATTGGTGCACGCAAGTTGCAATGTCGAATTTTTATCAAAAGCTGTATTTTGGTGGAGGTTTTTACCTCATGAAATTTGGAGGTGCAGCGCCCTTCCCGCAAAAAATTAGACAAACACTCGACATTTTCAGTGCAGACGCCACCGCAGACAACCGAGTTGAAGGGGCCATGAAACAAATTTTGGGCTGGGATAAATGATTTCGGATTGGGATTTTACTAGTTGCATGTCGTTTAGTGGGCCAGAAGAAAGAAAGTAGAAAGCCAAAAGCCTGCTTTTCAGTACAAAAATCTAAAAATATGGCTGAGCATTTCATACTTCCTTTCCTTCAAAAGCTCTCCGCCCTTTCACTGCGATGCAACTGCAGTACCCAAAGTACGTCAGCCGATCCCAGCTCGCGCATCGGACACGAGCACTGCGTCCCTGGACGATCGACCCGTCGACTAATATTTAAATTAGTGTCTGTGGCCGACGAGTGCCGCGACAGCACTTGCTATCGCTCGCAAAGGATAAACACCACAGTGGAAGCTCCGAGTTACCGTGTTCAGCAACCGACACTGTCGAAGTCGACCACCCGACACTACACTTAGCTGCCGAAAGCCAAATTGCTTGGACTGCCCGGTCGGCTGGGAGGGCCACCACCGCAGTTCGACATCCGTGGATGATTGCACAAGATGCAAGGAGCACTGATGGCTAGTCCCGCCAACCCCAGATGGCTGGGTGAACTTCCGCTTACGGTGCAATGCCGTGTCACGACCACGGAATTTCTCATTCTGACGCTGATGAGGAAGAAGTTGGAAAACCATTTCATGGCCCCTTTCACCGAGGATTATGTTCGCGACACCGTCTCCCCGACAAGCGCAGCAAGCAGACGCCGCCGTCCTCTGCTTTCGACCAAGTGCGTCGTCTGCTCTCTGCCCCTACAGAGAGACGGTGCCATGAGCACAACCATTGGTTAACCCTATCGTCCGTGTCGTCGTCCACCATTGATCGTGCCGATTTTAGGGCAATTACCCCAGTGTCGATAATACCCCATACTTCCAAGGCCGTTAGTTTCTTGGCTCGTCCCTTCACCCACAATGAAAGAAACAGAGACGGCAGACGACGTAAAGGTCCCGGTCATCTTGTCCACTTGTTGTCGACTGCACTCGCGCTATCCGTGCGTACACGTAAAGGATGGTTCACAAACCCGCAACTGCTTACGACCGAGTGCATTACAAACCTCTCGGGATACGTTATGATGAGAGAACTTCGCCGGCGCCGTCTACAAGGTGGCCCTGGAACTGCATTTTGCTAGAGCGAAGATTTCGCAGTATCCGTGATACCAAATGTAGACACACTCTACGAGAAACAGTTGTCCGTAACATCGTCAGAAGATTTTCGTGCCCAGAGTGAAAGAACGACGTGCTGAAAAAATGGGAAACGTACGGAAATCGCAATTGTTCCACGGCTACCCGGTGGACGACGCCGGTGCATTCTCTTGTCGTGAGAGATCGCAAGCGGTGGTAACGCACTTGGTCATAAGCAGTCGCGAGCGTGCAAACGAGCCTTAACGTGCAAAATCTTCAACGAACACACTCTTTCTTGTATCCAACTCCACAGCACCACTGCCCCTGAGCAATCTTCTCGTAAGCGTCTGCGGCGCTCAGGCGGAACACATCTCATTGAGGAGGGAGATCTCGGCAGCGTGGTCCGTCCCCGGCGTCTCCAGGACCATCGGAATGTGGTCCAGTCTGGGGTCCGCCATGATCCGACGGAAGCCGGCGAGTCCAATGTTGCCACGGCCAATGTTTTCGTGCCGGTCCAGCTGGCTTCCCAGCTTGCCTGCAAAAGGTTTCCGAACATTCTTGATTCATGTCTTCTTTGCCCGGCCGTCGTCTACGGCTAGGCCTTCCATGTCTTCGATTGCGCCGGCGAACCCCGAAAACTAGCTCCTGACCCAGTTTGATCAAGTCAGGAAAAATTGGAAAACCTTGATTAAGGTTTTTCGTTTTCGATTCTTACCCCAAATAAGGCTCACCTTGAAAATAAAAAATAAAGAAAAACCTAAGATTGATGGGATGAAACTTGTATGCCCCGTTTCATTTGATGTTCACCCGGGACACAGGGCACTCTGAACAGTAGCGAGGCTGCCTCTTTCTTTGGAAATCACACCTCTCCGTCTCATTCCCTTTTCATATCGGTACTGGGACGTTTCCAAGTATTCGAGGAATGCGTTTGCTCCCTGGAGGTTGGAAAGTCCCACGGCCGTGTCCCGTTTCTCTTTTTCCAAACTCGACAAACGCAGATTTGTTGCTTGAACCCAAAAAACACAAACCCTCCTCCCCTTGAAGGGGTAATACAATAAAATTCTAGCGCCCATTTATTGTTTAAATGCCAAACCGTCCTGGTTGCACCGCAGATGCCAGACTTCTGTTTGAAAAGAGACCAGGACATTATTTAAAACGAATAAACTGACTACCAGATTGCACCTGGTGAATGTTCCCGAATGTCGTTACGTGAAAACTCGCCATAAAAGCGGTGCTGCTTCGCGGAAGTACGGTGCCGAGTTTCGAGCGTGCGTAGGCTGTCGAGCTTGGTTGAACCAGATTCCCCTTTTCTCCCACGCACATTCAACCACTAAGGGAAGCAGAGGGTTTGAGTTGCTTTTTCGCCTCGGCTGACATTGCGGAGCCAGTCGTCTGCCATCCTGAATGACCAGGTTGGCAGACGTCAATGCGTTGGCAGGCGTCAATGCGTTGGCATTGACGCCAGCAGGTAACGAAGCTCACGACCACGCCAGGCTCCCTGTAGCCTCGCCCACGAAGTTAAATGTGACGTCACGAATGCACTGGAGGAGCTGGATCGCCCGAGACGCATCGCGCTCTCCAATGGCTGCTCTCAAAGCGCTCACTGGAGTCGGCCGTTTGGAACGAAAGACGCAGCCATCCGTTAAAAATACAAACGTGTAACTGTCATTAGCAGATTTCGTTGATCATGTTTAACTTATTTCTGAATGTGAGCGGTATATTCAGATTTTAATTTCAGTACCCCTTTAAACAAAACACTGCCGAATTAAAACAAAAGAGATGAAAACATGAAACCTTAGTTATAGTAAATTCAATCTGGGAGCCCTCTGAAAGGAGGATGGGTCCTGCAGATGTCCTCGAGATATCTTCAGGATGTCCTTTTGCTCCACTGACATCCCATGGACGTCCGCCGGACCGTTTGTTCTGTCGACGATTGTGTCGGTTGACTAACAATCTGTCCGTAAGAAATGCCAGTAATAAATTCTCTTTTGACGCCCCTCGAGCAGTGCTCTTACACTGATGTCGGGGAAGCACGCTCCGTGGTTCGGAAGTACAGTGGTTTGTAAATTATAGTGTACAACTTGCGCATGTTCAGCTTAAAAAAGAGAACACAACTTATCACTGCGGTAGAAAGTGAACAAAGGAAGCCAGATAATGCAGGTGATTTCGGACTGTCTTTGGAAGTTGATGCCGAATAAGATGCGATCACTCATAGAGAAATGAACGACCAACAGATCATTAAAAGCGACTGCGATTTCTCATATCCTACGTAATGGACGCTTTCAGAATTGTCAGAAGTTTTGTCTGTGCTCATGACGACGACCGTCTGACTGCGAAAAGTGCACTATGCCGCGCTTCTTTAAAAAAAGTGCAATACTTTTGGAATTAAAGCTTGTTAACTCTCAGTAAACAGAACTCCAAGGAACCAAAAAAATTTGTTCCATTTAACAGGAGTTCCGTTTACTAAGAGAGATGTAAAAAAGTGCCGATTTATGTATGCACACTCTCTTAATACTATTTTATGGATGTCTAAACACTATGAGGTGAATGTAACTCATAGTTTTTTAGAGAGCAAGGAAACTACATGAGGTTTTTACATAGCATTCACAAGTTTATTAGGCAGCAATTAATCACTGTGGACTGAAAAATGCATCAACTTTCTTTTGTTTGAGTCCTTGCATCTTCATCTTCAGAATCTTTTTCTCCATGTCACTTAGGCTTTGGAGAAACACTTCCGATTCTGGCTCATTAAGAAAAAAATTCCTTAGGTACAGCACAGCAGACTCTGCCCCATGAAGTGTGGTAACTTCTGTGGCAGCTACCTCTTCAGAGTCTTCTTCCACCTCCTCCTCCTCCTCATCGCATGCTTCGTCAACAATGCTTTGCACAGTGTTGCCGGGGCAAGTTGCAACGCCGCTGTCAACTTGCACGTATTCATCGAAGTCCAGTGTGATTTCTCTTAAAGCACACTGCTCAATTAGTACCTCCTGCCTTTCAAGGGCATCTTCGCTGTCGCATTCAAAGTCCTCCAAGTCAGATGTCAGGTCACTTGAAGAAAATCCTGCATGCCTGAAGCAATTTGCTATGCTAGTGGGAGTCAGCTGCCTCCAGGCATCGGCAATGAGGTGAACGGCGCCAAGAACGTCCACCTTGTACTCTTCATCCTGGCTCGTGCACAAGAGCATCATCTGCAAGAGACCCTTGCGGAAGCGTGACTTTAGGGCTTGGTGCTGTATCAGAGCTGTGTCATGACTCTTGGAAACTTTGTATCATCCTCCAATGTACTTATCATTCTTATCACCACCCTTTCTGTTTTGCACCCGAAGCATCGGCTGCCTATATTATCACGTCCCTGACAATAAACGTTGTTCACAACCCAGCATGTCTCCGTTCGGACGCGTCGTAGCAGTGGCGACGAGGATGGGATCATAAGAATTTGCGGCGATTTTAAGTTGACCGTGAACTCAGCCTGCTGCACCGAGCAATATCCACTCCCCGTAATCGACGACCTGTTCGCGGCACTCAATGGGGGCGACAGGTACAGTACGTTGGACCTTCGAGATGCGTACAATCAAGTGCCACTCGATGACGAATCCAAGAAGTTAACCGTCATCAACACGCACCGTGGTCTCTTCTGTTTCAACCGGCTGCCATTCGGTATTTCTTCCGCACCCGCTATCTTCCAGCGCAAGATGGAGAGCCTGCTGCGAGGAATACACGGCGTACAAGCGTATCTCGATGACGTCATTGTCTCGGAGAGAAGAAAGGAAGACAGGAGCGTGCTCAAGCAGGTGCTGCAGCGTTTCAAGGAGAACGGAGTCAAGCTGCACAGAGGGAAGTAACTTCTGGCAGGACGAAGTCTGCTATCTCGGGCACCGCATCAACAAGGACGGCCTACACCCTACGGAAAAGAACCTGGCGGCTATAATGGAAGCAAGGAGCCCGAAGAACGTAAGTGAACTCCGCTCTTTCATAGGACTTTTGACCTACTACAGCAAGTTTCTGCCCAACATGGCTACCCTCTTGGCGCCACTGTACAACCTTCTAGCGAAGAATCAACGCTGGAAATGGGACCAAGCAGAGGAGCATGCTTTCAGAAAGGCCAAGCGGGTGTTATGTACGACAGATGTTCTTACGCATTTTGACCCTTCCAAAGTTTTACGTCTCGAGTGTGACGCATCGCCTCATGGGGTAGGGGCTGTGTTGTCCCATAGTTTCGGACACGTGGACAGACCAATCGGATTCAGGTCCCGGACGCTATCAAAGGCGGAAAGAAATTATTCGCAACTTGAGCGTGAAGCATTAGCCCTAGTGTTTGGGGTAACCAAATTTAGAGATTATCTGTTGGGGCGGGACTTCACGCTCGTTACCGACCACAAGCCCTTGGTAGGGTTGCTGAGGGAGGACAGACCTACACCTGTCATGGCGGCGGCCAGAATTCAGCGCTGGGCGTTACTGCTAGGGGCATATTAGTACAAGATAGAATACAAGCCGGGCCCCCAGAACCAGAACGCTGATGCACTGAGTCGTTTACCGATAAATGTTCCTGACAAGGAGACGGACGAGCTGCCAGAATATGTGCTTTCAGTTAACCAACTCGATGATACTATTCTGTCGGCACAACGATTGCGGTCGCTAACCTCGGAGGACCCGCTACTGTCCAGGGTGAAAGACTATGTGCTGCACGGATGGGCAAAGCACCTAGACGATGACGACCCACAAATGCAACCCTTCTTTCACAGGAAGTTGGAACTCACCGTAGCCCAGGGTTTGCTCTACTGGGGGCACCGGGTCGTCGTGCCACAGACAGCACGTGGAGCGATGCTAAAAATGCTGCACGAGACCCATCAAGGAGCATCGGCGATGAAGGCGGTCGCGCGGACACTTCTTTGGTGGCCAGGGCTCGATGGTGAGATTGAACATCTTTCCCGGAGTTGCAGTGCGTGTATCCAGGCACGGCCGATGCCGCCATCATATGTTCCGGTGAAGTGGCCGGAGACGGGAGAAAAGTGGTCGCGATTACACCTGGATTTCGCGGGACCGGTGTCGGACGCCATGATATTAATTGCAGTGGACTCTCACTCAAAGTGGATAGAGGCGGTGGCCATGAAGAATTCGACTGCCGATTCTACAATAGCAGCTGTGCGCGAAATGTTCAGCCATTTTGGGATACCGAAGACTATCGTGACAGACAATGGGACTCAATTTACGGCAGAATCGTTCTCTCGATTCCTCGCGGGAAATAACGTAGAACATCTACGCACTGCTCCATACCACCCTCAGTCCAACGGGCTAGCAGAAAGAGCAGTCAGGACGATTAAGGATGGTCTAAAAAAGGTCACGCATGGTAACCTTGCTACGCGTTTGGCTAAAATATTATTCACGTACCGCCGAACTCCTTTGGCTGACGGTTCTTCGCCATCACGACTGCTAGGCTACCAGATCAGATCTCGTCTAGACGCCTGCCTGCCGTATCCTGGTGCTTCATTGGTGCCTTTGCAGGAACCCCGTAGCAAGCTGTGGCCCGGAGATCCAGTTTGGGCCCGGAACTTCGGAGAAGGAGAAAGGTGGTTGCCAGGGACGGTAACTACAACGACCGGAGCAAGGATGGTCTCAGTGGACACACCGTCGGGAGAAGTCCGATGTCACATTGACCAGATCCGTTTTCGAGAGCCGCTGGCACTCAAAGTACCAGGGACAGCGGCAAAGACAACGCAAGGCGCTCGACAAGATGCAGTACAAGATACAACACCTGCAGAACCAACCATCAGCACCACCCAGCCGCCAGAGTTGCGAAGGTCAACCAGAGAAAGGAAGCCTGTAGATCGCTATAGCCCCTGGGGGGAAGGAATGCTGTATCAGAGCTGTGTCATGACTCTTGGAAACTTTGTATCATCCTCCAATGTACTTATCATTCTTATCACCACCCTTTCTGTTTTGCACCCGAAGCATCGGCTGCCTATATTATCACGTCCCTGACAATAAACGTTGTTCACAACCCAGCATGTCTCCGTTCGGACGCGTCGTAGCACTTGGATAACTCCCTGATCCATGGGCTGCAAACGTGCCGTGGTGTTAGCGGGGAGGAACTCCAACTGAATCGACTTCAGTCCTGTTACAGTCCCCTGTCCAGGGCAGTTGTCAACGAGGAAAAGGACTTTCCTATTTTGCCGCGAAAATCGCGCATCCTCAGTGTGCAGCCATTTGCTGAAGAGGGGTTGGGTCATCCAAGCTTTCGAGTTCGACTCGTAAGTGACGGGCAGAGTAGTGATGCCCTTGAAACAGCGAGGATTTTTTGATTTTCCTATCACAAGGGGCTTCAACTTGTCGCTGCCCGACATCTTTGCTTTAACAAGAACAGTCAGTCTGTCTTTGCTGAGTTTGCCACCTGTGCACAGTTCACCTTTAAAAGCGATCGATTTTGATGGCAGGAGCTTAAAAAAAAGTGCTGTTTCATCCACGTTGTATATGTCATCGTCCTTGAACTGCCGCATTATCTCCGGCAGCCGTCCTGCCCGCCAGTCACGACACGCAGTCGCATCAGCTGCAGCAGCTTCTCCCGCAATGGTGCAAAAAACGAGGCCATTTCTTTCTTTAAACCTTGTCAGCCAGCCTTCACCGCACAAGAAGTCCGTTATCCCGAGCTGAAGAACAAACTCTTCTGCTTTGGCACGGATTAGTGGCCCGTTGATGGGAATGCTCTGGCTCCGGGCTCTCCCAAGCCACAAAACCAGACACTTCTCCAGTTCTTCGTGGTCGCCGTGTCGCAGACGCTTCCTTTGGGGCTCGAATCGAGAAGTTTCGAAGGCATCTTGTAGCTTGTCCTTGTCGTGTAGGGTCCTCGTTAAGCTGCTTCTCAGGACGCCATGCTTCGTCGCGAGCGCCATCTTCGAGTATGAGCCACTTTCGAAGTCAAGAATGACATCCATCTTCTTTTCCAACGTCAGCGCATGGTGTGCCGCTTCTGTGTTGCCATTGAAACAACGGAGGCGAGGCCTCAACTTTGCGAGTGCTTATGAGCCACCGAAGTTGGAAGACACCAACGCGGCAATGAAGCACGATAGGCACCAGGACGGCAGGAATGATGCGGCTGTAACCTAGGCGACTCGAACAAAGACCGAACGACTTGATCAAGAACAGCAGTGTTGCATTTGTTGCGCCAACTACCAACAAGGCGAGGCCAACGAGGCTTACGAGGCTAACGAGGCTAAAAAAAAAAGAAGAAACAGCCGGAACCGGAAGAGGCTGATGCTCATGGCAATGGGTCTGCCAGAAGTTCTATTTTTGGTTCCGTTTACACGGTGAAGCGCAAATTTTAGTTCCAATTACCGAAAGTTTTTTTACCTTATCTGAATACAAAATTAACCAACTTACGGGCTACTGTTCCGTTTAAGCGGCAATTCCGTTTAAGCGATTTTCGTTTATCGAGATTCTACTGTAATATATCATTGCAGACATGGTTTATAAACAGGCGAGCTGGTAAAAGTTACGCATGCCTCTAACCAGAGACGACGTACGACGGAGGGGATAAGGAACAAACACACACATCTCGTTGTTGGTTGCCAGACTCTTGCCGATTTCACGACAACGAAATTCCTGCAACAACAAACTCTTTTGCGTGCCCCTTCAACTTCATTCTAGCAAGATTCGAAATATGCATTTTCACGACTCTAACTGTTTGGGCTTATAACCACATCTATCAGTGCAAACTCGCTCGGTACTTGTTTCGCCGATCAAAATGGGCCAGTCTCGTTCTGTATATCGTGACATCTGCTTGCAATCAATGAGCCAGCAGAGCTGCAATTAATGTTTAAAGACGCACGTTAACAAAGAGCTAATCAATGATCAAGGAGGCGGCAAAGGGTCAATCTACAATCAAAGGAGCAGGAAGAGCCAATGAGTGGTACAAGACGTAGCAGAGTGCCGATGCATCAAGAACAATCTTTGGGAAGGGCTACTTGCCGCGGGAGTCGTTTAGATGCACGGCCTTGAGGTAGGAGAGTCCGACGATGGACTCGAAATCTTGCATCATACCCTCGAAGCCTTCCTCTGTGGACAAGTCGTAACCTGGAATGAACGGGGATGTTACGAGAAAAATCGTATCCATCGCATCCATACATAAATCACAGGGTGCATGTAATCGAGAGCATTTGCCGACTTGCAAAATTCAGAAGTCCCGAATTTACACGATTGTAGGTGCGCCAAATGCACCCCGCCGCTCGACTCGGTCGTCTGTGTTGCCACCCGCCATTGACCCTGGCAAGTTTCTTGACCCATATTTTTACAGAAAGGAAGCTATGCTTTCTAATTTTATGAGAAAAAACGAACGTGCGCAATACACCTTTGACGATAAGTTTAAATCGCTTCATGCAGGCGTCGATTCTTACGGTTCATTTTAGATCGAGCCTGGCGACTTCAGACACCTTATCTATATATATATGTTTTTTTTTCTCGTTTAGCTGACATGCAATGTAGGGGGGGGGCGAGGACTTACGATCGTGTAAATATGGCGGCAAGGCCGAAACGCAAAACCATGCTGCTCCAAATGACACGTCCATTGCCGACAGATGTCTGCGATTTAAACTTCCTTACAAGGGCAAAGGCTGGTTTGCACGTTTGTGACTGCTTACAGACCAGAGGAGCTTAAAACCGGTTTTTGGCCTCTCTGGTCGCGAGTGGTCGCATGTGCGTGAACCGGCCTCGAATTGGAGAAAAACGCCTGTACACAACTCTAAGCGCCACTCCATTCTTACAAGACGAGAGTTGGCAGAAAACATGGAGCAACAGCTCACACGCAAATCCAAGGCACCGTGCTCTGAACGTAAGTATACCCTCTGCTTGGGCCCCATCATTGGGGCCCAAGCTCATATTTGCATTAATACTGTACAAGGTGGATCAAAGTCAGATTAGCGGTTGTCATTGTTCCCTGGATCATGTTTCTTGACCACGGTTTTCTAGAAAATGAATCAAAAGTTTTTCACTTTACATGAATGGCTGCATTAGTTCCAAGGTGGGAGCTGTATTTGAGCGTACAGTAATGTCTCGTTAATATGAACCTCATTAATCTGGATACCCCACTATATGGGCACCATTTTCGTAGACAAACTATTTAAATACATAGGTATGTTCTTGCCTCGTTATTATGGACTACTCTCATCATAGACAATTTTCGGGAAAACGGAGGTTTCGCTATTAATCAAACACTAACGTACAATAACAGGTTGGTGTATGGTAGTTTGCGTGTTACAGGTCAATACTCCCAGAAGAGAGGGAATCCCAGCGATGTAAGCGGTAATTGACCTTTCAGGCTTCCTTTCTTTTCAACACTTCTCTCTCTCTCTCTCTAGTAGGTTCTGTAGCAGGCAAAATATTCGTCTGGAGCAGCCGCTGATGGTTTTCAGGCGGATGCGAACATGCTGTAAGCACATCACTTGAAAATGAAAAAGCGACTGCATCTCTACTCGTCTGTGAAAATAATTGAGGGTTCCTCTTTGATACTGGAGCATATTACTTATTCTCTTTCGTGATAAAAATAGATGGGGTGCAAAAGGAACACAAAGCCAGGGCTCTTGTCAGAGTATGTTCCATTTACAATGGGTATTAAAAATGGCTGAAAAATGAATCATAGTGCAACACTTCAATTGCGATAATGCCACTTTCCCCTCTCATTTTTACACCCAGTAGTTTATTTAGGCTGTAAATATAATTTTTGTAAATTGCCAGCGAGAACCAGCACATCTGCTAACACGTCCATTAATAAAAAAGCGTCCCCCAAATTCTATGAATCTACCAAACTGAAGACTCTAATATCGTAAAGTGCAAAAACAACCACTCACAGAAATGATAAAAGACTCATACTTTAAAGGCGACACTGCTCTTTAGCGGTGTTGGAACCAGAGTTGAGTCAAAGTTCGCTGCTCTTTCAATCGACAGCTGCACCGGAACTACCATATTCAGTCAACTATAGACCCGTTTTTTTCCTTTTCTCTCTTTCTTGGTACAGTTCCTGTAATAACCTGTAATTACAGGTCAACCTGTAATAATCCTTAGCACAATTTGCGTGCCTATCGCACTGACCAAGCCACTCTCCGTGGTCAGCCGCTGCTCCTAACACTCCGGTGCGAAGCGGTGAAGCTCGACGCGTGCACGCGGTTGGGAAGCGGCCAAGGTCGACGTTACCGGTGCAAGTGCCACGGTACTCTGCAGCCGCGGCACGAAGGATGCTGGCAGACATGATCATTGAGTGCTTTCGTAGGGAGTACAAGACTCTGGTTCTGTCTTACCACACTAGCCGCCGTCCTGATATTTTGCGAAGTTTTCTCACAACTTTTAGTTCCCGACGTCATCAAGAAATTTAGACGACGTTGGCGTCAGCGATTGACCGACCAGCGCATCGGCCGGCCAGAGCGGTTGACAAGCGATTTCTGTACAACGCTTCACCTTGAGTCGACGCTGCAGCAGACGCTACGATCCAATGGGACCAATTAAACAGCGTCAAAGTGCAACACTGTAACATTCGTCATCTCCCAATACGTGCTGTTTCATCGTCTTAAAGGCCGGCGCCGCAAGCAGAGAGAAGGAACCCGACCCTCACTTTCTTTCTCGCCACTGTGAAAGGAGGAAATCGCCTCTCGTTTCCTCCTCGCCGTTTTCCGATTTTTTTTTTTTTTTTTTTTGCAAGTTTGGGGTGGAGGAAATGAAAGCTTGAAGGATTTGAAAAGATTATCCAGAAGCCAGCCGGCACACCTGCGACAAGGAGCTGAACCAACCGAGTAGCTGTTTTGAGCGAGCTTGGCACTTGCTCTTCCCAACGAGTTGCATGGGCTCTTTTTTAGCATTGGTTTGGAGGACGATTCTTTGCTGTTGTGAGAGCACAAATGCCTTGTTCTGCTCAAAGAAGTAGTCATTGAAGTATCACTTTTAATACAAATATCTGATTTGGCATCTTTCGTTGTTTAGGCGGATTCATGGCGACAACGGGAAGTACGAGCGGCATTTTCTGTATATCAGGGATGGCGCTCCGTAGACCAGTGGTTCTGAATCATCATGGTTCGTAAACCGGCAGAGGTGACGGAGGATCCCATCCGTAGTGGGTCTAGTACTTTTCGGTGTAGAGCGTTTTGCTGTAGGGCATTTCGGTGCGGACTTTTTGGTGCACAGACATTTCAGTGTACGGACTTTTTGCTGCAAAGACTTTTCGGTGTGGGACTTTTCGGTGCGCGGTTATTTCGGTGCACGGACATTTTGATGCATGGACATTCGACGCTATGGTTTGCCTCGCCGGTATCTCTTTTCCAACGTACGCAGACACGCTTCACAACGTGTTTGTGCGTTGAGTTGATAGAGATAGTCTCCTCTATAAGGTTTTGGCTTTATTATTGGTCCTGCGTGTAGGAAACGACCCAAACAGCAAGACGTTTGAAGTTGTTTGTGTATTCAGAACAATTTTGAATATCTTCAAATGCGCCTCCTCCGCGTAATCGCATAGCTCCGATTGTTAATAATAAATTGTAATAACCTCACACGACAAAAAAAACAATGTAATTATCACTTGTAACTCATTAGGGAGTAAAGTAGGCGTGTGCGGGTGCAAAATAAGTGTAATCAAATCAAATATCGATTTGAATCAAGTAAACAAGCCGAATTTGGTGAATGCTAAATCGATTTTATTTGGTATCAAATGTTTGCTCATTCTGGTACGAAAAAAAAATAGTGACCACAGATCATGCACAGAGTATGATATGTGGTCAACGTCTCCTTCCATGCCGTAATGATGTTGCCGGACGTAAAGAACTGCCTTACAATCATGCTTATATACAGGGCGATTTTTTTTTAACGACAAGACCTTTTTCTAAAAAAGACGTCAGAGTTACGCAATTGCGGTTTGTGCCTTATCTGTAGTCATCAAAAACACCAAATCATTCATTTTTAAAGAGATGTAGTGGACGTGAAGCGGCTCACGGCGTCCTAAAAAGCCTAATTTGGACGCGAATCGTGTTACCGCAATCTTTTCGGCCGCCGCACTCCTCGCCCCTTCTACAGTGGCGCTGTCACAGCGATGCGCATGATTTGTCGCTTTGGCTTCATGGCGTTAGGCTGTGCCACGCGGAGATGGAGCCCACATAAAATCAGAGCTATATTTTCGCGCCCAAATTAGGAGGACGCCGTATAATAGTGCACGCGCGTTACATTTCTTTAAGAATGGACGGTTTGGTGGCTTGCGATTATGGCCAACAACTTTCTAAATACAAGATGCCGTTTTCTTTTCTAATTAAAAGGTTAATTAGCAAAGTTTAGGCAATCAGTCGGTTTTAGTTGCGTTCGTTATTGATCCTAATCCTCGCCTGGCCGTATAGCTCACCTACACAAACCGCAATGGCGCTAATTTTTGCTGGACAATTTGGTGGCTTTCGATTACGCCCAACAACTTTATAAATCAACTATCCCGTTTTCTTTTATAATCAAAAAGTTCATAAAAATGTTAGGTAATCAGTCGGCTTTTGTTGCGTTCTTTCTTGAACCCAATCTTCGCCTGGCCGTTTAGCTCACATCCACAAAACATTAATTTCCACGTTTTTCTAAAATCTAGTGGGTGAAAAAAAATAAAATAAAAATAAACGTTGTATATAAAACAGAGGGCAGTTTTTTCTGATATAAATAAAGCGTGGAACACGCGTCTTGCATGCATCTCTTTTTTTTTTTTTCCGGCCTATGAAAACAAACCTCGGGACATTCGAAATTGAGTTTATGATGGGGCGGGCGCTTTATCACGGGGTATTTTGTCATGTTTCATAAGCTTTATTACTAGTCAGAGGGAAGCCACGCGAGCCGTATCACGTTGCAAACAGCTAATCGGGTGTTTCTCAAGCAGCTCTAGAACTTTCCATTTAGCTCTAGAACTTTCCATACTTAGTCTTAAACATTTAATTTATTAGGCATAATTAAAATACTGCAACTCTCGCAAGACGTCTGCCCAAAACATAAAGTTGGTTTCGTTGGCGTATAGTGGCTGCGTCTTTCATTTTTATGCTTGGTCTTTAAAGCTTCGTGAAAAGCATTCGCGACCT